TAGTAGAGAGAGTTGGTATGTGTTTGAAATGAGGCAACGAGTGTCCATTTACAGCTTGGGATCATTGTGTACTTAATTAAGGAACTTGGATCATCCCAATATGGCTCCTAATTATTCTTCTTTGTAGGACAGCAGCAAGTGAAGGACACTTGCAGCCGAAGAAGGGAGAATGGCAGCAGCAGCCTGCAGAAGGGAGAACGACATCAACAGTAGCAGCCTGGAGAAGGCATAACTGCAGCAGCAGCTTGCAGAAAGTAGCAGCATGCCTCCCATTTGGTTGTGTTGAATGAAACTTCTTTTTTGATAATTTTGTGCTTGGAATGATTTATTTCTATGTGTTATGATTGTTCATGCATGTGTAATTTGCAAACCAAGTATTTGTGATTGGGATGTATTTTGTGTCTTGTGATTGTTAAGCAAATACAAGTTAAGTTTAAACTTTTGTCAAAATTTTAGTGGTTTAAACTTTGGGTATTTATGGGTAGTATGGGTACCCGTTATCCGTCCCGTACGGGTAATGGATACCCGTTTCCCATATGGGTTTGGGATATGGGATGGACTTTGGTCTTCAAATGGGACTGGGTACCCGTTTAAAACGGGACGGGTATCCCGTCCCGTCCCGTTGCCCACCCCTACTCTCAAGTAAGGCAAGTTAATACACATTAACGCATTATTTTACTCCTTCCATTCTTACAGAATACAAGAAGCAAAGGGGCAAATGTTGGGTCTAGTATTAACCCGCCTGATACGGGCCCAAGCCCACCACAAAGCGTCTCACCTTGGGCCCAAGCCCATTCTAGACTCCAGTACACCGGGAGGCGTCCAGTCCACCCGGGGGCGTCCTTTACCCCGAAGGCGTCCACCACCGGGAGGCGTCAATTCACCGGAAGGCGCCCATCGACGGGAGGCGTCCATGACAACGGGAGGCGTCCACTGGATGCCTCCGACTCCTATACAAGGAGGCCAGACCCTCCAAGCAAAGGGACTTCTTCTCTCCCTTCCCACATTCTACCACTTATGGTTCTCTCTCTAAACTCTATCTCTCTCTACATTTCTCTCTACACTCTATCATATATATATTCTAACTTGACCTTTGGAGTGTAGATCACGGGGGCCGCCCCCGACTCCCCACAGGTTTCTTCCACTCCCGAGGAGATCAGACGATGGAGTCCGGATCAAGGTTCCACACTAATCCCCGGTACTAATCCGGGTCAAACAGATACCATGACTTTATCCAAAGTCCATTGTTTGCTTCATGCATTTAGTGGGAAAAAATCCATGAGTCCAACGGATTTGAAAATCTCAACCCTTTAGTTGGGAATTGATCATGGATTTTGCCGTTCCATCATTTGTGACCAACTTACCCCTCCTATTTTCTTTCTCTTCTCATACCAATAAGGACAATAAATGTATATTTGACTTCATAACTACAATATAATTAACAAAATTCATCATGAAATCTATGAAACAAACAATGGTATTTCTCAAGTATGTAATAAACCAAAAATTCTCAGATATCCATGATTTTTCTGAAATTCGGGTTTTACCAAAACTTTCATTTTTCTAATCCACGAAGCAAGTGACCCGTAAATACCATGCTTTTCTTGTTTGCTTGATGAGTGTCAAATTCATGGAGTCCACGGATTTTGGACTATTTTTTCTATCCAAATCCGTGAGTCACACAAACTTGTAAATCTCACACCACTCCTTGAAATTTGGCTAGGGGACCAAATTCTTGATAAACAATTACTTTATTGTCCATCTAACAATCAATCATTCTAATTCTATCCTTATGGTTGAAGCTAGTTATGTACTTATGTTGATTACATGTCGTTCAAGTTTATGGAAAAAGGTGTGGCAATCTATTTCTTTTCCCTTGTAAGGTTGGGGTGGTAGGAATTTTGCTTTCCACCTTCCCCTCACCTTTAGGGATGGCTATACGATCGGTCCACTTAAATTGGACCGAATTGATCTGGTTTTAGTTCGGTCTTTTCGAGAATATAAGGACCAAAGATTGGATTGGATACAGTCTGGTCTTGATCTGGTCTGATCTTGACCAGTCCGTCCCAATTCGCTCTTGATTTTAGATTGAGTTTGTAGGGATTTTAGTGCCCTGAGGCCTGAAAGGTGAGGAGTTGGTTAAGTTTTGGGTGTTGGACTCTCTTATCCGGTCTTTATAAGATTTTTTGTTTGGTCTCGAACGGTTTTTTACCCCAAATCTAGGCCCAAAAATTGAATGAAATTGTTTGCTATCCGGTCTCGGTCCGATTTATACGGTTCAATTTCGGGGAAAATCCAAAAAACCCTAACCAAATAGCCACCCCTACTCACCTCCACCTCTCTTTGTGTAAAAAAGGGGGAAAACATCAGGTTACTTGTATTTTTATTTTATTTTATCATTATAAAAATCTTATTTCGTCATTATAATTTTTGTTATTACTTGTCCTCGTTTATACAATTTATGGTGTAAGTTTCTCATTTTTTGCATGCTTTGTGAGATTTCTGGTGTAATTGCCTCTATTTATGTTCTACTTTACGAGAATTCAGGTGTGGTTGTACATATTCCTAGTTTGCTTCGTAAAACTTGTGGACAACTTTATGAGGTTTTTTTATATGCTTAAGGGAACTTGTTGTCTACTTTTAGAAACTTGCGGTCAATTTTATGAGCTTTTTGTTATGTTTCAAAGAATTTTGTGGTATGCTTATGAGGATTATGCTATGATTTAAGGAACTTGTCGTCGGCTTATGAGAAAATTGATGTATTTTTAGGTGACTTGTGGTATGTTTTATGAGATTTTTTGTATGTTTTAAGAAACTTGTGGTCAACTTTATGAGATTTCTAGTGCGCTTCATGCAACTTGTGGTATGCTTAATGAGATTTCTGGTCTGCTCTACGAAACTTGTGGGGTTAGGTTTATGAGGTTTACGGTCTACTTCATAGGACTTGTAGTCAGCTTTAAAAGGTTTCTAGTATGCTTTAAGAAACTTGTAGTCATCTTTGAGTTTTCTAGTATGCTTTATAAATTTTGGGGTGTGGTGAGGTTCTGATATGCTTTGCAAGTTTTTTTTATCTACTTTATGTTATTTATGGTGTGTTTTCTTCTGTTTCTGGTTTTATTTCCAGGTATGCTCCATGATAATTGTGATCAGGACATGATGTAAAATAAATGTGAACATATATTACCAATGACCTTATTACCTATAGTGACAACCATGTCTCGTCCAAAAAATAAAATTGTTGTCGGCTTCGTCAAATTGAAAAGGTATTACATACGAGATTATTAATCATTGTGACGATTTTGTGTCGTCAGAAAAATATCTGTCAAGTTCAAAAAGTTCGAAGCGCATCAGAGATGACTCGTAGCCGTCACTAAATATCTTTTATGGCGGCTCGTCACGAAGAATTTTTTTTGTGACGCTCGTATTTGCAACGTACCGTGCGACGGCATCGTGGCGTCGCAAAAGACATTTGCGATGGAATCTGGCCTTTACTGAAGGAAACGTCTGGTCACTAATGATAGTATTTTTTGTAGTGGCACTACCACTTATGGTACTTATCAGTTTTGCATGTGAGTTGATAGGCAACCCCTTCAGGCTTATCTTGGATAAAAAAACGTAAGACGAACCTGACAACAGTAGGGATGGCAATCAAAATCATGGTCGCGGGTATCCGACCGCCCCCAACCTAGTCAACGCGGGGAATCCCCGCATTGACCGGGTATGGGTAAAACCCGCAAACAGTTTAATGGGTATGGGGCGGGTATGGTTTTAGCCTCCCCCACCCCATACCCATACCCATACCCGCCCCACCAAGAACATTTCTTCACATATAAAAAGTACATTGATTAAATTGTAATCTATCATTAATATCGAGGGTAACTCATGAAAATAAATAGTAGAAGTACAATTGAGTGACCACCCAAATCAAAACATAATTCATTTCCTCCAAATCTTCCTTCATTCTTTGACTTTTCCCCTCATGTTAACAACATTTTGTTAGTAAGTTATTACTTAATAGATGTACCAAAGTCAGAGGATATTTTTTTGGTTTATATTGTTATTCTATCTTATGGATGATTCGATGTTTTAGAATAAGATGCTTAGAATCGTATTAAGAATGATTGTCTCTTTGTCAACTTTAGGTGCGTTTAGTATTATAAATGAAATTTTTGTATGTAAAATTTCAGCTATTATAATGTTGGATGTACGGGGCGGGTATTACCCACCCACGGGTACCCGAAACCCACAGGTATGAGGAGGAGTTTGCAAGTCCTTCCCCGTATGGATATGGGGCGAGTATGGATTTGGATATTTGAAAGCGGAGATGAGGATGGTTTAAGCAAACTCGCTCCATTGCCATCCCTAGACAGCAGGGTGTTGCAAACTGCAGCTAAGTTTCGTCCTTATTCAAATATGTACGTACATTTCCAAATTATATCCATAAACTCGATCGGTATCTGTACATTCCTTTTGATCCTCTCTACATCATCCAAAACCTAAGCATGTGTATCGCAGATTATCAACCATGCATCAGCTAGCTAGCTGGCAAGCAATACCCAATTCAACGAACGACATGTCGAAGCCCATTAGACCACCCACTGCGTGGGTTGGTTTTGTGGGGAAAAAGGGGAAATATGACCACAATGTGGGGGAATAAGGGATTAAATGGGTTTTGTGGGTTTAGTGGGTGGGAAACCCACCAGATGAGACAAATGGTGGGGGGAAGTGCCGGATGGGAAAGGACAAACTTTTTTTTTCTAATTTTAGCAAAGGCTTGTTTGGAAAGTTGTGTTTTTGTCTCCTCGTATTATTGTGATTTTATCATTGATGATGTCATACTTAATTAGTGATGGAAAAAATGTCCAAATTAAAAAAAATTATGTCGAAATGTTCGTATTAATTAATTATCACTAAGTACGTAATAATAATGATCATTATATGAAAATAAAGTGACAAAATCAACTATAGATTGATTTTAACAAAAAAATACTAAACTGATTACCCACTTTTCCCACCACCACACCGTGACCAAATCATCCAATTTTCCCACATTTTCCTCTTTTCCCACATTTTCCCCATGTGGATGGTCTTAGAGCTAGGGGGGACAAAGTAGTTACGTTGGAAATCAATGCGATAGGCTTGTGCTGAGTTCCTTGGAACCACTGAATCATCTCTTCACGTAAGAGGTTTGAGAATAAGTGAGATTTTGGGAGTTTAGGGGATTTTTTTTAACCTAGGAAGAAATTGATTATTATATTTATAGGTATAATATGCTTTTTTACTATGTCATTTTATCAAAAATGTCACTCTAATATTTTTTTTTTTTTTACATCAAGCATGTCCCTATACTTTGAAAATATGATCAAGCATGCTCTTTTTGTTAAAATTTTCATCCAAAAATCGTTAACACGGCTAAATTAACTTTGGTTTAGGTGACACAAATGTCTAAAATATCCTTAATAATTCCACTTCAGATTTTTTTTTTGTTCTTTTGTCTAGCCAAATAATTCTAATAATTTCACTTTGACGAGACCCAGTAATAAACAGGGGATAAAACTGACATTTTCCCTCACATTTGTCGATGTCGCGGGTCGTTTGAATCTCGGTTTAACCATGACTCGCGATTTTTTTTCAATGAATCTCGGTTTAACATAGTAGAGGGGCTACAATCGTACATACACCCAGCTACATCTCACAAGTTTGTTGAGCACTGATTTATGACTATTAATTAGTAGGGCCCCCGAAGCTGAAATAGGAGTTGGTTCTGGCATTTTAATGTACGTGTTCGCTTTTGACACCAACAAATACAAACTGCACCAAGTTTGGAAATTTTTTTGGTGAAATTAACGTGCTTAATTTGATAGCTAGAGCCTCGAATTTACTACTATAAAAGAGCTTAAGCTGGCGGAAAGCTTTTATATAGTTTCTCATACACTGCGTACGTACGTTGAGAAACTGCTCTCCTCTCCCACCATTCCCGACGCCAACGAGATGCTGCTACTGGAGCAGAAGACTGTCCTGGTCACTGGGGCAACAGGGTTTCTCGCAAAGAGTACGTTATATATAAAAGAAACTCAGCGCATTATTGGAATCGACCGGTTCTTTCACATTTATGCTGTCAATACTCTGCTCTTTTTGCAGTATTGGTAGAGAAGATACTGAGGATCCAACCCAATGTGAAGAAGCTCTACCTTCTCTTGAGAGCTTCTACTTCATCCTCCGCCGCGAAGCGCTTCCACGACGAGGTGATTAACTATTCATAGGAAGTGCTTGCATTTAGAGGTGGCAAATGGATTAATCTATGGATTGGTGGATTGGATTGATGGATCCATGAATCAAATGGATTGGATCCATGGATCAAATGGATTGGTGGATTATCCATGAATCCAAATGACATCCTCAACCAAGGACCAATATGTAAAATGTGAAAAGTTTAGGTACTAAAATGTCATGATGAAAAATTTTAGGCACCAAAATGTAATTTTCCAATGATATTTTCTGTATAAAAAACTAAATTTTGGGTACCAAAATGTAAAATATAAAAAGCATAGGTACCAAATTGTAATTTGCCATCTGGATCAAATGGATTGAATTTGGTGGATATTTTTAATGGGTTGGTTGATTGGATTGAGAATTGTCACCTCTACTTGCATTGCAATTTGCATGCATGTTGGATTTTGCACGATCTTTAAGTTTTCAGTGGATATAATCAACCGGTTGTGGATAAAAATGACAATGGGTCGACCCGTTGGGTAATTTGATCCAATTGTCATGATCTATATGGGTATTGCGTTGGACTCAAATGAACTCGTATGCAATTTTAATGGTTTTGTGATTGGGTTGGGTTTAAATTGAGTTCAATTAGGGTCGACCCATGTTTGGGTAATGTTCAAATATTGATTTTTTTTCTTCTGTCATGCTGATTATATATATATATAGGTGCTTGGGAAGGAGGTGTTTAGGGTTTTGAAAGATGAATGGGGAGCAGGTTTCCAGTCATTCATTTCAGAGAAAGTGGTTGCTGTTGCTGGAGATGTTTCATCAGAGGATTTGGGGATAGAGAACCTCCATTTGAAGGAAGAAATCCTCAAGGAAACCGACTTGGTTCTTAATTTTGCAGCCATCACCAAATTTGATGAAAGGTTTAGCTTACTAATTGATTTTTTGTTTAGTTAATCTCTTTTATTTTTTTCAAAATCTATATATAGTTATTCTCCTTTGTCTTTCATTCTACTTTGGCACTTTGATTTTCAAGGTACGATGTGGCACTTGGGACGAATACTTTTGGAGCTCTGCACGTGCTCAACTTCTCCAAGAAATGTGCCAAAATCAAGTTGCTTATCCAAGTCTCAACTGGTAATTAAAATTAAGCAAATGACATGTATGCATGCAAAAACCACACCACAGTCCAAACATTCCACACCACAAAAAACTCGCCTATCGATTTAGACTCCAAATAATATATATTTTTTCTCGGGTCCAACTGTGTCGATACGTTAAAATTTCACAAACACTCCGGCCGATTTATCAACATCACAGCTTATGTGTATGGGGAAGAGCGAGGGATTCTCGCGGAGAAGCCGCTGATCCTGGGAAAAGCCGCAAGAGGAAGAACCAATATGGACGTATTGAGTGGTGAAATCGAGGTTGCCCAAAAACGACTGCACCAACTGCACTCCCAAAATCGCACCGACGAGGAAATTACCACTGCAATGAAAAATCTCGGCCTCGAAAGGTAAATTTTTTTTGTTTTCACTCTCCCTTGAATTTGCTTCCAAACTGCTTGATTTATTTTTACTGTAATCTCATATATACGTATGTGGGAATTCAGGGCTGGTTACTATGGGTGGCCTAACACCTACACATTTACAAAGGCAATGGCAGAGATGGTTATGGTTGAGTCCAAAGGAGACCTCCCTCTTGTCATCATAAGGCCAACAATGGTGACAAGTACCCATAAAGACCCATTCCCTGGTTGGCTGGAAGGTGTTAGGTATGTTACTACTAAGCTTATGGGAATTTATTGTAAATTTGTAAAATCGTGCGGTACCGATGGTCATATTAGGAAATTATTTGTCGGATTTTGAACCGAAGAGATGATTTTTTTCCTTTTGCGGTATAAAAGGGTTGGACCACGATTAATAATCACGGTTTCAACCCAAACTCCCGTACCTTTTACAATCCTTCATTATTAAACAACTGGTTGGAAATTAATTACTTGGCTTCCTGGTGCTTTAGAAATCGAGGGTTCATACACCAGAAGTTTTTTTTTTTAACTCGGTTTGAAAATTACACTCTACGACTGGATTTCGTCAGAAGTAATCTAACCACATCAGCGAGAGTGTTTTGATTTTCACTAAAGGTTAATCGAGTTTGTTAAACCCTAACTACTAATTAATCATCGATCATATTGCCATCAACGTCATAAAACACGAGAATTCGTGTCACACATGTATGAATTTTTTTTTTTTTACGAAATCCAGACCTTTCAAATGAAAAACTTTTACCACGTGCAAGATATTTTCATGCTAATTAATAGTTTTGAGATGTGTATTTTTCAAGTACTTATTAATAATGGAACAAATTTTTTTTTGCCCCCTATATAGGACGCTTGACGGATTTATTGTGAGCTATGCCAGAGGAAGACTGAAGTGCATCGTCCATAGACCAGATGTCATTCTTGATTTGGTATGAATGTTTTTTTTCTTCTGGGCACTCTTATTTATCTTGGCTTCGTTATTTTCCTTCTTTCGTATTATATCATCATATCACATTATACCATCACGCGCAATCAAAAAGAATCCGCGTGAGGTTTCGTTTAGGATCTTTTTGTCCGAGTATTCAACTCCATCGCATCTATCCTCGCCTAAACCATGCTTTATTATCGTCTCTCGATCACATCCTGAAATGTTTTTAAGTAATTCCTAGACATCTCTTCTTGCTTCAGAATGCCTTCAACACTGTTTATAATCAAAGCGAAGCATTCTTTCCTTCTGTTTAGCGCCTAGATACGCTTTTTAGATACATTTTCCTTATGATTGCAGATACCAGCTGACATGGTTGTGGATGCAACTATTGGAATAACTGCTATGGCACTTGCAAACCAGCATGTGGATCTGGTTTACCATTTGGGTTCTTCATCGAAAAACCCAATAAGACTGCAAGAGATCCACAGGTTGATGAAGGCTTTCTTTGCTAAAGATCCATGGAAAAATCGCCAAGGAAAGCCCGTAAAAGCTGGTAAAGTCACCACTCTCAGTTCCATGGCTTCTTTCCATGTTTACATGGCCATTCGCTTTCAACTCCCCTTGAAGGTTTGTTCCATTTTATCTTTTTTTTTTTTCTTTCTTTCTAAATCCATAATAGTGACTCATTTTTATTAATTCAATAGTTTGCTGAAAAAAACTAAATAGAATTGTCCCGCGTGGAAGTATGATATGCGTTTGCATTTCTCTCTGTTGTTGTAGATAATGGGTCTGCTGAGCGCAAGTTGTTGTCACAAATTGGAAGCAAATTATGTCGATCTCCATCGGCAATTGAAGTCGGGGATGCGACTGATACAACTCTACAAATCCTATTTATTTTTCGACGGAATGTAAGTTTACGTACCTAACTCCGCGCTCTTCCCTTCAATTTAACGATCATTTGATATCATTGTTTTTATGCACAGTTTCGATGACACAAATTTGGAGGAGTTGAGGAAAAGGGCTAGAGATGAGAAAGGGTTGTACGAGGTGGAACAGTTAAACATGGATATCAAGAGTATCGATTGGAAGGGCTACATCACCAATGTCCACATTCCTGGTCTTCTTCAATTCGTCGTGAAAAAATGAATCCATCTATCGGCACCAATTTCCAACACTTTTTTTTTATTTTGGGTTGAAAATTTCCAACACTTTTGGTGACCGTTGGTTTGGTCGCAATAGAGAAGGCTCTTGTTCTATAGCTGGTAATGTATTACAATATAATAAACAGAAGCAATGACTTCTTTGGGAGATGAAGGAGAAAACAGAAAAGCAATATTCAATAGGGGTCGAGTTTGGTTATTATTATTATTGTTATTATTATTGTGTGATGCATTATAGTGTCGTGGCCCGAGTTTGGTTATTATTATTATTTGTCTTCATATAAATTATTGGTTGGAATATTTTGTTGTTATTATTACTATTATTTATTGTGTCTTGTCTAGAAAGTAATCGTTCACTTGTTGGTTTGAGATTAGATTTCCTTGTCTTAAGGGAAAAAAGTTTGCAAGATTAGTCCTATAAATATGTATGTTTGTTCTTCTATTTTCATTCAAGTAATAAAGTTCGGTATTTAATAGTAAATAAGCTCTCTTTTATCGCGTTCTTGGTTCTTTCGTAGAGAAGTTCGAGTTCTACGATGCGTGAGATTTGCATCACGCGTCAAATATGACTTAACTTTTATGTTTCGGAGACGGTATCTACTATTTCGAGAGAATCTTTTCTTAGTAACCGCTACCCAACCTCTAACCAGTAGATTGAAAATTTAACATTGACTCAACACAAGTCAATAAAACCTGTTCGAATCTTAACACTCTGTTTGGCAACAAAGGGGGTGCAAATTGTAGGGGATGCAAGTTAACCAACACATGTGCAAATGTGTTGAAAACTGTGTTTACCCCTCACATTTGCCCCCCCCCCCCCCCCCCTCCCATTTACCCCTCTTCCCAAACAGAAGGGGTCGTTTGAAAGTTGTGATTTCAAATGGTGTATTGAGCTAATTCATGTGTTTGTGAGATTAATTCGTTTTTTTTTTTTTGGTTATATTGAACTAGAATACATGCATTCACTTTTTGGAGGCTTCACCACAATCACTCAAAATTGAGGGATTGTCAATCTCTACTTTTTGTTGAGATTGTTCACAATCACTCAAAATTAGTTTTTATGCCTTTACAACAAAAACACAATCTAAACCTCTAAACAAAGTATTTGTCTAATACATTAGTTGACTAATCCCAAGCTAAGAAACCTCCATTTCTCTGTCTCTCCCTCTCATACAGTCAATCTAACCAATTTATTCCTTTCGAGAAAGATACCGAACCAGAACGCAGTGATGACTCGGGCTAATTAGCGGTCATTGACTCATTGGAGCCCAATATCAAGGCCCAATCAGCGAACTCAAAACCCATTACCCAAGAGGGCAAAGCCCAGCAACAAAACAACCAGGCAGGCAACTCCAAGTTGGCCGCGCAAACGGTAACCCGAGCAGATTCGAAATTCAAAAAAACATCCCGAAAACCAACGGCCGCCCATTCCTTTGAATCTCCTTTGCATCGCAGCCGTCCATCTCTCCTGGCACATCCCAAATCAACGGTCCTCCTTCTCCCTCTCCACGCTCCGGAGAAAGGAATAAGAGAGTGAACTCGCATCGCAGGACGAAGACTCAGATCACCATAGCCATCGACTGAGAGATAGAAAGAGACTAGAGAGAGATGGAGAAACCTGTGACCACGGCGTCAGTGATGGAGTTGTTCGAGAAGCTGGAGAAGGTCGGCGAAGGGACGTACGGCAAGGTGTACAGAGCGAGGGAGAGAGCGACGGGGAAGATCGTGGCTCTGAAGAAGACCCGACTCCATGAGGACGACGAAGGAGTTCCTGCGACCACTCTTCGCGAGGTCTCCATCTTGCGAATGCTCTCCAGGGATCCTCATGTAGTGAGGTACTACTGATATCTATCGCCATGGATTTTAAGTCCCTTAGCTGATTCTCCATATTTACTCTTGCTTGTTTGAATCTGGAGTTTTAGTACCCTGACTCCGTGATAAATTAGGTTTCTCTAGATGGAATGAGATCATTTGTCCGATTAGGGTTTCTGTAGAACTCGAAAATTTTACTGAATGATGAATTAGGTTTAATCCCTGAAGCGAATTGACTGGGTTTGGACTTGGGGGAGATGGGTCATTTGGTTTAGTTTCGATTCGTTTGGTGATGATCGGTATCAGTGCTTTCAAGAGATGAAAAATCGGCAGTTGAATCGTGTTCGAAATCGGTGATGATTTAAATGAGGTCTGATTTTGATTGGTAGATTGTTGGACGTTAAACAAGGGCTGAGCAAAGAAGGGAAAACGGTTCTGTACCTGGTGTTTGAGTACATGGAGACTGATCTGAAGAAATACATCAGGAGCTTCCGCCAAACTAAAGGCACCATTCCTACGGACATTGTTAAGGTACTGTAGTGTAGCCAATGTTGAAAGCTCTATCGATGAACCATTCTTCAGCATCTTTATTTATATGTTGCTCGGAGAATCTTATATGGGCCTTGTATTAACCAGTTGCTATAATTTTTCTATCAACCTATGTCCAGAGCTTGATGTATCAGTTGTGTAAGGGTGTCGCATTCTGTCACGGGCATGGGATCTTGCACAGGTATTTGAAACCCTTTTCTCGAAATATGTTTCTTTGGTCCAAAATTTGTTCTTTAACTAATGGTTGTTTTGCTTTCTTGTGTTGTTGATCTCCTGTGCAGGGACCTCAAGCCCCACAATCTGTTGATGGACAAAAAGACAATGATGCTTAAGATTGCAGATCTTGGACTCGCTCGTGCATTTACTCTCCCTATCAAGAAGTACACACATGAGGTAGGATCATAAGCGGACATTCTCCCTTCTTTTGTGATATTCCTTCATGCGATAGCTAGCTTCAGATAAAAGTTTCCCGAGTTGTCCATTTCTAAAAGGGGTTACGTGGGGTGTAATGTTGCTCTTCAGATCCTGACTCTCTGGTATAGAGCTCCTGAAGTCCTCTTAGGAGATACCCACTACTCTGTTGCAGTCGACATATGGTCCGTTGGCTGCATCTTTGGTAAAGATTTTTCTGTTCACCCACTCCATAGTTTATGTTTCACCTCTCTAGCGTTTTAAGTCAAGCCAGTTCACTAATTTTCTGTAATGGCCTTTTTCATGAATTCCAGCTGAATTAGTGAATCTGCAAGCCATATTCCAAGGAGATTCAGAGCTGCAGCAGCTTTTGCATATTTTCAGGTTTGCAATGACTTTCAAAGTGCATTCTTGTAACCTTTTTCTTGCTCGACAAGGCTAGTAATCCAGAAATACCATCTTTACTGTACGATTGGCAGACAGCTGGGTACACCAAATGAAGAGATATGGCCTGGAGTCAGCAAACTTGTGAACTGGCACGAGTATCCCCAATGGAGTCCCCAAAGTTTGTCAACTGCTGTCCCTACTCTGGACAAGGATGGGCTCGATCTCCTCGAGGTGAGTCTCTTATGAAACTTTTGCAGACTTTTGCAGAAGTACCATACTTTTGCAGACTGCATACAATCATGACTATGAAACTAATGACCTGCAAAATAACATTGCAGCAAATGTTGAAGTATGACCCGGCAAAGCGTATATCAGCAAAGAACGCCATGGAACATCCGTACTTTGATGATGTAGTGAAGGACGATCTGTGAGATGATAATTATTAGCTGGAGAGAAGATTCCCAAGTGCTACAACAATCAATCCAAGCGAGGCCAAGTTTTTAAGATCACCTTCTGTCATGCAAGCTGAATGACGAGGATGATGATTTGTTCACTCCAATGACAATAGGATAAAAAAGCTCTCTACTTTGTGCTTCTCTCAAGCAAAATGTAACAATTCTATGATGTTCTGCAATGTTAAGATATCATTATGCCAATAGGCGGTACTGATGTGTTAGGCTTTGGCGGATAGCTTGATGGCTCTCTCTGACTTGTTTGCTTGAACAACAGCTCAACTATTACTAAGGAACTTTTTCCTTTTTATAAATGTTAACTTTGCATTGTTAAGGAACTGGTCTTGCATGGAACTTCTTAGTTAGTCTCGTGGAAGAGAAATCACTCTGAAATCATACATCGATGTTGGATGGAAGTTTGAACATTTTATTCTCGGTAGTGAGATAACAAGCAGAACATTGCTGCAACTAGTATTACTTGCCGCAAGAACTAGCTGCTCATAGTATTATACTATGCATGAAAAGACCATAGTCATCTCGTTGATGGTATTATACTAGTAATACCATTGTACACAAGCTGAATCTGATAGCTGCTTCTTGTTGATTTTTGTCATGTGTGTTCCTTTTCCTCCTCTTTGAGAAGAAGTAACAAATCTGGGGGAAATGCTCACTGAGCTATTTTCCATTGATGTAAAACCATATATATACAGAAGTTTTAAAAGTCTAATTACTGTAGTTTAATGGCTAATAAAAACTAACAAATGAAACTACCAATGAATGCTATACACGTGTACTATCTACAGTTCAATCGGAACTAAAAGTTGTTGGTGGAAAACGCCACCGTTCCTGGCTGCACTTGAAGCAAGACGCAGTCGTTTTGCTCTGCTCCTTGTTCTTCCTCTTGTTCTTCATTTCTGGAGCAGAGCTGCATACTTTGGTTGCTGTTGAGCAACTCGGATCACCTGGAGGTTGATCATCTCGCCTCTCTATTACTCTTTCCAATTTGTACGTTTAGTGTACACTGGATCTGGAATAGGAATACTTTCTTCCGCCAACTTCTTGCAGAATGTTAAATGTAGCCTCTGAACTATTACTTTTTCCCTATTCAAGTCCCTCGACAATTTATTTTCAGTCACTTGACTTGACCTCCAAGTTACCTTAACTCTTAGTTAGAAGAGAATTAAAGTAGCAAACTCCTATGTTTGATTGCATGTAGCTTTTATCTTCTTGTGAAAGGTTGTATTTATATAGCACTCTTGCTTTGCTGGCCTGGCCTCGCCAAGTAGGGGTAATTCCCTAAATACACATAAAACTAAAAATAAATTTTTAAACTACCACACTTATAAAAAAAATTCCCAAAATAACTAAGTTTGGAGTGGTTCGAGTTTGAGGAACTCGAACTACTAACCGGTTCGAGTGTAGGAGACTCGATCTAGTCCTAGATCGATGATATAAGCCTCGAACCATGTGGGGCTGAAGTGGTTTGAGTTCAGTGAACTCGAACCACTCCTTTGAAATTTCCAACCACCTTAAATTTGTGTTCGGTTATCCGATCGTAGCAAACTTTTTTTTCATTTCGCATAACTTTTCGAGGAGTACAACTTTTTAATAGAAATATTTTCAGAATATATGTGAAAATGTGAAAATTAAAGTTAAAGATAATCCCAAAACCCCTTATATTAAAAATTATTCCTATTTTGAAAATTTATTCCTAGTAAATGTTGTAGTACTCAAAATATTATGCAAAATAAAAAAAACATTGCGATTTTTGGATTACGGAGCACAAAGTTATGATCCTCTAAAGTTTGACAAAATCGAAAAATTGCTCGTTTAGGGGTAACAAATGACATTTTCTCGGGGCGAAGGCACGGGGAATTTTTTTATTTATAGGAAATTTCTGCCAAAAGATCAATTTTTTCCAAACGAGAAATTTTTGGATGGCTATGGTTCGAGGCTTATATCATCGATCTATGACTAGATCTAGTCTCTTACACTCGAACCGGTTAGTAGTTCGAGTTCCTCAAACTCGAACCACTCCAAACTTAGGTATTTTGGGAATTTTTTTTTATAAATATGGTAGTTTAGGAATTTGTGTTAGTTTTATGTGTATTTAGGGAATTATTCCGCCAACCAGCAGCAATCCTGGCTCTGTCAATGGATCTCGTCGTATACGGTACATAGCAATCTTCATGTTATGCATTACGATTTACGCATGTGTATGTTGATAGATGATCAAGTTATTGACAAACGAGCAAAACATATACAAACAAAGGACACCATTGTCCATTGGCTTTTGGCCAGAAAACACAGTAGATCATATGCCTCCCTTTTCCCCCCTTGTCTTCTCGATAATATTATAATAAATTAACTTTCACCAAAATGTCATCGCTTACGTCATGTTTTCTCCACAAGCCAATTACCAACCTTGTCTTTATATACATCGGGAACACCAAGATCACCGTTCAAGCTCACTAACTAGTAACCACAAAAAGCAACGCTTCGCAGCTCTTCCTCTGCGTCTCCAAACCATGACCGCCGGTGCAGATCAGCAACAACGCCGCCGCCGCCCTCACGTCCTGGTGGTAACGTATCCAGCGCAGGGCCATCTGAACCCGGCCCTCCAATTCTCCATCCGTTTGGTGTCCCTCGGATGCAGAGTCACCCTCGTCACCACAGTCTCCGGCCACCGCCGCATCGACGCTAGCTCCTCCTCCCTTCCCGCGGAGGGGCTCTCCATCGCGACGTTCTCCGACGGCCACGACGACGAGGTACAGACCTCGTCGTCGTCGTCTCAGGCCACGGATCGGGCCCAGCGCTGGGCCCAGCTCGTGACCCGCGGGTCCCAGTTTCTCAGAGAGCTCATCGCGTCCAACGCCAGGGAAGGAACCCCGTTCGCCTGCTTGGTGTACACGATACTGCTGACGTGGGCGATGGACGCGGCGCGTGAGGAGAACCTCCCCTCCACGCTCCTCTGGATCCAGCCGGCCACCGTCCTCGACATCTACTACTACTTCGTGAACGGGTACGAGGAGATGTTCGACAACTGCAAGGATCCGTCGTTCGCCGTGGAGTTACCGGGACTCCCGGTAAGCTTCACGTCGAAGGACCTCCCTTCCATCGTCGTCCCTTCCAACCCGTACCCTATGTTTCTCGAAGCAATGAAGAATCAGATCGAAGTCTTGTCCTCCTCCAGCAGGGAGGAGGACAGGACCGGGACGACGACGATGGTCCTGGTCAACACTTTCGACGCGCTGGAACTAGAGGCCCTGAAAGCCCTGGAGGGGAAGCTCGATATGGTAGGGGTGGGGCCCCTGGTCCCGTCGAGCTTCCTATCAGTTACACAATATCCCATCACTACTTTCAACACCACCACCAACTCTGCTAGCGGAGATGATGATGATGATAAGATCATCATCTCCGCTCCAGACTACATGACGTGGCTTGACTCGCAAGCCACGTCATCAGTCGTCTACGTGTCGTTCGGGACCATCGCTGAGGTGTCGAGGAGGCAGAAGGAGGAGGTAGGGAAAGCGCTGGTAAGCAGCGGGAGGCCTTTCCTGTGGACATTAAGGAAAGAGGCGGAGAAGGCTGGGGAGGAGGAAGGAGTGGAGGTGGCGAGATGGAGAGAGGAGATGGAGGAGAAGGCGGCGGAGGCTGGGGGGAGGATCGTTGAGTGGTGCTCGCAGGTGGATGTGCTCTCGCATGGGGCGGTGGGGTGTTTCCTGACGCACTGTGGATGGAACTCGACGCTGGAGAGCATGTGTTTGGGGGTGCCAATGGTGGGGTTCCCGCAGTTTTCAGACCAGGAGACGAACACGAAGCTGGTGGAGGACGTGTGGCGGACCGGGGTGAGGGTGACAATAGTGCCGGAGAACGGTGGTGGTGGTGGTGCGGTGGTGGAAGAAGGTGAGATAAGGAGGTGTTTGGATTTGGTGATGGGAGATGGGGAAGTGGGGGAAGAAGTGAGGAGGAATGCGAGGAAATGGAAAGAGCTTGCGAGGAGTGCAGTTGGGGAGGAGGGTGGGACTTCCTACGCCAACCTCAAGGCTTTCGTGGATGAGATTACTAGCTAAGCTAGGTGACAAGAGGAGAAGATATCATTATGATAATGCACACATGTACGTGTTGACTGCATAATTAGTTTGAACTAGCTAGTGGAAGTGGATTATTACTTTTCTAAAAAGTTTCCCTTGCACTATTTGCCCATACTATTAGTGGATGCTATTAAGGATGACAAAATTATCCGTAATCATGGATATACGCCTGAATCCGGCTTAATTGGGTAGGCTAAAATTCGAACTCGAATGACATTTAGTGGGTATGGGTAAAACTCGAACCTGGATATTGTGGGTAATGGGTGGGCATGGGTTTCTCAGTATCCATCCTGAACCCGCCCGATATACACATGCATATGTATTTTGTCTAGAATTAATCATTATTTTTCTCTAACATATTTTATATTTAGCATATAAATATAATATTTTCATGAAATTGTGTTGTTTTAATTAATTTTCTTCATTCTAGTGAATTATTGTCGTATTTTTCCTCTTACGTAACGTTAGAATACATGTGAATGTTAACATATTGGTTGGAGTTATGAATAGAAATTATTACTCATGGATAACCGTGGATACCCGAAACCCGAACGGGTATGGACATGGTTTTGATTTTCTACCCGTTTCACATGTGGGTATGGATATGTGTAAAACCCAAACTATTTTGGGTAGGATAACGAATATGCACTATCCACCCCGACCCGACCCATTGCCCTCCCTACATGCTATTGCTAACCTCTGTTTAAGCTATTTTATTAATATAGTAAAATGTATAATCGTTGTTATTTAAAAATAAATATTTCTAATACTTTTTAAATAAAATTATCTATTAGTTTTTTTTTTATTTCCGTATTCTCATTTCATTCTCCGTGATATATAATTTTCTGTCGTTGTTATGGCTAATTCATTAAGACTTTCTTGGTAACTAATAACACATATAAGAATTTAACATTATTCTCCTTCATATAATTTTTCATCGTTGTCATGGCTAATTCATTAAGACTTTCTTAATAATTTATAACACATATAGGAATATAACATTGTGCCTCCTGACTCCTCTGTATATAATATACATGCGAGATTAATATTGATCAATGGCTCACATTAGTATTGCCTAATGGGATATACATAAGCATAATCCATTAATCATACACGACACTTACCACATATATTATATCTGTTTGGATTAAACTCCTCATCATATCCCTAATATTCGGAGGTCATGTGCCAGAAGGCCTACCGACACACCGTACTGGCCACTCGTGAGTTCAATGCAGAACCTCGACACAAAATGTTAAACTAACACAATAATAATAATAATAATAATAATAATAATAAATCAACATTTAGTATGAGCAACTTTCTCGACGTTTATATTAGGGTTGGTAAACGGATAGTCGGTTATCGATTTTAATTTTTAACTGATAACTGAACCGATAAAGATTGCTAGTGGTTAATCGATAACTGATAATTTCTTATTGGTTCGATTTCGGTTAGTGGTATTTTGCTTATTGGATAAACACTAACTGACAAATCGGTCAGTGGTTAACCGATAACCGCCTACTAGTATAACCACATAGTTTTGGAAAGTCGCAATTCCAAACCTCCCAATTCCGAATTATTGCAAACAACTCCACCAAGAGTCTCAAATTTGTTTAAGAGTCAGAACTCGAAAGTAACATCTCTCTAACTTCTCTTTGCATTCGACAATGCAAACGTCATACCCTAGTGATCTTTCTCTCTTTGATTTTTTTTGAATGATGATCTTGTGGTGCTTGTATTTGATGTCTTTCAAATTGGATGAATAAGTTTGATTAATTTTTATTTTATGCACTAGAATTGAAATTGAATTATGAATTCATGAAGAATTTTGTATTGATATTATTTTTAGTAATTATTATTTTATGTTAACAATGTAGACATGTAGTTAAATTATTTTGGATTACTTGTATGATTATTCGTCTTTAATATTTAGTACTCTTCGTCATCCTTATGTTTGTGGATTGAAAATGATGTTAAATGACACTTCTTAAACTTAATTAGATGATGATTTGTGTATTACAAATGATTATTGCTTTGGTTTATTCTATTTTGTGAAAGAAAATCGAAATTATTGATTTGATATTTAGTTAGATTAGGTAGAATCGTAGTTGTTGGGAAGTATTTTAGTTGTTATTGGTTAACAACCAAGTTGACCACTAACCGAACCGATAATAGACGGTTAGCTGTTAAGGCTTATCGGTATTAGTTTTTTTTGCTTATTGGTTAACCGCTAACCGCCATATCCGTTAGTGGTTAACCAAAACCGAACTGATTATCACCCCTAGTTTATATAGTGATGGTGATGAAACTGTCGCTAAATGTGCAGGTCTTGACAATAATTTTTGTTCGTCCATTGCCCGTCGATAATCTTTACGATATTTTCTTGCGTTTTCAGTTTTTACCAAGTTTTAACTTAACTAAAAATGGTGAACATGAATTATTAAAGCAAGGTTGATGACCAATGATAATTTTCACCAATACACCACCCCCACGCGACTACAAATATAATAATACTCGCTCCAAACAGGTTAGACCAGATTGAATCACACAGATCAAGAATTGCCATCACTATTTTGGTAGTCATTGATCAGATTTGATATGAACAATTACTTTTATCAACAATAAAATTCATTTGTGACCATTTCTGGATTTTGACCGCTAAACATAATTTCTTTCAATCAATCACAAAATTGGAAGTTCGGTTATTGGTTTGTTAATTGACCTAAATTATAAGGATCAATAACTCTTTTTAGGCGAAAAAGTTAAACTGCTCACAGGTTAAACTGTGAGTAGATACTCACAGACACATATATCCGCCGAGGAGAGAGGAGGGGGGTCGTTTCCTTTTTTTGGGCGAGCCGAACTTTTGGGCGGAGGAAGTGGGTAGTTTTTTGGGCGGCCCGAATTTTAGGGCGGGAAGTGGGCAGTGTTTTGGGCGGCCCGGAATTTTGGGCGGGAACTTGAAAAAGGAAGGAAGATTTTGGGATGGTGGCTTGCAGCCTAGTAAGGGCCGCCCGCCGAGGGCCCATGGGCCGAAGGCTCATAAAATAGTTTTTTGGGCCGATATTGACATGGTCTGAGAGGATATGTTTTTGTAAAAGGATGAATATTCGTATGACATTATGAGATACTAGTCTGGGTTTTACAGATATTTGTTGACATGTGTTGGCATAATATCAATTCCTAATTCCTTTAAGTTTTTTCGACACTCGTTCAGTTATGCATTGTTTGTAGGTTTTCATCGTCGATGGTGTTCCTTATGGTTGAGAGATCAATTCATCGTCGGGATAGTTTTTTGGGCCGATATTGACATGGCCTGACAAGATATGTTTTTGTAAAAGGACGAATATTGGTATGACATTATGAGATACTAGTCTGAGTTTTACAGATATTTGTTGACATGTGTTGGCATAATATCAATTCCTAATTCCTTTAAGTTTTTTCGACACTCGTTCAGTTATGCATTGTCATTAATAGTTGTCTTGTGCAGGGATGTTTGTAGGTTTTCGTCGTCGATGGTGTTCCTTATGGTTGAGAGATCAATTCACAGTCGGGATGTTGACTACGCAAGCCAGCGAGTCGTGCAATGCACAAGTGCGACTTTTCTTGAAAATGATTTGGACTTGTTTTTCATTCACTTTAGCAGGTACGCAGAATATTTCTTTGCCTTTCTTTGATATTAGTCTACTTAAATTTTGGATATTTGTCAGCGTTGTCCGGATATTTATATGCTATTGTTAGATATTACTTTGTTTAGTTGGGATATTAGTATTGGTTTGAGTGGATATTAGTCTGGGCACTAAACTCTTTCTCGTGCTTTGTAAATGTAGTTTGTTGGCGGAAAAAAGACGCAAGGAGACTGAGTCAGACTACAATGGGAAACAATCGGTTCCTTATATTATGATGGAGGATAGCCCGTTCCTACAACATGCGGCAAAGGTCTTTACTCCTAACATCTTCAATCGGATACAAAATCAGTATTTGAAAACTGAACCCTATCTAAAGGTCTTTACTCCTTGTGCATGTACTTGCGCTGCGACTTCAGCATCTTCTTCTTCCTCATCCTCCTCTGGCTGTGGCGGTGGTGACGGCGGTGGATTTCGTCGCTGTCTCTTCACGTTCGTTTTTATCCCTGCACGTACAAATATCCAGATATATCAAACAATTATCCAAGCAATTCACAACAGATATCATGATGGTTAAAAACCAATATCCAGATATATCAAACAATTATCCATGCAAGTCATAACTGATATCATGCTGATCAAAAACCAATATCCAGATATATCAAACAATTATCCAGGCAAGTCACAAATGATATCATTCTGATCAAAAACCAATATCCAGATATATCAAACAATTATCCAGGCAAGTGACAAATGATACCATGCTGATAAAAACCAATATCCATATATATCAAACAATTATCCAGGCAAGTCACAACTGATATCATGCTGATTAAAAACCAATATCCAGATATATCAAACAATTATCCAGGCAAGTCAGAACCCATATCATGCTGAGTAAAAACCAATATCCAGATATATCAAAGAAACAATCCAAGCAAAACACAATGGATATCCAGATATATCAAAGAAACAATCCAAGCAAAACACAATGGATATCCAGAATCAAAATAAATAATATCGGAACGCACACAAAACAGATTATAACATGTAGCAGAGATTTAGAGTGCACCGAAATCTGTACCTCGCCTTGCTTTGACCTCGAGCTGCTTCTTGTGCAGATCCTATCAAACAACTATCCAAGAAAGTCATAACTGATATCATGCTCAAACAAAACCAATATCAAGATACATCAAACAACAACCCAGGCAATAAACAACGGATATCCAGAAGGAACAGAATGCATATCTTGCCGAACAGAATAAATAAGACAGTTACCTTAGTCCACAAAGTAGTTCTTTCTCCAACGACCGCCGTCAAACCAACCGCCGCTACTTCGTCGCCGTGAAACCCCGCCCTTCGTCGCCGCCGATTAGTCTGCAAAGTCTCCGCCGTCAACACAAGCTTCGTCGATGTGAAACCCCGGCCTTCGTCGCCGCCGAAACCCTGCCCTTCGTCGCCGCCGATTAGTCTGGACCCTCGTCGCCGCCGCCGAAACCAACCACCGCTACGCTGCACCCTCGCCGCCGCTTCGCTCGTCGCCGCTTCGTAGGTCCGTCGCCGCCGCTTCGCTGGTGGTCGCCGTGAAATCGCTGCTTCTTCGTCGTGTTCGTGAGAGGAGGAAAGTGAGAGAGAGGGGAAAAGGGGGAGAGAGGGGAAAGTGGTTCTGGCGGAGAAACTGATTTGGGGAAAGAATTTTTGGTTTTTGAATTTTTTGTTTTTGAATTTGTGGTGGGTTTTTGAATTTGTGGTTTTTGAATTTGTGGTGGGTCAGTCGTGGGTTTGGCCAGCCAACCCAAACCGACTCACCTTTCTCAACCCAAACCAGCGCCATCTGAGTCTCGCCCTCGTGGACAATAGATCCACCGTGTGAGTATCTACTCACAATTATTGCAAACAACTCCACCAAGAGTCTCAAATTTGTTTAAGAGTCAGAACTCGAAAGTAACCTCTCTCTAACTTCTCTTTGCATTCGACAATGCAAACGTCATACCCTAGTGATCTTTCTCTCTTTGATTTTTTTTGAATGATGATCTTGTGGTGCTTGTATTTGATGTCTTTCAAATTGGATGAATAAGTTTGATTAATTTTTATTTTATGCACTAGAATTGAAACTGAATTATGAATTCATGAAGAATTTTGTATTGATATTATTTTTAGTAATTATTATTTTATGTTAACAATGTAGACATGTAGTTAAATTATTTTGGATTACTTGTATGATTATTCGTCTTTAATATTTAGTACTCTTCGTCATCCTTATGTTTGTGGATTGAAAATGATGTTAAATGACACTTCTTAAACTTAATTAGATGATGATTTGTGTATTACAAATGATTATTGCTTTGGTTTATTCTATTTTGTGAAAGAAAATCGAAATTATTGATTTGATATTTAGTTAGATTAGGTAGAATCGTAGTTGTTGGGAAGTATTTTAGTTGTTATTGGTTAACAACCAAGTTGACCACTAACCGAACCGATAATAGACGGTTAGCTGTTAAGGCTTATCGGTATTAGTTTTTTTTGCTTATTGGTTAACCGCTAACCGCCATATCCGTTAGTGGTTAACCAAAACCGAACTGATTATCACCCCTAGTTTATATAGTGATGGTGATGAAAACTGTCGCTAAATGTGCAGGTCTTGACAATAATTTTTGTTCGTCCATTGCCCGTCGATAATCTTTACGATATTTTCTTGCGTTTTCAGTTTTTACCAAGTTTTAACTTAACTAAAAATGGTGAACATGAATTATTAAAGCAAGGTTGATGACCAATGATAATTTTCACCAATACACCACCCCCACGCGACTACAAATATAATAATACTCGCTCCAAACAGGTTAGACCAGATTGAATCACACAGATCAAGAATTGCCATCACTATTTTGGTAGTCATTGATCAGATTTGATATGAACAATTACTTTTATCAACAATAAAATTCATTTGTGACCATTTCTGGATTTTGACCGCTAAACATAATTTCTTTCAATCAATCACAAAATTGGAAGTTCGGTTATTGGTTTGTTAATTGACCTAAATTATAAGGATCAATAACTCTTTTTAGGCTAACCAAAAAAACATTTGCGAGGAAAACTGGCAAGTCGAATTGACGAAAGCCGAAGCCGTAGTCCATTACATTTTTTCTGAACTTGTTAGTTACTGCTCTACTGATTCTGATACCGAGATTCAAACAAGGCGAATGCGCTGTTAGTCCGAGCTCACAGATCGACCAACCATGGCGGTAATTGCATTTTCTGAATCTCTTCCCTTACAGTTCTCCGACCCGGGGGATTTCCACCTGAATGAATTTTGGTTCTCTGGTTCTTCTGGTTTCAGGATTCGTCCGGAACCACTTTAATGGATCTGATAACGGCCGACCCGGGACCGGCGTCGTCCGCCTCTGGATCCACGGCCAACGCGACTCCTTCGTCCGCATCGGCTTCCGCCGCTGCTTCGCAGTTGCCATCAGTTCCAATGACGACCACGTCTTCGTCGTCGTTGGGGAAGACCATTTTGGGGGAGAAGAAGTCTAAGAGGGCGACGCTTATGCAGATCCAAAACGAGACCATTTCTGCTGCTAAAGCTGCATTGCAACCCATGAAGACCAATATCATGCCCCAGAAGCAAAAGAAAAAGGTGAGCTTCCTTCTCTCGATCTCTCCATGCCGTGCTTTCCTTTTACTTCACCCTCATTTTCTAGTCCTAGTTGAATTTTCTTCAGTGTGGATTTCTTTAGTGTTAAAATGAATGGTGTGAGCATAAGAATGCCGGTTGTTGTTACTTGAGGATTTGTTGGAGCGATCACTAATGCAATTGTAGTTGAATTGTGATCTTAGCGTACTACTCCTTGAACATGGAGTTGCTGATAGATCTTCATTAAGTTCCCATTTTGTTTAGTCAGAACGTTCAGTAACTGATGTTTGGAATTCAGGCAATGTCGAAGACTTCATGTTTAGGTGTTGGTAGGGTAACGAGTTCACTAATTGTAAATTTTGCAATGGAGAATGCACCTTTGCTGTTCTCTCGTCATCATTGGAGTTTGAGCATTAGTCTTTAAATTTCACTTGGCTGTTTGTTGCTGCTCTGGCCACTGTCTATCTTGTTGGCAGAGGTAGAAGCCTGGCTTACGTTGCCATTGTTGGAGAGTCCATTCTTGTAGTGTTTCAATCAAGTTGGCTTAACTGCTTATCGGTTGTAAGTTACCTTAAGACACAAAAGTTTGGAAATTCTAGTCAATGAAGTAATATTATGGTAGCATTCTTCCAAATCCTCTTGGAGGTCATGTCCTATCATCTGAGATGTGACTCGTGTCTGTTTATGTTTCGTGTTTATTCTTTGGCTGCTACTCTGTCTTTTTGACAGTGATAGAGTTTCACGCATAGCCACCGATGGTTAGCTGTATGCTGTTCTTCAACCATTTAAATTAGGCTGTTCTAACCTTTTTGCTTTATGTTAATGGTCAAAGTTCAATTCTGGTTGATGAATTAAAGGAGGGGGTTCCTACCATGATCCCTTTCAATTATGCAGATTATGTTGCCATCTTTCAGGTTTTTGTTGATGCTTATGGTTTTTAAATATCTATCTTGCAGCCAGTTTCTTATTCACAACTTGCACGGAGCATCCATGAACTAGCTGCTACGTCTGATCAGGTAAACATAATCTACTTCTTTTCTCATCTTTGTTCTTTTATGTGTTGTTTAAAAAGTTACTTCTGACTTTTTTGGTATGTGTATCAATTTTTTGATAGAAAAGCTCGCAGAAGCAGCTGGTGCATCACGTGTTTCCAAAACTTGCGGTGTACAATTCAGTTGATCCATCACTTGCACCATCACTTCTCATGGTACACTGTTATCTTCTTTCGTTTTAGTTCTTGGTCTGGTGATTTTTTTTATACATTGTGGATATTGTACATGGGTTGCCTCTATGAAGTCTTTGACTTTTCCTTATTGAAAGTTACTTCCAACAGTAGCGTGTCTGGTGTGAATGCTCTTGTTTTTATGGAATTTCAACAAATCAAGATATCATTAATGGCTTTGATACTTTTGTCTTTTGGTTGCTGCTCAAAAACTGTTGGTCTTTTAGGAAAAGAAAAAGAACGCTATTTGGACCCTTGATTATTTGTCTGACTGTAGCATTGCATCAGTTGGAGAAAATATGGGAGTAGGGAAACACTTAGTGGAAACTGATGGCCTGGTATGGTATTGAACTATTTTTCTCTGTCCTTATCCTACAGTTAAATCAGCAGTGTGAAGATCGAACTGTCTTACGCTATGTCTACTACTACTTGGCTAGAATTTTATCAGACAATGGTGCTCAAGGTTTGAGTACTGGTGGTGGGATCCCTACTCCTAACTGGGATGCTCTGGCAGATATTGATGCTGTTGGGGGTGTGACAAGGGCTGATGTTGTGCCGCGAATAATTGAACAGCTCTCTGCTGAGGCCTCAAACGTTGACACTGAGTGTAAACCATTTTCCACTTCAATTTTCTCATTGCGTTAATAGCAAATGCTCGTCTAGAATTTTACCAGTGTGATTAATAAAAGAAAAGAAAATTACTTGTCTAAACATTGTTATCGAACTGGAGGGTTAACCTATGTACTGACCATTGGTTTCTCCACAAAGATTTATGACATGTCTGATATGGAATCATCCATAATCCTTGCCATGTTTCTACTGTGCAGTTTACTGCGGTTGTAGTATTAATGGTGTTAATTATCTCATGAGAATGTCACAGAGTGTAACGGCAGTTTTGTGATGCCTTCAAAATCTTATACCCTGTATTACTATTGAGTACAACATAGTAGACACATTAAGTTTATTTCCAATAATGGCAGTTTACACAGTTTATTTTGACCCAACTTCCCTTAATTACGCTGTCAACCACATAATGTGATGAAATGATTCTTAAAATTTATCTTGTTATCTCTTCTGGCCATTACTGGAGACAGCAACTTTTATATATATATCAAGAAAAGAGAAAAACTAAGGCATTTGTGATTTGTAATAGCCAATATAAGTGTCTATTTCTTGCAATTAACCGGTCACCAAAAAATGAATTTTGGCTTGCAAGAATCTGGCGTTTGACAGATGTTTGATTTATGACTGCAGTTCACGCAAGGAGGTTGCAAGCATTGAAAGCTCTTACTTATGCTCCTTCAAGCAACTCCGATATATTGGCCAGATTGTATGAGATTGTGTTTGGCATTCTTGATAAGGTTTGTTACTTCTATCTCCTGCGCTGGTTTTTAGTCAGCAACGTTGTACGACCAAAGTAGTTGGAATCCTGTGATTTTGGTCAATGAACGTCCATTGCTCTATGTGATTTACGCATCATTTAATTAAGGTAATGTTATTTTGTTTTAGGTTGCTGATACTCCTCAAAAACGGAAGAAAGGTGTCTTTGGCACTAAAGGCGGCGATAAGGAGGTATTTATGAACCTTTGATTAGATCCTCATCAAATGCCTCTTCTTCCTTTACCTTGTGGTAAACTCTGTTAGTGGATTGTTTTCTTTATGATACTTGCGGTCCCTTAGCAACTATAAATGGATTGTTTTGACATTCCTTCAATGGTTCGGTGTTCTTGTCACTTTCTACTCAAGGGTAGTGTGCTCTAGTGCAGTACTGTAGATGATAAAATTGGACAATGTTCTTAATCAGTTGAGATGGTTATCGTCATTCCTGATAAGAGAGTATGTTAATGTGTCTGCACATGAATGTCATTTTCTTTGGTATCCCTGCACCTTTACTCTTAGACATCCCTACTCGGTGCTTTCTGAAAATGGCAACAGAGAAGTTCCATGCTTTCTTGCACTCGCTGATACTACGTGGTGCCTCTAGTTTATTTTTACTTATTATACTTCATTTTTTTTCACTAGTCCATCATCCGGAGTAATTTGCAATACGGGGCACTGAGCGCACTCAGAAGACTTCCTTTGGATCCTGGGAACCCAGTCTTTTTGCATCGTGCTGTTCAGGGGTAAATTTATAAGTTTAATGAGATCAACATATAGAGTCTTTGCTCTGGTTAAGTAAGTATATTGGGATTACACTGTTGCATGTTCTGTATGCACCATAGTTCAGTACTTTATTAACTGGCCAAAACTTAGGAAAATGTGCAGTGAGCAAACAGCACAGCTGATGCAACAGGAAAAAAGAAGAAAATGCTACATCTGTATTTGCCTCAGATGTAAGATTTATAAACAGAGCTTCTGACTGGAGCAATTGGAGATGTCCAGTTTTAAGAAAAACTGTTGAGTGTTTGCTGGTAAACTATTAAACATATGTTTTAAAATGGGATGTAAAATGGCTTAAAAAGATGAGGAATCAAAATAGTTAAAGAACTAAGACCTAAAAAAAATTCAATCTTCTTTTCTTCTACTTTAAACATTATTGTATAGAACAATGTACAAGAAAATGCCATAGAAAATAAAAGTTGTAGTAATGACGTTGTACTTTAAGAACCATTTTCCACAGAAACTTGGTATTGGAGTTTCTGAGTTTATGTCATGGGAAGTGCTTTTGGATTTTTCAAATGGCTGATTGGTAGAGATGTTTGGACCGGTTTTTGCTTTTGAAGTAGCAAAGCTCCTTGACAAGCCGGGCCAAATAAAAGTAAGAACTAATCCCCTAGGAGAGTAAGAGAGAATGGATATACTTACCAATTTGGGTGAAACACACACGACCGCCCTAGGAATGGCAGAGAGAAAGGAAACATTTACCCAAGACAATTATCTTTTTCATCTCTTTAAGACAAAGGTATGGCAGTTGTCAAGGAAGAAGGGTGGAAAGTATGCATGCCTCATTGGTCATAAGCAGTCTGTCTGTTTTTTTTATTCCATGCACCATATAGCTTAATTCTTCTCAACAGTTCAATATTGAAGCTGAAATGATAAATTTGTATAAGCTGACCCCTAAGTAATCATATTGTTATTGCGTGCTTAAACATTAGTTTGATTTAATTGATTTCTCTACATAGTCTACACTGCCTCTTGGATCTGTACGTGTTAATTATTTTCTTGCCAGGGTTTCATTTGCAGATCCTATTGCTGTGAGGCATGCACTGGAGATTATCTCAGAGTTAGCTATGAAGGATCCTTATGCAGTGGCAATGGCATTGGGTAACTCACGTCTTCTATGCCCTTTTTCATTCTCATGTTCTGCAGTATTACATGTCTTTCTATGCTGCAGGCTCTGAACCTTTCAGTGTCTAACTTTTGTAAATTGTGTTGTTGCAGGAAAAGTTGTGGTTCCCGGAGGTATGTATTATATATCAACTAATTTTCTGTGCTTGAGCACTTTTTTCAAGATAACTCCCTAATTTGTATGTACTATATATCAACTAATTTTCTAAGAAGCATGAGTAGAAGGCTGTGAAACAACTAAGAAAAGCCTGAAACTTGTGGGAATATCTTCCATTTTGCATTAGACGGCATGGGTGTGATGGGAAAAATGTGAATCTCCAGCCCACCGTTTCAAGAATTTGTTGTAGAATATTCTTGGGACTGATAGGAAGAAGGGGCAATTGGTGGGAAAAATGAGTTGAGATTCAGGACTAATTTTCTCGCCAGAAATAGTACGAGGAGATAGTTTGATCATGTCAGCAGAGTTTCTTTTTGCTTTTTGTAGTTGAGGGGAGGTTATGGATTATCCCATTGCTTTAACATTGGCGGCGTTTGGTAGGATTGCTTTTCTAGTAGGTTAAAGATGCACAAAATGTCAAAATGTTTGTAAAGCACAACGCATGTCGTAGGTATAAAGCAATTTCGTAGGTAACTCTCGTGTTGTTGATTGAGACATTCTGTGACCAAATGACTCCGACAGGTCATGCACGTTAGAATTCTAAGTTTGCTGTGGTGGTCTGGACACACTTGAAAAAATGTCTTATGATTCTTCAACCCGTTATTGTAAGCACATTAGCTGTCAGAGTGCTACTTTATGATATGTTGACTGCAAATTACCAGGTTCTTCTGGTTAACGCGGTTACATTTGGTGTCTTGTAAAACAGGGGCTCTGCAGGATGTTCTTCATTTGCATGATGTGCTTGCTAGAGTTGCATTGGCTAGGTTGTGCCATACTGTTTCGAGAGCTCGTGCACTGGATGGTAAATTGTTGTTGTGTCTGACATCATAAATGGCTTGTGGGTCAGAAACAAATTGTAGTGATTGGCTGACTTTTCTAATTATTTGTAAACAGAGAGGCCGGATATTAAATCACAATTTAATTCATTACTCTATCAACTGCTGCTGGATCCAAGTGAAAGAGTATGCTTTGAGGCAGTCTTGTGCATATTGGGAAAGTATGACAGCACAGAGAGGTAGGCATGCAGTTAGGTGTCTGTTTTACTTTTTTTTTACCTGAACATCTTGTGATGAAAGAGTGTTCTCGACATTGTTGTGATTAGTGTCTTCTTTCATTTGGCTTTGATGTGTGTGCAAGTATTACTTTCTGATAATTTCTTCTGTGTCTATACATCCTGTAACGTCTATGATATGTTACTAGGCTGCTTCACCTATAACTTACTCTTCTGATTGTAGAACCGAAGAACGGGCTGCTGGCTGGTACCGGCTAACCAGGGAGATGTTGAAGTTACCAGAAAACGACTCAAAGTCTTCAAAAGATAAATCTCAAAAGACGAGGCGTCCACAACCTTTAATTAAACTTGTGATGAGAAGGTTGATAAGATAATTTCTAATTTTTGGCTCTGTTTACCCTTTCTGTTGCCACAAGTTTTCCAGCTTCCATTTAAGCATACCGTTAATTTAAATTCTTTCATTGCCAAGCATGTGCATGTGCTAGTGAGGGGCTTTTCCAGCTTAATCAAGGTCTTAAGTTTCAGGCTTGGGAATGGGAATGCACTTGTTCTGGAGGGCTTTGCTGTCCTTGTTTTATGCAAGCTCGAAATAGATTGAAACCAGTGGTTATAAAATATAAGAAAAAGAGTCTACATCCATACATGTCTTACTTTTCATTTATTTGAGACTCATGTTATTTTTTTTTTCTGATTGCAGACTAGAAAGTTCTTTCCGAAGTTTCTCTAGGCCTGTCCTTCATGCAGCAGCGAGAGTTGTACAGGAGATGGGAAAAAGTCGAGCTGCAGCATTTTCTGTTGGCTTGACTGATATTGATGAAGGAGTTAGCATCAATGAGTTTGCTGATGATGATTTTATTGAAAATCCTTATGCAGATGGTAAATTCTCTACGAATATGGTTTTGTGTGATTTAGTCTTTAGGGAAGGTTAATGACTTTTTGTATCCCAGTTTGGTCTTTTAAATGTATCCTTGTATGATGTAGGCTCGAATATTATTAGGCTTTGTGCCAGTCCTGAAAACCTCGTTGGAATGGTTAGACCTTAGTACATAAATCAGCAGGTTACCTAGCTCTCAGCCTATTTCCTCATTTATTGACTATCTCCTTTTCCCCTTGTTGGGTTGAGATGCATAGGGTTGAATCTTTTGATGGAAAAGGGTGATGTTGTTGTATAATGTTGTCAATTAGAGTAAGAAACAATTGAATTAGTAAGAATTTGCTGCTTGGTGTCACTTTAGTGACAAAATGTTGGATAACGGATAAAGTTAGCACTGATCTTGAACCTTGAGTTCCCAGGTTCGAATTCTGTAAGTAGCACCTAAATAAAAACCAAACCTATATCACCTTTATAAAAAACAGATAAAGTTAGCACACATTTCAAGACAAACAAATGTGCCTGGCCTTTTCTTCCTTGTTTGGGTTGAATTACAGTCTCAACTGTTTACATAAAATCATTTTATGTAGTACACGTTGTAGGGAGGTTATGAGTTTTGGATGCTTTATGCATTTTGTGTGGTTTCTAAGGTTACTTTTATTGCATTTCAGACTGGAACACAAGAGTTCGTTCCCTGTGTTTGACCATTGTTTCACGTCATTCGTTCCCCTGCTTTTGATGATAGGTGCTCGTAAGGCCTCTTCTATGTCAGGTTCAACTGGTAGCAAGGAAACAATTGCAAGTTTATTAGCTTCTCTGATGGAGGTCGTTCGGACAACTGTTGCCTGTGAATGCGTTTATGTTCGAGCAATGGTGATCAAGGCATTGATATGGATGCAGCTTCCATATGAATCATTTGATGAGCTAGAATCCATCATTACATCCGAGCTTTCTGATCCAGCTTGGCCAGCTGCTCTATTGAACGATATTTTGCTTACATTGCACGCTCGTTTTAAGGTATGTCATCAACTAAAGCGGATATACCTGGTTCTGATGTTCATTTCAATTAGAGGGTCAACTAATTGTTCTTTTGCTAGTTCCGTCTTCTCAATTTTGAATGACTCCCATATTTTTTTAGAGTCAGTTTTATTCAATGGAAAGTTAAGTGGATTTTTGTAGTAGTTCTTGTAGATAGTAATTTTGGCCATGGTCTAAGTTGTTTGTTTATATTGGGGCTTGGGAAAGCCTTGGAGTTTAGGTCAGTATCGCAACTGATAGTAATTAAATTGGACATTAGAAGAGAAGTCTTAGAACTAGAAATGAAGATGCGAAAAAAGGTAAGTAAAAGAAGACATAGTAGATGAAGCTATAATTCAAATTCTTGTATCTGAGAAGTTATTGAAACCACAAAGCATGGGCTAGTTGGAAGAGGCCAACTATTACCTGGCCGAGCTTGAAATTGCTGTACGCAGACTCTTATAGTAAATCAGTTTAGATACTTTCTTTTCACCTCTCACACAGGGGCTTAGAAACTTGGGAAGGGCCAACATACTTGTACTTGTAGAGGTGCCGACTCAAAGTCTCACACCATCATATGGTAGTGTCTTCGTTAGTCCAAAATGGGACAGCTACATACAATTAAGTGTTAAAACTTAAAATACACCTGAATCAAATGAGTAGGCCCACACGCGCCCATGCTCTTCTGAAACTGTGTGGTTTCTGCAGTTGCTCTGGTGGACAACTTCTGTGGAGTCAATAGTCTATGTATCTTTGCACGCTCGGACTTAAATCTATAGACTTTTAGAGCCTTGTCATTTTTGCTAGCGTTTCGAGTCAAATCCTATGATCCCTTTGCATGATCTAGTTCATATTGTTTCACGTATTCTATTATTGTGGCATCTGTTCGCCATCTCTTAATTATTGCTCAAGGATAACATATCCTTCACCCAACGAGGCACAGAAGAACTAATTATTTTGTGGCCGTTGCTGCTGCCTGTCAAATACTTATCTATCCTCTTTTGTGCACCTGTTTTACTTTCTATCAGGCAACTCCAGATATGGCTGTAACCCTGCTTGAAATTGCTCGGATCTTTGCTACTAAAGTTCCGGGGAAGATTGATGCTGATGTGTTACAACTACTATGGAAAGTATGTATAAAACTGTCTCCTTGATTTTTTGTCATAAAGGCTGGATTACTGTAAATTGACTTTTTGCCATTGTTTTTCTAGACATGTCTTGTTGGTGCTGGTCCTAACGGTAAGCATACTGCCTTGGAAGCAGTCACTATTGTTCTTGATCTACCACCACCACAGCCTGGGTCACCATCAGGAGTGACCCCAGTGGATAGAGTATCTGCATCTGATCCAAAGTCAGCTCTGGCATTGCAAAAATTAGTCCAAGCAGCAGTAAGCATTAAACATGGTTAAGTTTTACAAAGCTGTGTTTACTACCTTTTCCAATTTTGTTATACAAATTTTGGCTTGTGAACTAAATATGTAGGTGTGGTTCCTTGGTGAAAATGCAAATTATGCTGCTTCTGAGTATGCTTGGGAATCTGCAACCCCTCCTGGTACTGCATTGATGATGTTAGATGCAGATAAAATGGTTGCTGCTGCCAGTTCTCGTAACCCCACACTTGCTGGTGCCTTGACAAGATTACAGAGGTGTGCTTTTAGTGGCAGCTGGGAGGTAATAAAGCTATACTTGTGTGGTGTCTCCATGCTGAAGATCACAGATTATAGATTGCATGTGATAAGCTATTCATGGAATGCTATCGTTTAGCACCTTTATAAGTGTAGTTCTGTCTGCAATCAATTAGCTGTTTTAGTTAGATAAGGCCTTCAGACAATGAATATTAAACAGGCTCGTGTTCTGATTAATCTTGGATGTGGTCTTTTGCAGGTCCGAATTGTTGCTGCTCAAGCCCTTACAACTATGGCAATCAGGTCTGGCGAGCCTTATAGGCTGCAGATTTATGAATTCTTGAATGCATTAGCACAGGGTGGTGTACAGTCTCAATTGTCAGAAATGCATCTGAGTAATGGGGAAGATCAAGGTGCCAGTGGGACCGGTCTTGGGGTGTTGATTAGTCCCATGATAAAGGTTCTTGATGAGATGTACAGGGCACAAGATGAACTAATCAAGTAAGAGAGTCAGTTATAATAATTTGTTTGTCAAATGACTCCAATCAGTTGTTATCTTGGTATAATTTGATTTTCTATTTTTGCAGGGATATACGCAACCATGATAATACGAATAAAGAATGGACAGATGACGAATTGAAGAAACTTTATGAAACCAATGAGAAGCTGCTAGACATTGTTTCACTGTTCTGCTATGTTCCCCGAGCAAAGTATCTACCCCTGGGACCAATAAGGTTAGAGATTCTTGCACCCTCTTAAGCCAGTTGATGCATAGCCCCTAAACTATGGCCTCCTCATTTGTTGTGTATGTACTAAAACCTTCTAGTTTTGGGGTTATAGTAATGCCGCTGCTTGTTATATTTTTTTGTTTTCCACCGTATGATTTTGAGTCAATTTACCATCATCTTCCTGTCAATATTAGTAACTGTGAATTAAATTATGAGATATAGTAAAGGTTGTTCAAATAAAACTTCAAATGGAAAGCACCTACTATTTTTTTGTGTGGAAATAATGGAAGCACCTACTAGATTACACTAGGTTGACAACTGTGCTGGAACTGGTACAAATGGATGGTACATGGAAAGTAAATCACGAAGAGTTGATAAGGGCATCTGCGGTGAAGTGTAGATGCATGGATTATTTTATAACAGTGAACTGTAAGAATAAGGTTTAGGAAAAGGAAGTAAAGAAATGAGAGTAATGAGTGGAAATAACCGAAAGCACCTACTAGATTACACTAGATTGGCAACTGTGCTGGAACTGGTAGAAATGGATGGTATATGGAAAGTAAATCACAAAGAGTTGATAAGAGCATCTGTGGCGAAGTGTAGATGCATGGATTATTTTATAACAGTGAACTATAAAAATAAGGTTTAGGAAAAGGAAGTAAAGAAATGAGAGTAATGAGTTGAAAAACGTAACTCCTTTTTCTTCTAGTTATAAAGACAGAGCTATATGCCGATTATAATGGTCCCTTGGTTTAGGACAGGTCACACCATAGGTATTTAAGAGCCAGTTTACTGCGTTCTTGTTCCTCCTGACTTTTCTCTGTACAATGATCAAAGGAATCATGTAGATTGAGAGAGAACTGTGGCTGTTAAACTTAGGAGCCAACTCTTTTGATTTGGACAGTTGAAGGGCGGGTATAGCTACACAACCAGTAGATGGCACAGGTTTCCCAATTAGGTGTCAACTTCTTAAACTTCTTCTTTGCCCAAGTCCATGTACCATCATTTTTGGTGGAAATATAGGGCCTGTTTACTTTCATTTCTGTTTCCTGTTTTTGAGAAAACAGGTGAAAACAACATTTTGCCGTTTCCGAAAACAACAGGAAGTTGCCACTTTCTGTTTTCAAAGTTGAAAACGAATAGAAGACAGAATGAAAAGTAAACTAGTTTTCTCATTTCGATTGCCAAATTTATGACCAGAAAACGAAAATGGAAGTGAACAGGGCCATAGGGGTTCAGGAAGGGAACGGTTATAATTGCAACCAGGAGTATTGTTGTAAACTGCTTGCGCAGTCAATAACGGAATTGTTCGTGATTTACCCAAGGAGCATCAGTTTTTGAAAAACTTGTATAAGTTTCAATAAGTAAATGTTTAAAACTCTTGGCTTCCTGACATATTTGCATATGAAACTCTTGTGAAGAGCCTTCACATTTGTTAAAGATGAAGATAGTGTTTGGTTCCTTGACGATCTTTATGTGATTCTTTCTTGTAACTGCCACAATAATATTGGACACATTGAATTCCTGGTGATTGGAGTTTGGTTTTCACTTTTCGACAGTGCAAAACTCATTGATGTGTATCGCACAAAGCACAACATAACTGCGTCAACCGGTTTGAGTGATCCAGCCGTCATCGCAACCGGGATCTCTGACCTGGTTTATGAATCTAAGCCAGCTCCTGCAGAATCTGATGGGCTTGATGATGACCTGGTAAATGCTTGGGCAGCAAACCTTGGAGATGATGGCTTGATGGGAAAGAGTGCACCTGCAATGAGCAGGGTAAGAGGCTTGACAAACTTTTTCTTGTGTTTAATATGAAAAATCTCTGGTTTGAGAAAAGGTTAAATAGTATTCAGACCCTTAAGTATGTTGTGAAGAATACTTTTGCAGTATTTTCCCAGCATTTTTGGACTCCCTCAAATAAATTCTACTTCCATAATTGAGGCAGATTCTGAGTAGTATCCTGGCTGTTTATAAAACTCGGACACGGGGGCATTTATTTCCTTGAGATTGAAATAGGGACACTAGATACCTTCTTGATAATCATGGCTATTAACTATAGAATTGAAACTTAATAGTAAGTGTATAGGTTTTCATTTTGACTAGCAGGGGCTACTGTAGTAGTGTTTTGCATATTTACATAACTAGACTAATCTTCTGCTGTCTTGCATGTTTTCAAAGTTGCTACAATGTTGACTGGTAGGTGAGGTGAAGCTTTGTTGAAATGATATGGCCTTCCTTGCTTTTAGATTAAATCTCTTAATACTTTGAAGCTTGAATTACTAAATTTGCATATAGCCTAGTTTGCTTCTTTATATTCTGATTTGTGTAAGTTTCCGGTTCTGCCTTATGATAGGTAAATGAATTTCTCGCTGGGATGGGTACGGATGCCCCTGATGTGGATGAAGAGAATATTGTTTCTAGACCTTCAGTTGGCTATGATGATATGTGGGCAAAGACACTCCTAGAATCATCAGAACTAGAGGTACAATTCTATGAGTATATCATAATTCTCACCTCACTTGGATGCATAAAAGTTCCTAATTTGTAGAGTAATGACGTGAATTGTTAATGTTGATATTTCAATTTGCAGGAAGAAGATGCTAGGTCATCAGGTTCCTCTTCCCCTGATTCAATAGGGTCGGTTGAAACTTCAATTTCGTCACACTTTGGTGGAATGAACTATCCTTCACTTTTCAGTTCAAAGCCAACCAGTTACGGGACATCACAAACCTCGGTATGTTGTCTGTGAACCGAATTTGTCCACTCTTCTTTTATAAAAGCAGTAGTGAATTTTGCCAGCCAAGGGGGAAAAAAAAGGAAATGAAACTTTAAGAGTGGTTTTAAATCAGACTGCCTTGTTTGTTGTTTATTGTGGGCTTTTGCATCCATAACAGAGTTAGCAAACTCGTTAAGTTAAGGTGTTACTTGAGATCTTCCTTCCATATACTGTAGAAAATTTGGTTTCTGGGAAATTTGGCCTTGCCCGGCTTAGAAGAATCTTTACTTTGAGCATAAACAGTTTCCCCAGAGATTCCATGCTAGTAAAATATATAGCTAAAGTGATGTCTCCCAATTCCTTAATTTACTTTCATACTTTTGACTGTCGATGTTGTGGAGAGCATCAAGGCCCTCAAATTTGGCACTAAATCTGGGTGGGTTTATTGCTTTTTCTTATAGGAGAGATCAGGTGGCAACAGATATGGCAGCTCCTCATCTATTTATGAGGGTGCAAGTTCTCCAGTAAGGGGTTTCTGGGTTCCTCTCGATTGACTTTATTTTGCACCTTGCAAATGATTTGCGGGGGATTCTAACCTGTTTTGCTTTTATCAGATTAGAGAAGAACCGCCATCATATGCATCTTCAGTAATGCAAAGACACGATTCGTTTGAAAACCCCATGGCTGCTCCTGAATCATCCAGTTTTGAGTCTGAGGATGAAAGCCGCCGCAACACCTCGGGAAACCCTCAATTTGGATCGGCCCTATACGACTTTACTGCAGGCGGAGATGACGAGGTAGTTACTGAATGATTATTAGTGGGGCGTGTCATTTAGAATACCATATCCCTTGTGACCTCACCAGAAACTGTGAGGTGTTTCTCTTTGAAGTCGTCTCATTTGGCTTCTCATGGTTTCTTTCGCAGTTGAGTCTAACATCCGGGGAAGAGGTCGAAATCGAGTACGAGGTTGATGGGTGGTTCTATGTAAGTATTAGAACGCTGTACACTCTTGAGTGGGTAAAAGAATTACGGTGTTGGTATATCAACATGTTTTTGAACAACTCTACATTGCATATAATGTGCAGGTAAAGAAGAAGCGTCCTGGAAGGGATGGCAAGATGGCTGGTTTGGTCCCTGTTCTCTATGTCAAACCTCGTTGAGACATTCAGAGATTTTGCTCCATCAAAATCATGAGAGGATTAATAACATGCACATGGTGTACGTTCTCACTGGTACTAACTTACTGCTCTCTCCTCTCGCGCCATTTTGCAGTCCTGTCACATAATCGTACTCTTAACTTTAGCAGCTCGCGGCGCCTTGGCATCTGTTGTATTGTTACCGTGTATCGTATACAAACCCCGTGCGAGGCTTTATGATTGTATTGTTGTAGGGAAATCAGCGAGCATGAACGTTAGGTTTCTCGTTTCTTTAATGCTCGAGTTCATATTTTAATTCTAGATTATAGATTAATAGTCTGAACGCAGGAACGCGAGAGTGCGCCTGTTTGCTATATATCTCATGTGGGGTTTCTTTGTGTGAATATCGCCAGTCAATGAGAGATTCTGTGTTTTCTAGTTTGCGTCGAATGTTGGCATTTGATGCAGTGTGATCGACGGGGAGTGATTGACATGGTTTCTTTCCCCTTAAGGTTGGAACTAGTTGAGCACATCGAAACAAGTTCGACAGCCACTAATGCATATTATGCTTCCTCGATTGTTATTAGTATTATGTTTTCTTTTCCCATTCTATCTATCGGATTGTGGTACCAAATGATTGTATAATACTGGGTGGCGATAATCGTAAGAATGTCGTCTTTCCTTGTAGCGATGGCATTGCAGACAAGTTTGTAAAAAAATTCGTACACCAAATGGACCACAAAACTAGATAAGATTGTAGATAGAAGGTGATTGCATAAGATCTGGTTCATAACACTATGTTTGGGAAGGGAGTGCGGATCCGGTGATTAAGGGGGTGCTTAGTCACTTGATTAAGCCCCTCCCAGCTCTTAGATCTGGACATATCAATCTGATGGTTAAAAAGTGGGAAGGGCTATTTAATTATTGACAGGGGTAGTTTGACTATTATGGAAAATTACGAAGTATACAAACCGGATTTACAATCAGTACAAACCATACAAATATACGAACAGTACAAACTAGAGCGACAAAACATACAAACAGATTTACAAACATTACAAACATATGAACTGTACAAAAAATACAAACTAGACCGACAAACAATACAAACCATACAAAAAGAAAAAACAACCAGGTTGACTTTGGAGGCTCCATCCCTATATAGAGGGGCTCCTTCCCATAGTCAACCCGGGTGTTTTTTAGACATACAAACAGTACGAACATGGTGGACAAAAATGACAAACTAGACCGACAATCCATACGAACTGGAAAAAACACCCGGGTTGACTTTGGAGGCTCCATTCCTATATAGAGAAGTTTCATCCAAATGTCAACTAGATTGTTTTTAGACATAAAAAACATTACAAACATGGTTGACAAAAATGATAAACATGGTGCACAAAAATAAAAAAGTTTGCTAACATTACAAAATAACAAAGCGTACAAACATTACAAAATATGTCAACAAACATCACAAAGCACTGTCGCTGGAAAATTCTTCTCCGTCGACAATGGTCGCTGGGAAAAAAATTTCCGGCCGGAAAATCTCTCTCTCGTACAGGGGCTTTGGAGGGAAAATTCCCTATCCCCTACAAAAAAAAAGGACCGCTAGGAGGAAGGCACACCTGGTTGGCAGTTCCTTGGCCGGAGAAATCACAGCGCCGATGGAGTTGCAGAGGTGTCGTCGGAAATCAGTCGCAGATGCGAAGAGATGAAACGTGCAAAATAAATGATTTTTTAATTATAAATGTTTAAAAAATAACCATGCAATTACTACATTACCATTTCTTAAATTGAATTAATTGGAACCATTGGATTTTAATGAACTTGAAGGGCTGAGATCGACTTAGGCAAGTGACTAAGGAACCCCTCCTTAGTCACCTGATCTTAGCTCTTGGGAAGGGGGTTAATGGGACGGGTAGCAAGTTTGGGGGTAAATGCATTTTTCAATGCATTTGCCCCCATTTAGATAAATTATGAATAGTGTAGAAGGTGCAATTAGGGGGCAGATCCACTATGTTTTTTTTTATAGAAAAAACCGATGTGATTCATTCAAATCATCAGGTATCTGTGAAGGGATACCTCCAATCCAAACTCTATCATCATTAACAGGGGAAATAAAAAGATGAGCCAGCAAGTGGGCAACAATGTTTGCTTCTCTAAAAGTAAAGTTCCAATCAATAACTTCGACCTCTTCACCCATCTTCAGAATGCTTCTGCAGACATTATCCGTTTCAGTTCTGCACTCTTCACCCTTCAAAAAAATTCACCAGCCTCTTACAATCTGTCTCAACCTGAATAGTTTTAAGTCCCATCTCCTTTCGCTTTCTGCAAGCCAAAAAGTAAGGCCATTCCTTCAGCCAAATCTGGCGGCCATCTTACCTTGATCGTCTTGCTAGCCGCCATAAACACTCCACCATACCAATTCCTGACAACGCATCCCAATCCAACCTCACCTTTCCAATTTGTTCCAGCATCAGTATTCAACTTCAGAACCCCTCTTATTGGTTTGGTCCATCTACACCTTCTCCTTTCCTCTTTCCTACTATGAAGTCTGATCTCTCTCCTTCCCTTGGACAACAAGAAAATCATGAATGTAATTATCTGCTCCAGGGAAGACTCCCCACTCCCGTAAAAACTTGTTATTAAACAGAAAGTTGTTCCTTTCCTTCCAAAAAAAAAAAACCAGAGTAGAGAGCAGAATCGCTCCAAATCCCCTTCCTCCGCTTCTTTAATAACATTGAAAATCCATTCCCTGCAAGTGATATTTTCTGCTTTATAGAATAGCTCCGTCACAGGGGTTTTTGACCATATTCTTTCGATCCAGCTGCAATCCTTGAGGCAGTGTTTCAACGACTCTTTCATACCGCAGTTTGGGCACTCATCCCCCCATTGTCTTGACCCTCTTGCAGATTTTCTCTCCCATGGGGAGAATGTTGTGAGCAATCTTCCAAACGAACACCCTCAACTTCCCGGGGATGTTCAACTTCCATAATTTCTTCCATCCGCTGCACCTTTTTTGTTCTGCTTCTCTTTCAACAACCTCTTCACTAATTCTTCACTGCTCAAAATCATACCCTGATCTTACGGAGTATTTGCCATTTTCAGTTTCAGACCTATTTTATTTATTGATTAATTGATAAATCGGACTAATGCCGTGATTATAATATATAGGCGTCTAAACCTAATACATAACCCTAGCTAACCTGAACTCTACTAACTTACCTAGCTAAACTCGGCCACCTAACCTAGAGAACTCCCAATCCGCCACTAGCGCCTCTACAAACTACGTGCTAACTAGGGGTGGCTATTTGGACCGGGACCGGATTAAAAATCGGAAACCGGACCGAGACCGGACCGGGACCGGATAGTAAACAATCCAATCCAATCTTTGGATTTAGATTTGAGGTAAAATACCGGATAAAGACCGGATAAGAGAGCTCAACACCCAAAACTTAAGGGTAATTTGCATAAACGGTCACAAACCTTTGCACTTAGTACAAAACTTAACCAACTCCTCACCCTTTCAAGACCGAATTGGGACCGGACCGGATCAAAACCGGACCGGATCAAGACCGGACTGTATCCAATCCAATCTTTGGTCCTTATATTTTCAAAAAGACCGGACTGGACCGGATCAATTTGGGCCAATTTAACCGGACCGGACCGTATAGCCACCCCTAGTGCTAACCTTGGCCCATGCAAGCTACTAATTAACTAACCCTAAACATTAACTAATCCATTAGTAATGACTATTACGTGCACATTATAAGCCCAACCCTGTATCTCATCAACTTGCAATTTACCCTTTTATATTCCATGAAAGTCAACATATTCTTTGGGAGCACTTCTACTATACTATATAGTATTGGTGCTTTAATGTACAAAAGTTGTACCATAACATTAAATGTATAAGTTTAAGTTGTACCATAAAGCAATTTGTACCATTATGTTATGGTACAACTTTACAACTTGAAGTTGTACCATCACATAAAGGTACAAGTCCAAGTTGTATCATAAAAGAATTTGTACAAAAAGTATAGTTACAATCTAAAGTTGTACCATAACGTAAATGTACAATTTTAAGTTGTATCATAAAGGCAAAATCTTATAACACCAATACTATATAGCATTGTAAAATTTCTCATTCTTTGGAGCAGGGTAATTAACATGGCTACTAGCTATAACTATATAGTTTTAAAAAACCAGTCAAAATTCCACACGTCAATTACATCAATCGGCAATTCTTAACTCATATACATACTTCAACTACGTCCATTTGGATCCATGTCGATTACTCCCATGTCCCTTCACCTTTACAAAATGCAACATATACATTTCGAATATTCATTCGAAAGACACTAATCAGAAACGAAACAAAGAGTAAAATACACTTCCATTTTGGCACCCAAAAAAAAAAACAAAAAAAAAAAAACGTACAACACTTCCTAATCCTATAGTTTCCCTATATAATACACAATACTCCTACTATTATCAACAAGATTAGATATTAATTAACATGGAGCATCATCATTACTATTCTAGCTTGTACCTCAACCTTCTTGTCCTCTTCCTCTCCTTAATCTCCCTCGCCGTCGCAACCATCTTCTACAAACACAAATCACAGTACCACCGCCACGTCAACCTGCCGCCGGGCCGGCGGGGGCTTCCTTACGTCGGCGAAACCCTAGACTTCCTTTCCACCGGATGGAAAGGCCGGCCGGAGAACTTCGTCCTCGACCGGGTTCGAGAATTCTCCTCCAACGTGTTCAAGACCCACATCGTCGGCAAGCCCACCGCCGTCCTCTCCGGCGCCGAGGGCAACAAGTTCGTCTTCACCAACGAGAACAAGCTCGTCGTCGCGTGGTGGCCGGACTCGGTGAACAAGATCTTCCCGTTCACGGAGACCAGCTCAGTGGCGGAGGAGTCCCGCCGGATGCGGAGGCTCCTCCCGCAGTTTATGAAGCCGGAAGCCCTCCAGCGGTACTGTTGTTGTTAGGGAACAAATCATTTGGTCACAATAACTCGAGTTGTTAGGAAAAAGAGTTTATATGATGCGAATAAATCATTTTGTTTTCTCTTACAGGTACGTTGGCGTCATGGATGACGTGGCGCACCGCCACTTCGCTTCCTCGTGGGAGGGTCGCGACGAGGTGGAGGTGTTCCCGCTGGCGAAGAACTATACGTTCTGGGTGGCGTGTCGGCTGTTCCTCAGCCTGGACGATCCGGTGCGGATCGCAGAGTTTGTGGTCCCGTTTAATGACGTGGCGACGGGTATGCGTTAGTGAACAAACCATATATTTAGTTCTTATAACTCGAGTTGTTGGAATTTTTTTTTGGTCATTTCTCTCTTTTGCATGCCCCTGCAAATAAAATCCTATTTGTGGGGTTTTCGGTTCGAACATGTTGGATATATTATCTCTCAAGCTAAGTAATTTTTTATATATGGAAAGTCTTGTCATGCATAAAATTTTGAAACCAGAATCTATCTCCATCGAAAGCTCTGATATCAATATCATGTTACCGAACAAACGACTTATTTATAATTCCCAATAATCCAAGTTGTTGAGAAAGAGTAGGCCGGGTTTCTTTTTCTGTTACAGGTATTTTCGGGCTGCCGTTGGATCTGCCCTTCACGGCGTTCAGGCGGGCGATCAGGGCGTCCAGGTATATAAGGGAGGAGTTTCTGACGGGGATTATTAGGCAGAGGAAATCCGAGCTGGCGGAAGGGAAGAATGCTGACGTGGCCAAAACGCTGGATATATTGTCGTTCATGCTGATGGCCACCGACGACAACGGCGAGCGTATGAGCGAGAGGGACATTGCCGACAAGATACTGGGGCTTCTCCTCGGCGGCCACGACACGGCCAGCTCCACGTGTTCTTTCGTCGTGAAGTTCCTGTCGGAGTTTCCTCAGATCTACGACCGAGTTTACGAAGGTGACGAGTTTTAATTTAATTTGTTTTTGTCTCTCTACTTAATTATTAATTTTTTTGTCTCTTTACTTATTATCGGAGTTGATGCATGCAAAGTTGATTAGTTTATCTCCAAATGACGGCCGGCCAAGCTTACGGTCTTTTGGCCGGCTAACCGTCTCCTCATATTTTTTCCCCTCTAATTTGGAGTTTTCTGGCCGGAACTTTACAATTGTTGAAAAATTACATTTCATTCCAAATTCTATGTTTCTTATAATTTTTAGCATCTACACTTAAAAAAAAATTTACTACAAAAAAGTCCATAATTTCGACGGTTAAATTACATTTAGTATTTTTAATGTTTTTTTGCCTGATATTATAATACATGTGCTTTTAAAATCTTACAAACAAATCCTTTTTATTGCTGTGAGGAATTCCAAACCACATGTTGTTGATATGTACGTATTTGACATTGAGGAGTAATTTGAATTAATTCAAATAGACTTGTGCTTTTAGAGTACTATATTAGTCATACCTCGAACTCGAATTAATTCATAAGCTAGATAGCACCATATCCTAGCTAGACGTTAACGAAATTGGATGAATGTATATAATGAAAGGAGAATTGTAAAAGTAATGATGTTGTGGGAAAACTGACTTAGCTTTCATTGATACACAAGGAGACTTAATATACAGGAGTTGCCGAGGGAATATAGCAACAGAAGGCTAACCACTATACATTTTCCCTGAAAGTAGGAACAGATAGGTGGGGGAGAGAAAATGAAATACAAAATTCTTTTATGTAATCTCTCTAATACGCCCCCGCAAGACGAAGGAGGTATCAACGACGCCGATCTTGGATCGAAGAAGAAGAAAGCACGTGGAGGATAATGGTTTGGTGAGAACATCCGCAAGCTGGTGTGAGGTGGGAACATACGAGACACAGAGTCGCCCGACCTGAACCAACTGACGGACAAAGTGATAGTCCAAGGCAAGATGCTTCATACGGGAGTGGAAAACGGGATTGGAGCTGAAGTAAGTTGCGCCAAGATTATCAGAGTAGAGCATAGGAGCAGCCAGTAGGGTGTGACGGAGCTCAATAAGAAGATTCTGAATCCATTCCAATTCCGAAGTAGCATGGGCAATGGCTCGATATTCAGCCTCAGTGCTGGAGCGAGCAACAGTGCGTTGTTTCTGGGAGCACCATGAGATAAGAGTGGAGCCCAAGTAAATAAGATAACCGGATGTGGACGACCGATCATCGAGATTCCCAACCCAATAAGAGTCTGCGAAGGCCGATAGTGATAATGGACCTGGATAGCGACGAATGGAAAGACCATAGGTAAGAGTGCCAGAGATATAGCGGAGCAGCCGCTTAACACACTGCCAATGATGAGCCGTCGGAGCATGCATATACTGGGAAAGTTTATTGATGGAGAAGGCGATATCAGGGCGTGTGTAAAGAAGATACTGTAACGCTCCTAGAACCTGGCGAAAGCGAGTGACATCAGTAGGAGAACTACCGTCAGTGAGAGTAAGGGATGTCAAGGCCGCCATAGGGGTGTCAACGAACTTAGCATCGGTCATGAGGAAGCGATGGAGTATATCAACCATATACTTATGCTAAGAGAGAACATAGCCCGTGGGAGTGGGAATAACCTCAATGCCAAGAAAATAATTCACATCACCGAGCGCCTTGAGCGAGAAACGCTGAGATAAAGCCGCTTGGAAGGTTGTGAGAACGGTGGGATCATTTCCGGTAAGGAGTAAATCGTTGACATAGACCAAAAAATAGAGAAGTGCACTGCCGCGGGAGTAGACAAAGAGAGAGGCATCAAAGTTCGTTCGCCGGAAACAAAACTCAATGAGAAAATTGCTCAAAGTGGTGTACCAAGCCCGGGGAGCCTGCCGAAGACCATAAATAGCGCGACGAAGCCGACAAACATGAGTGGGACGAGTAGGATCAACGAAGCTAGGGTGCTGAGCCATATACACCTCCTCCTCTAGAGGACCCTGTAGAAACGCGTTATTGACATCAAACTGAGCAGTAGACCAGTTCTGAGAGAGGGCCAGCGTGAAAACTGTACGGACGATAATCGGTTTAACCACCGGACTGAATGTGTCGGTGAAGTCAAGCCCGGGGCGTTGATGGAAGCCTTTGGCCACGAGACGAGTCTTAAAGCGAGCAATAGAACTGTCAGAATGATGCTTAACCCGGTAGACCCACCGATTGCCGAGGACATTATTGTGAGGTAGACGAGGCACCAAATCCCAAGTGTGATTAGCTAATAAAGCACTATTCTCAGCAGTGAGAGCATCAAACCACTCTAGATAGCGAAGAGCCTCATGTACTGTCAAAGGCTCAAGAGGAGGCGGCCCATCCGTGAGGTGAGTATGAAAAAGATGCTTTTTGGGCCGAAATATACCATCCAGGGCCCGGGTGCGCATGACGTGCATGCGCTGTATAGGAGGTGGTGGGCCGGGCGGAGGCAGGGTTCCAGATGGAGGAGTGGCGGGTGGGCCAGAGAAGGGCATGGGCCCAGTCAGAGAGGAGGCAGGCTGGCGTGGGCCAGGAGAGGGCATGGGCCCAGTCGAGGGAGGCTGGCGCGGGCTAGGCCCAGGCGGGGAAGTATGGCGCGACCCAGACGATGAAGAACTAGGCCCGAGGACAGCAGCGGCTGAAGAGGAAGGGGCTGGGAGCGGCCCAGGTGATGCTGAAGATGATGCGGAGCGGCCTGGAAGGAAATGAATCGTGGGAGAGGAGTCAAGCAGCCAAGAGGCAGGCGGAGGAAGAGCGGCGGGAGTGGTATGGTGGCCAGGAAATTCAGTTTCAACAAAAACGACATGGCGGGAGAGAAAAAGACGACCAGTGTCAGAATTGAAGCACCAATAGGCGCTGCGTTGAGGACAATAGCCAAGGAAAAGACAGGGACGAGAACGGGGATTGAGTTTATGAGAGGAGTAAGGGCGGAGCCACGGGTAACAAAGACAACCAAAAATATGGAGTTTATGATAATTAGGAGATAAATTGAAGAGAAGAGTGTAGGGAATTTTACCGCGCAAGGCGGATGAGGGAAGGCGATTAATGAGATAAATGGCGGTGGAGAAAGCAAAAGACCAAAAAGTAGTGGGAAGCCGAGCATGATGGAGTAGTGTGAAACCAGTTTCAACCAGATGACGATGTTTTCTTTCTGAAAGACCGTTATGTTCTGGCGTATGAGGAGGAGTAAGAAGATGGGTTATGCCATGATTAAGAAGATCAGAACGGAGTTTCTGAAATTCGCCGCCACCCTCTGTGTAGAGACGACGAATAGTGGTGGAGAAATAATTTTCAACATTCGACGAAAATCAAGAAAAACTGGGAGAACATCGGATTTATGACGAAGAGGATAATACCAGGTATAGCGAGTGAAATGATCAATAATAACTAAATAATAGTTATAACCATCAATGGAAGCAATGCAGTCAAAATCGCGTTTTAAAACTTAAAAACTTACGATTTTACGCTTTTAGGTCATCAAAACGCTTTCGTTTCTATATAAAATCGTTAGTGCATAAAATCGGACAAAATTACGTTTTAAAGCTTAAAATCTTACGCTTTTACGCTTTTAGTTCACTAAATGGGTATTCTTTTCAAGAAATTAATTACAAAAAGTATATTTTAAAGGTAAATCACCAACAGTATGATACATTTGAGATTAAAAGATACATACCAGGTACTTGGATGCATTCTCATCTTCAATACAATAATCTAATTCACCAACTAGGCCATTCTCAAATTCTAGTATAGAGGGGAATGTGGCTTATTATTAAGATTATTTATGTTTATGAACTTATTGTTAAGATGCTATAAGTTGGTCTACTTTAGACATAAATTGAAGGTATTTATTAACTTATCTAAATTTCCAGCACTCATATTTTTACATAGTCTATGTCATACTTAACAACCTTTTAGTTATTTTACAGTATGCGTCAAAAATTACGCTTTTACGCTTTGATTCTACGCTTTACGATTTTACCCATTTTCCGCTTCTAGGTAGAATCGCGCTTTTGACTGCATTGAATGGAAGAAACAGGGGCAGGGCCCCAAACATCGGTATACAAGAGATCAAAAGGTCGTGCACTAGTCAATGAAGAAATAGAGAAAGGGAGTTTATGACTTTTATTCGAAGGACAAGCATCACAGGGAGAGCTAGTGAGCATGGTAGACACAGGAAGGGAATATGACCGAATAAGACTGGTGAGTGATGGATGAGAGGGATGACCCAAACGAGCATGCCAAGACGTAGACGTCGTTCGAGTGGTGACCAGGGCCAAACGAACGTGCTCCACATCACGAGGTAGTTCATAAATATCATCGTTGTTTTCCCCCTTCAGCAGATGCGCCCCCGTGCGAAGATCCTTCACAATAAAATGAGTGGCAAAAAATTCCACAGAGACAGGATTAGTTTGACATAACTTGGCAACCGAGATGAGATGCCTCTTGATATCAAGCACACACAATATATCACGCTATTGCAATTGATTAGAGCCAAGTGAAAGAGCAGAAGAGCCAATGTGAGATATCGTCAAACCTGTTCCATCGCCGACTAGGATCTCATCGGGACCCGTATAATCGGAATAAAGAGAAAGATTGCCTAAATCAGAGGTGACATGATGGAAGCCGCTGTATCCATAAGCCACGGCCCAGAAGATGATTGAGGGCCAAGATTAGTGACAGTATGATGAGCTTGGGCCTGTCTAGCCTGATTAAACGCTTGACGGGCCTGAGGAAATAACTTAAAGCACTGACGGACTGAATGGCCTGGCCTGTCACAATATTGACAGACTACAGTGGGCTTCCTTAAACGAGAGACCTCAACAGGGGAGGCTGGGCCGATTGGGCCTGTTGGAGAGGCAGCTGAGCAGGCATGCTGATCAAAAACCAGCCCACGCTGCCGTTGGCGTTGCTGATGGCGAGACGAGGATGCGCTGCCGCTGAAACCAGAAAAGCCGCCGCTGCCTGCAGAGGAAAAATCGCCACCGCCTCTCCGATTTTGCCCCTGGGTAAAGAAGGCAGTGGGGACAGCAAGAGTATGCGCCTGTTCCTTCAAATCTGCTTCAAACTCAACAAGAGAATCAAGCAGCTTCTCAATTGTAACCGTGGTACCGCATGCGCGTATAACAGCAGCAAACTGGTTGTAATCAGCGCCAAGGCCGCGAAGACAGTGAACCACCAGGTCCAGATCCGAAACAGGAGCATCGACAAGAGCGAGCTCAGCGGCAATGAGCTTAAGATCATTGACGTAAGTGATAACATCTCGATTTCCTTTGATTGTACTAGCTAATTTGCCCTTTAGATTGATAATCCGAGACCCAGAACGGCCAGCATACAACTTTTCAAGAATCAATCATGCTTCCCTCGAAGTGACAGCAGCAGACACAAAAGAATAGAGCGATTCAGAAATAGAACAGCGCACAGCATGAAGGATCAACTTATCTTGGCGAAACCAGTGTCGATAGGCAGGATTTGGGGTGTTATCCGTCGTAAGCGTGCGGTCGGGGGAGACACTCGTCCCATGGATGAAGCCGATGAGATCCAAGCCCATGAGAAGTGTCTCCAATTGAGATCTCCATGAGTTGAAGTTTGTGGATGTCAATTTCAGAGGTAATTGGGCGGCTGGATTGAAGGTGACAATGACAGACTCTTCAGCGGCAGTGGATCCAGCCATGATGGCAGACAGAAAGTTGAAGAACAGAGAAACAATAAATGTGATTGAAAGAGAGATTAGAGCTGGATCGGCAAGATGAACGTCTCTTGCTCTGATACCATGAAAGGAGAATTGTAAAAGTAATGATGTTGTGGGAAAACTGACTTAGCTTTCATTGATACACAAGGAGACTTAATATACAGGAGTTGCCGAGGGAATATAGCAACAGAAGGCTAACCACCAGGGGCGGATACATGAGGGTTTAGGGGTGTCCCGGGACACCCCTAAAATTTGAGAATACGATTATTCAACCCTCGGTAGTAGTTTTGTATGGATAAAAAAATTATAATTAGTGATTCGGGACACCCCTACAACGATAATCCTATCCTCCGTAGTAGTTTGTGTATACTTTAAAAAAATAAGCGATAGTCTGTGTTATTCAAACTTAGGATATACTATATTTTTTAAACATTGTCTTCCATTAAATTGCAACTCATTTGTTGTTCTATTTTAAACGCAACATAATAGTAAAAAGTTATTCCTTATCCCCGACTATTTCCAAAACCTAACAATTAACTACCCTTAATTTGAATTGATTTTTATGATTACACAACAAGTGTTGAAAGAGTCTTTTCAACTTTGAGTTACATAAAAAACAAGGTTAGAAATCCATATACGATCAGTTCGTGAACTATTGTCTAGTAGGATATACAGATTTGTTGAGCAATTTACCAAGCCTATTTTTTATTCTTTTTCAGAATATAAAAATACGTCGTGGCCTTATGTTAAAATTTATACTAGCCCGATATTTTTTTTATTTATGAATTATTTATTTATTATTTTTTTTTTTGAAGAGGACACCCTGTTAAAATTTTCTAGATCCGCCACTGCTAACCACTATACACGTTCCCTGAAAGTAGGAACAGAAAGGTGAGGGAGAGAAAATGAAATACAAAATTCTTTTATGTAATCTCTCTAATATATAATACTATATTGTGCAGAGCAAATGCAGATTGCGAGATGCAAAGCAGCAGCAGGTGAAATGCTAAACTGGGAAGACATCCAAAAGATGAAATACTCATGGAACGTGGCCTGCGAAGTGCTAAGGCTCGTCCCTCCCTTGCAAGGCACGTTTAGGGAAGCCACGACCGACTTCGTCTTCAACGGCTTCTCCATCCCCAAGGGCTGGAAGGTACGGTCACACAGGAAAGAGCGTATAATTCGAATCGCCTGTTATCAGGAGAGGTTCAAAAATAGATCTTATATCGTTACGTTTTTTCGCGTCTCTATGATGAAACCATTAATTCCACATAGATTCTCTATGTGTGTACATTGCAGTTGTACTGGAGTGTACCGTCGACGCACAAAACGGAGAAGTACTTCCCCGAACCTGAAAAGTTCGATCCCAGCAGATTCGAAGGCCGCGGGCCTGCTCCGTACACGTTTGTCCCGTTCGGAGGAGGCCCGAGGATGTGCCCCGGTAAGGAATATGCTCGGCTCGAGATTCTGGTGTTCATGCACAACTTGGTGAAGCGATTCAAGTTCGACAAGTTGATTCACGACGAGAAGATCGTCGTGAATCCGATAGCCGTGCCGGCCAATGGCCTCCCTGTTCGTCTATTTCCTCACAATGCTTAATTAGAATCCGAGAAAGATGATGACTTGTTGTTGAGGATTTTAGATCAATTTTTTTTTTCTTTTCCAAATTACAATTGATTCTCTATTTCCTCACAATGCTTAATTGATGGAAATGGTTGTCGCCAATGGAAATAATTTTTTTTTTACGACTATTAGCGAATGTTATCGTAGATAGGGCTACAAATGAGCCGAACTGAGCCGAGTTTTACCTCAGTTTGAGCTTGACTCGTTAACAAATGAGCTGAGCTCGAGCCCGAGCCATTTATTAACGAGCCGAGTCGAGTTCGACCTACGCTTGTTTACTAAATTCTTAGATCGTATTTAATACATTCATTTTGTATGTCGAGTATGGTACATGTGATTGATGTAGCGATAAAAAAATAATCAAATGTTCAACATTAATTAATCTTATATCATAATTTTTAGGTGTCATATTGTTTAGTTAATAAATTTTAACTAGTTCAAATCATGTTATTTCATAGTATTGAAACAATTTTGTACATAATTTCTTTATAGAATTAAAAATAAGGCATATTTTCTTACATGTTCAACATGTTAAACTTCACATGATGTGAGATATATAATTTAACAATCCTATGAATTATGAAAGTCCAAATTAGATCGATTAGTCCATAAGTCAGTGATCAAGTTGGCCCTCAAACCACAACGTTGAGACATCTCATGAGCTCTAAATGAGCCAACTCACGAGTTGAGCTCAACAAGGCACCGAGTCGAGCTAGCTCGCGAGCTTCACGAGCTGAACATAGCTAGGCTCAAGCTTGGCTCGTCAGTAAACGAACCGAGTTTCGAATTGCTCGCGAGTAGCTTGACTCATTTGCAGCCCTAATCGTAGGTAACCCAAGGTTCACCGACCACTGACCCGACATTGTTGTGGTGAAGGCTAAGGTTCAGCGACTACTATGAAAAAAATGCGTGTGATTACCTTAAGATTCAACGACCACTAGCCAAATTAATAGTCGTAGTTGAACCCTAATAATGTTTGGCGACCCACCACCTTAACAACAAATTAAATAGGGTTTACCATGTTATTGGAGTGTGATTCATGGTATGTGATTATTAAGAACAAAATTAATGAGATCTAATCCATTAATATAAAGACACGGCCCTAATATTTTGCCGTGGAGCTCGAACGAAACGTCAATAATTGTTTACGTAGACAGCCACAACGTTTTTCTTAACATAAGACTAATGCAAAAAATGGTTACTAATAACACTGATTCGGTGTAATTTCTTAGCACTTCTACTATGCTATATAACATTGATGCTTTAATGTACAATTTAAAGTTGTACCATAACATTAAATGTATAAGTTTAGGTTGTACCATAAAGGAATTTATATCATTATGTTATGGTACAACTTTACAACTTGAAGTTGTACCATCACACAAGGTACAAGTTTAAATTGTACCATAAAAACCATAAAAGAATTTGTACAAAAAGTATAAGTGCAATATGAAGTTATACCATAACGTTAAAGGTACAATTTCAAGTTGTACCATAAAGGCAAAAACCTATAGCACCAATGCTATATAGCATTGTAAAATTCCTCGTAATTTCTCTTAGCAAACACTTCTGTGGGTGGGTCTGTATTCTATACATATATTTTTTTTGGCAAGAAATGTCTATATATTTTTTGGGTCAAAAATCAGGTTGGATCATGTGCTTAAGCCTATGCTTAAGCATTTGTTTAAGTCATTTTTATTGGCTAATAGTGGATTAGGTAGTTAATGAGTGGTTGATTGTTAATAAGTAGTTAAGAATAAATAGGGTATTATGAAAATATAATTAATATTAATAATTTTATTTCTCTCTCCTCCCCTAATCTTCTCCATAACCTCTATATCCACTACAATTAAAAGAAAAAATCGATATTAAGTAAATTAAATATTATTATTAAATAATTAATAAATTTGAACTTAGTATTTTGCTTTCTTAAAAGGAAAATTAAAAATATCCGTCTCTCTCACTTCATGACAACTTTTGCAATGACATTATCAACGTTTACGGAATGAATTATTATTACTATATCTCATCATTATTAAGGTTTTCAATATAATTATCAATTCCTTACAAAAAAAAATTCCGTTGAATCAGGTGCCCTCATCTTATTAATCAAGCTAGCAAGATGCTAGGAGAAACCAAATACAACGAAAAGGAGTATCACAAAGACACCCCAAAAATCCTGTAAACCGCGCAACTAACCACTACAGTAGGAGAAACCAACTACTTCTTACTTAATCAAAATTACATCACGAAACCCCAATACACTCCATATCCTCCAGTATACACCTTGTTGCTCCAATGGTAAGAAGATCTCGCTTGATCAGGCCCTGCAAATCCGCTGGAAGCCACCAGGAAGCACCAAACCATCCCTGCAATAGCACCATTTTTCTTTCTGCAGAAAGCACAAGCAGCTTCCACAGTAGCAGGCCAAGATGCACGATACACTGGGAGAGAACACACACCCTGCACCACTTCTTTAGAATACGAGCACTGAAAGAACAGGTGCTCACAAGTTTCCTGCCCCTCTCAGCATAAAACACAAACAATGTAATTCCTTACAATTACATTGTTAACAATTTTAGATAAATTGTTACCGTTTTACATTTTTGTCATCAACGCTTATGAATGTATCATTAAAGTTATATAACATTGTAATTAATAGTTTGAATAACAGTATCATTGATATACATAATTTTTACTAATGACTCACATTTTCACGTCATGTTTATGACTCTATCTCTATTCATGGCCTCTTCCAAATTCCAATGACTTATAATGACATGGTTAACATTTTGCAATCAATAGATATTGATCAACATTATCGTTCTCAATGATCATAAATGACAATATTGATCTTCAACATCTTCAACTCTTGTGACATAGTGCACGTGTGTAATTCAATCAAGCAAACATTAGTAAAGAAAAAACCATTGCAACTTGAATGGGCGAGGAAAATGTTAATAATGATAAACAAAAAAATTAGTAAATGGAACGCTAAAAATTACGAATTGGTAACTGAAGCATTAATAATTAAAATTTAGTAATCGTAGCAAAAGCTTTGATAACTTAAAAAATATAAGGTTAACAATGGTAACAAAAAAGTTAATAATAAAAAATGCAATGAGACTAGGTCTGTGCTGGTATCAGTATTAAAATAGTTTAAACACGTTAAAGTACGTAATTTGTGAAAGAGGACTATTGCCAGTTGGTGGTGGAGGTGGACTGGCACAGGAGAAATCTTATCTTCGATCCTTACTTTTTGTCAATTTTGCATTAACCTAGAACCCTTGAATAGCATATTTGCCGTCCAATATATGTTACGGTTGTAGTCTTGTAGATAATGATACTTCTTCATAAATAAATAAAAAAAAACGAGACACATGTTTTGTCCTTTTTAATATATAAATTGGAACATGCTACTTACTCAAGTTAAGTACTTCTTAAATTAAGCATGTAACATCATTTTTTTTTTCACATCAGAAAATCCCGATTTCATCCAATGTATCGTAGATTTTTTTTTTTCCGGTTGAATTATGTATCGTAGATTCACATAAATAAAACTTTGTTTTTTTTTTCCCAGTCCTTTTGAAACTGGTGTTGGATTTTTGAAGAAGTGAAATCAGTAACCAATGTTTACAAATGACAAAATTTTGAGTTTAGCAATAATATTAATGCAAATTATTATTTGAGTTTAGCATAATCGATTCTCCCAAGGGATGGGATTAGGTGCTAATCCTTATAGGGGTTAGTACCGTGATAACTAGCAAAAAACGCTACTAAAAATAACGAAATCACTACGGATTATTATAAAATCAATACAACATCTAAGCTAAATCACTAAATCACTACGGATTATTATAAAATCAATACAACATCTAAGCTAAATCACTACTAATTCAAACTAGTAGTAGTTTTTCCCTTGGTTAGGACAGTGCTAACTATTGTACAATTAGCACCGTAACTCCTCCCATTCTCCCAAAGAAGGTTCATTTGGATATTTAACTAACTCCTCGCCTTTTGAGTCCTCAGACCAGTCAAATTCCCACAAACTCAATCTAAAATCAAGATCGAATTGGGACCGGACCGGGTCAAGACCGGACTATATCCAATCCAATCTTTGATCCTTATATTCCAGATAGACCGGACTGAAACCGAATCAATTCGAGTCAATTTAACCGGACCGGACCATACAGCCACCCTAGTCAAAAGTAGGGTTTCGTTCAATCTTTTCTCTGCACGCGCATTTATCACTGCGCAGTAGATAGTAGTACGTTTATTTTGAGTTAGATTAAACCTTAGCTTTTGTCAGTTGGGACTTTGGAACGATAGAGATTTCCATTATTCCATGCAAGGAAAATGTAAGATTTAATGACAATTGGAACATGCTACTTACTCACGTTAAGTACGTAATTGTGAAAGAGGACTAGGCCAGTTGGTGGTGGACGTGGACCGGCACGTAGGCATGGCAATTTCGACATGACCCGATTTACCCGACCTGTTTGACATGTTTTGGGATAGGTCGGGGCAGGCATGGGTACCTTTCATCGACCCAACCTGCCCTGACCCGCCCCATTCTCGACCCGTTCTTGCCTAAATTACATATAATCTTAGTCAAATTACTTAAGATTTTTCTCTTATTATATTATATTTTAGCTATAATCAGGGTCGTCCCATGATATTTGGAGGCCCGGTTCGAAAATTTAAAATGTGGCCCTAATTTTTTCCCCATAAATTTATCAAAATTAAAAATTAGTAAATAATTGTAAAAAAATACTTAAGTTCAGAAAAATATTACATCAGGAATAAACGATCTCGTTTCGAGTTTGACCAAGAAACCAAGACCAAATTCCCAGCCCTAGTAGGGAGGAAAGTAAATCTGAAAGGAAGAGAAAATGGATATAGCGCGAAAATTGAATGGAGAAATGAAAATAGTCTAAATTGGTCGAGAGGTGGGTGCAGGGTTGTCTACTAGATCGTGGAGGCCCTATTTCAAAATCTAGACGTGGTCCAAATCGACCTTTAACTATAATAAAACTAAAATGATTTTAATAACATTATTCAAAATGTAATATCTTTCTATATTGTTTAAATTAAAATTATCTATTATTTTTCAGATTTTCGTATTCTCCATGAGATCCTTTTCAATTGTTATTATAGCTAAAATTATCTATTAAACACATCATCATACTCATAATCAATCAATCATACACTAAAAATACAACCTACAACATATGATCGGTAACTAACGAATCTAAGTAGAGGCCCCTAATATTCTGAGGCCCTGTGCCGGAGGGCGGGCCAGCACACCCTCTTGGCCGGCCCTGGCTATAATAAAGTTGTAAATAAGTGAAAACCTCAATTTCTTCAATAATTTAACTACATTTTATCATATTATGGTTTCTTTCTTGGTCTTTCAATGAAAAGAACGAATATTTCTAATGTTTTTCACCTAAATTACATACCCAATGGGTCGACCTATCCCGACTCGCGTTCCATGATAAATTATCTGACCTAAACCCGACCTGTCATGGAACGAATATAGATATCGAGATACCCGCCCCGGACCTACCCATTGCCATTCCTACCGGCATGTGAGAAATCTTCTTACCTTTGTCATTTTGGCATTGGAATCCTTGAATAGCATTGACCGTCCAATTTTCAATGACTTAGTCAATGATCGGTTGTCCGGGCTTTATCTTGTTTGCGGCATCACCAATATATGTTGCAATTGTAGATAATGATCCTTCGTAATAAAAAAAAAAATAGTGACAAACAGGTTCTTATGTTTTTAATATAAATTGGAACATGTTACTTACCCAAGTTGAGTAATTCTTAAATTAAGCATGTAACATCATTTTTTCACATCGGTAAATCATGATTTCATCCAAAGTATATTGTAGATTCACATAAATAAAATTTTGTTTTTTTATCTCACTCCTTTATAATAAATTTTTTTTGACATATTCAAAAATATTTACAACGAGCTACATATAAACTACAATGGTGTATCGTGTATGTGCTTCACTCAAAATTAACAAAAAAAGAATCATAGCTAATTTGTAAAAAAAAAATATTCCAACGAGAGGCGAAGCGAGAGTGCAACAATGTGGTCCTCATTAGGAAAATAGGTAAATTAGGTACATAATTTAATTGAGAAATAAATTTGGGGCTCATCTATCTGGGAATAGATTACCAAGAGTTTTTTGTTTGCATCATGGTGATGATTCCATTGTTACGTACATGATGTTCAAATTTATGCAAACTTCGAATCCATGTAAGTTGATATGAGTGGGTGTGTTAATAAATGGATCCATTATGAACCCGTCACAGCAACTCAATTCGTTGGTACCAAATGATTTTTGAAAAAGAACATTCGAAAAACAAATGACTAACTAAAATATAAATTATTATTTAGTACATAGAGTATTATTCTTGAAACTTTTGAATACTTTATATATTTCAATTTTAACAAGTTTTTAGGAGTATAAATTTATTGGCAAAATAAACCTGCATAGCTACATTTTTTGCATTTTTTGTCAATAATAACCATTGTTGGAAAAATACACAAACTAGCCACTTTCGTCTTCGTTGTTAAGGTTGGAAGAACTCAAATACAAGACTTTTCAACTAAATAGTCTAATGCAATGTGAAGAGAGTAATTGATGGAAGAGGAACCAATTGGTATAACCAAAGTTATTGAGAGAGCTCCAAAATGGGATATAATTATATCACTCGCATTATCTTAATTTTTATAGTCTATTTTTTTTTAACTAAGGGTTTTTTTGGTTTCATCGATTGTTATCGTGAGATTATTACAAAGCATATATTCTTTAGAATGCATGGTTTTTTTACGGAGGCACAATATATATGTTGGTGTTTTTATTTCTAGTTTCAATTTTATCCTTTTAAAAAGTACATTTTTCATTGATAAAAAGAATACAAGTTAGTGACATTCCTACTAAAAAGCGACTTCTCTTTTTAATTATTAACAACATTATCACATATTTTAAACTTTCAAAATCTATAATACATCAACTCATCATATAATCTAACATAATTTTTACCGCAGTTAATCAATTTAACATTAAAACAAACAAACTACACCTAACACTGATTCTTTGTAATTTTTCTTTCCAAAACTCCTATGTGGGGACCTGTATTCTGTACATATTTATTTATTTGTTGGCAAGAAAGGTCTGTATATATTTATTGAATCAAAAAGTAGGGTTTCGCTCATTCTTTCTCTACCCGCGCATTTATCACTACTCAGTAGCACGTCTATTTTGAGCTAGATTAAACCTTAACTTTTATCGGTTGGGACTTGGAAAGATAGAGAATTTTAGGGGTGGGCAACGGCAAACGGTTATTTGGGTATATCTGTACCCGTCTCATTTTTTTAGGGTTACGGGTACCCAAATACCCGTAATTTTTTTAACAGGATGGAACTTGGAATCAAGAATCGTTACTTTAGATGAGATTGGGTACCCATTTCAAACGGGACGGGACTGGCACAGGAGAAATCGTATGGTCGATACAGTTGCCTTCCTCAATTCGGCATAAGAACTCTTGAATAGTACATACCGCGCCCAACTACTATTAATGACTCAATCGATACTAGTTAAGTAATTCTTAAATTAAGCATGTAACATCATTGTTTTTACATCGGTAAATCATGGTTTCATCCAAAGTACTATGTCGTAGTTTCATCGTTTTTTTTCAGAATCGATTCTCCCAAGGAAGGTTCATTTGGATATTTAATCGAAAGGACGTATATTCCTAAACATAGCACTAAACAGATTCTTTGGGTGCGGCGGATTTAACGTTAAACGATTGTCTAAAGATATCCCTCTCCCGTCTTGTTACATATGTTTTACCAAAACATAAATCCCGACAACGGACAACCTCGTATGTCACTAAGTACCAACTCACCATACAAAACAGCGGTCTGACTCCCACTAAAATATTATGTCGCGTAAATAGAGACATATAATCCCATAGGTTTTGTTTGCTAACAAAATAATCATAAACATCGTTTAAAATATAATTAAACGATAGCATATTACGTTTGTTTGATCATTTGGTGTTTACGCCTAAAATATTTTTGGCCTAAATTCAATGCCGTAATAATGAGTCTCGGCATTTAATTCGATATCGCATGGTCAAAACGATGTCGTTTGGAGTCGAGCAATGTCGCGGAGAATTTAAACGAGACCGCGAAGAGGCTCGGCGGTACCGCGGTACTTGAAACGACATTGGTTGCAGACCATGTGTGAGTCATGCGCAGGACATGTGTTGCTGTTGGACAAGAAATATTTTTTATTTTATTTTTCCTTGTCGGAGGAGGAGAGTAACAACACCGTTTGGAGTCAAGCAATGCTGCGAAGAGACAAAACGGTGCCACGAACCTCAAAGCTCAACGGCATCGCGAGATTGGGAAACAGTGTCGTTTGGCTAAAAACGGCACCGCGACAAGCGGCATCGCGAATGAGTTAAAACGGCACCGCAAGGAAGCTCAGCGGTGCCGCGGCACAGGAAACGATACCGAAAAACAAAAGGGGCCGCGTGTTTAGTTGGGTGTTGGAAAAAGGAGTTTTTTATATAATTAGTTATTATCTTTATTCCTTGTCGGAAGGGGAAAATCGGTACCGCATGGAGACAAGCGGTATCGCGGAGGATTAAAACGTACCGCTGATTTAAAAATGATGCCACGAGAGGCTGATAAGCGGTACCGATTAATTAAACACCATATCGGGTAAGTGACCAAAATCCGCCCAGCCCAATGCGAGTGAGTGCAAACGCGCCGCCGTTCAATGAACTGGTATGTTTGGCTGTGTCAGCAGTGTTGTTTAATTAAAAACGGTACCGCAAGTAAGCCCAACGGTACCGCGGATTAGCAAACGACAGTGTTTAAATAACAAACAATGTCGCAAAAGGAAAAACAAACGGAGCTGTTGTGGCGCTAGCGATGTCGTTGGCCATAGCTAGTGATGGCCGGATTAATTAATTAATATTTTAAAGATTATTTTGGATGGTGTCGTTTTAGTAAGAACGACACCGCGAGTGAGTCTAATGATGCCGCGGTAGTTAAAACGACAGTGTTTTACTTAAAACAAAGTCGTGGAGTAAAAAAAGCAGACAGAGCTGTTTGGGGAAGAAAACGACATCGCGTGAGATTCACACCAACCCGAGCAAGGAGGAGATCAAGACGGTTGAGACACGTGGGAGTTCACAACGGAGCAGTTGAGGAAGCGGTTCCACCTAGCGTGAAGACTACGAAGCGTTTTTTCGAATAAAAGCAGTGGAGCAAGGAGAAAGAAAGAGACAACCAAAAATCAACACAAAACAACTCTGTCAAAACTTTGCCTTTTCTCTGTAACTCTTTCGCGGAGCTCTCCTTCCAAGATGGATCTCCATAGTTGTAGTCTTAGTCGTAGTCGCGGAGCTCTCCATAGGAGTAGCGGTAGTGTAGATTCCTCAAAAAACTCAAACACCCTCGTTCGAACGTAGTTTGGAGAGGTGCGAACCGTAGTAACGGTCGCGTTGGTTAGAAGTCAGAGGTGCATCGATCAGATCAACATCTCCCGGCGGTGGACATTTGACGGTCACGTTGATTTCACCATTCAAAGGTGCATCGATCAAATCAACATCGCACGGCGGTGGATATTTGATGATCGTCATCGTTTTCAGAAGTCAGAGTTGCACTGATCAAATCAACGGCGCCGACATTCAGCGGCGGATATTTGACGGTCGTCTCAATTTCAGCAATCAGCGGTGCTTCCGATCAAACGGCACCGCAAGAGTTTCCATCACGAAACATCAGATCAACATCGCCGGAAACCAAAATCGGCACCGGCGGTGGTATTTGATTTTCCCGGGGAAACAATTTGGCACACCCAGTGGGATCCGTGTGTTTGATGTGAATACAGATCCCCGTCGAGGAAATCAAGATCGTGATCTTCCACACGTACCTGTGGAGGAGGAGGCGCCCGACATTGAAGTTGGTCAGGCGAACGGGGCAGATAGACGTACTCAAGGGATGGAAGAGCTTCTACATGCTGAAATCCTGTATCTACTTCAATCCATGGAGGAGTTTCGCCAATCCATGAAGGAGTTTCACCAAGAGGTAAATCTCCAATTTGATAATCTTGAAAAGAAAGTGGATAAGTTTGAAAACAACATAGATCGATGGTTTGATAAGTATGATGACTGTGTTTCTGATTTTAGTATGTCAATACATAGAGCCACGTATGATTTTGATGTGTTTAAATATGAAACCATGTCTGTTGCGTGCGATGATTTAATGGCTGATCGACTAGCCATGGTCAACCAAATTTCATCGATGAGCCTTGCTACGACACTGTTGCCAGAAGCAAGGAATCCCAATGTGTCTTTTCCAGTGAACAACATTGGTCTTAAGGACACACAAGTTGGAGGTGGCTTGCAGAAGCCATTACAAAGAGGTCAGTATCAACATATGTCTAATAAGAATGAAAATAAGAATCAGGGTGGACAATCTGGTTACAATCACGTGGAGCATAGCATGCTCGCGTATGAGGGGTTGTCCAAGCAACATTGCGATGGGGTTCAATCTAAGCCGCTAGGGGGGCATGAGATCCCACCGCATGGCCGGTTGAAAGAAAAACAACACCGTAAGTGGCAAATAAGTTTGCCACATCCTCCCCATTCTATGAAAAATCAAACTAGGATAACCACAAACACTACTCAAGATGGAGGTGGTGACCACGTGGAAAAATCTAATGTCACCAAAGTGGGCATGAATCAACAGAACCCTCATTGTAATTTGTCCCCAAAGCCTCCAGTGAGTGGACAGGGGGGCAAGTTCAATCAACCCCAACATGGAGTTGCCACACCAATGCTGGCTGGGAACAAGTCTTCCATGATTTTCGGGCAGGGGGGCAAACTAAATGCCCGAAAACTTTCAATCTCACGTGAAAATTCAAAAGATACCAAGTGGTTCTGTGATAAGTACATTAATCAAAATAACCACATGACTGTTGGTAAAGCTCGTAAGCCTCAAACTCAACAACGTCGTAATTGTGTGCAGCTCACAAAACAAGACCAGTCTGGGCAAACGATGCCACATGGTCGATTTGACTGGACAAAGACGTTAGAAAACTTCAATGTCCCGCCAAGAGTAAAAAACACCGGTGATTTTCTCTGTCACGACCCTGTGGCTAAGATGAAGCCAAATTGAGCTCGTGGAATTTCAAACCAAGGTGTTCGAGCTCGACAAACTGGAGAGCTACAAACCACCATTGATTCCAAAACATCAATACCAACGCGTGTGAAGCCAGCTGTGATGAATCATGGACTTTACGGATGGCTTGTTTGGTTTGATCCATGGAGTTGGCAGTGGGTGTGGACTTTTTGCATAATGATTTATGCCAAAGTCTAGCCGTTATTTATTTATCTAGATAGTTCGGTCAATTTTAGGTGTCCTTTTGGGCGTCCAATCGAACGCATCATTGATTTAAAATATTGATATATTAAGTAAATAGAGTGTGGCTAATTTAGGCCACGAGAAAATTACTATATATATAAAAGTAGCATGGCGAAGCTTGCCGCATCGTTGCGAGCAATATTAAATTTTCAGAAACGGTCGCGTTGGTTAGAAAAAAAAAAGAAGAAAAAAATAGCTTTGCCGACAGCTTTGGACAATTAATGTTGCTAGGCTAATTATACCAAGTTGGCCTACTTTTGCTAAGCAGAATTGTTTTTCACTTGACTCACCGGAGTTGGAGAAATTTTAGGTAATTGAAGTTGTGTCAACAACTTGGTTCATAAATTCTTATAAACCAAGTTGTGGGGGCATTGTTTACACCTAAAATATTTTTGGCCTAAATTCAATGCCGTAATAATGAGTCTCGGCATTTAATTCGATATCGCATGGCCAAAACGATGTCGTTTGGAGTCGAGCAATGCCGCGGAGAATTTAAGCGAGACCTCGAAGAGGCTCGGTGGTACCGCGGTACTTGAAACGACATTGGTTGCAGACCATGTGTGAGTCATGCGCATGACATGTGTTGCTGTTGGACAAAGAATGTTTTTTATTTTATTTTTCCTTGTCGGAGGAGGAGAGTAACAGCACCGTTTGGAGTCAAGCAATGATGCAAAGAGATAAAACGGTGCCGCGAACCTCAAAGCTCAACGGCATCGCGAGACTGGAAAACGGTGTCGTTTGGCTAAAAACGGCACCGCGACAAGCGGCATCGCGGATGAGTTAAAACGGCACCGTAAGGAAGCTCAGCGGTGCCGCGACACAGGAAACGATACCGACAAACAAAAGGGGGCCGCGTGTTTAGTTGGGTGATGGAAAAAGAAGTTTTTTTATATAATTAATTATTATCTTTATTCCTTGTCGGAAGGGGAAAATCGGTACCGCATGGAGACAAGCGGTATCGCGGAGGATTAAAACGTACCGCTGATTTATAAACGATGCCGCGAGAGCCTGATAAGCGGTACCGATTAATTAAACACCATATCGGGTAAGTGACCAAAATCCGCCCAGCCCAATGCGAGTGAGTGCAAACGCGCCGCCGTTCAATGAACTGGTATGTTTGGCTGTGTCAGCAGTGTCGTTTAATTAAAAACGGTACCCCAAGTAAGCCCAACGGTACCGCGGATTAGCAAACGACAGTGTTTAAATAATAAACAATGTCGCAAAAGGGAAAAACAAACAGAGCTGTTGTGGCGCTAGCGATGTCGTTGGCCATAGCTAGTGATGGACGGATTAATTAATTAATATTTTAAAGATAATTTTGGACGGTGTCGTTTTAGTAAGAACGACACCGCGAGTGAGTCCAACGATGCTGCGGTAGTTAAAACGACAGTGTTTTACTTAAAACAATGTCGTGGAGTAAAAAAAGCAGATAGAGCTGTTTGGGGAAGAAAACGACATCGCGTGAGATTCACACCAACCCGAGCAAGGAGGAGATCAAGATGGTTGAGACACGTGGGAGTTCACAACGGAGCAGTTAAGGAAACAGTTCCACCAAGCGTGAAGACTACGAAGCGTTTTTTCGAATAAAAGCAGTGGAGCAAGGAGAAAGAAAGAGAACCAAAAATCAACACAGAACAACTCTGTCAAAACTTTGCCTTTTCTCTGTAACTCCTTCGCGGAGCTCTCCTTCCAGGAAGGATCTCCATAGTTGTAGTCTTAGTCGTAGTCGCTGAGCTCTCCACAGGAATCTCCATAGGAGTAGTGGTAGTGTAGATTCCTCAAAAAACTCAAACACACTCGTTCGAACGTAGTTTGGAGACGTGCGAATCGTAGTAACGGTCGTGTTGGTTAGAAGTCAGAGGTGCATCGATCAGATCAACATCGTCCGGCGGTGGACATTTGACGGTCACGTTGATTTCACCATTCAGAGGTGCATCGATCAAATCAACATCGTCCGGTGGTGGACATTTGACGGTCACGTTGATTTCACCATTCAGAGGTGCATCGATCAAATCAACATCGCACGGCGGTGGATATTTGACGATCGTCATCGTTTTCAGAAGTCAGAGTTGCACCGATCAAATCAACGGCGCCGACATTCGGCGGCGGATATTTGACGATCGTCTCAATTTCAGCAATCAACGGTGCTTCCGATCAAACGGCACCGCAAGAGTTTCCATAACGAAACATCAAATCAACATCGCCGGAAACCAAAATCGGCACCGGCAATGGTATTTGGTTTTCCCGATAAAACATTTAGTCAACTTGCATCCATTTTCCCTTCTAATATTATGCCTATATAATTTGAGAGGAGATGAGTCTTCACTTAAGGGTCTGACCTAATTACAAGACATTTTTCTTTTTCAATATTGGTTTTGCTGACTCATCAAGCTCATCGATTGGGTTAAGAATAATCAAAATTAAATCTCTAAAATTTTACTTTACATATTCCGACTCTGAGTTCACTATAAAATCTATGAACCTTAAAATCCTACACTATTCATGCTTTAAATCTTTGAAATTTCACTATTTTACCACTCAAATCTTTGGATCAATTTTACTAATCTTTTCCTATAATTTGCAAAAGTACGCTTATTTTACTTCTCCTCTACCACCATCATCTAGTTCTCTCTCACACTAACCACCATTATCAACCATCATCAATTCACATCAACATATTAATCGTCATCGATTCGCCACTTCTCAACATCAACCTTGATAAATGAAAACATAAACCTTGAGAAATTATCTTGTGTTATTCATGATTTTCTTTATTATTAGTATCATTCAATCTCCATTTTTTATACGAACCTTAAATTCTTTATATGATCATTATATCTACCGGGACCAAGAAATGGATGCGGAAAGTTGGCGGAATAATTTATTCATTTTACAATGCTTATGTAATTCGTTCTGTTGCGGTCCAAACGATACCTTTTTGTCAGCAGCAAGCCGAACCTATATATTGTTAGAGTGTGATATAAGATCCAGCAGAACATTCTCCCAACAACTCGTGTTATTGGGATCATCTGGTTCTTGACATGGTATTAGAGTTGGTTTGGCCAAGTGATCGTGTGCTCGAATCTCCATGACCCCCAATATTAACCTTTGATTAAAGCACAAGGTATGGTGGGCCTGTGCAAAATTCAAGTCCGTGAGTTGGCTTTCGTTTGAGGGGGCGTGTTAGAGTGTGATATAAGATCCAGCGGAACCTTCTCCCAACAACTCGAGTTATTGGGATCAACTGGTTCGACTTTTTTTTTTTTTTTTATCAATTGCATCTATCTGTATAATTTGAAATCGTCGTCGGGTAAACTTACGGCCGAGGTCTTCATCAGCCGGCCTGAGGTGAACCAAATTACCGATTATGTTTATGTACGTCTATAGTACAATATATTTATTCCCGTCGCCATCTGAAAGGAACTCTCCATATTCCCGCCGGCTATCTCACTATATAAGCATCGAAGAAGAAGAAGAAAGAAGAAGATATTAATAATAATAATGTGGAAGCTGAAGATAGCGGGAGACGGGGAGTGGGTGAGCAGCGGCAACGGCAACGTCGGACGGCAAGAGTGGGTGTTCGACCCAACCGCCGGCACGCCGGAAGAGAAGGCCGCCGTCGAGAAGGCTCGCCGGGAATTCAAAGAGAATCGATTCAAGGCCAAGCAGAGTGCTGATCTACTCATGAGAATGCAGGTACGTACGTCATATAAATTCTTTTTTTTTTCTTCAATTATTTTGTATTTACGAAGGCAATCCGTAATTAATTTGTTCTCAAGTTAAATTATTATTATTTTTCTATTTTTCAAACAGCTTACCAAGGAAAACCCGATAGAGGAGATTCTTGAAGCCGTGAAACTGAAGGAGAGTGAGGAGATAACAGAAGAAGCAATTTCAACCACGTTGAGAAGAGCAATTAATTTTTACTCGTCGATTCAGGCTCACGATGGACATTGGCCTGCTGAATCTGCTGGCCCTTTATTTTTCATGCCCCCATTGGTAAAAATACATATATATATATATATATATATATATATATATATATATATCGGACCCGCTTTTTTTCTTAACGCGTTTATAACGTAACAAAAAGTTTTACATACATATCGCGCGCAATATAACGATAGAGTCATTTATTTTTCTTTTCATGATTCCATCCCATCTAAAATCCCCTGAAAAAAAATTAATAATAATAATATCATACATCTAACCAATTATTAAGAGCCCTTCTACTATGCTATATAGTATTGGTACTTTAATGTACAATTTAAAGTTGTATCATAACATTAAATGTATAAGTTTAGGTTGTACCATAAAGCAATTTGTACCTTTATGTTATGGTACAACTTTACAACTTGAAGTTGTACCATCACATAAAGGTACAAAGTCAAGTTGTACCATAAAAGAATTTGTACAAAAAATATAGGTACAATCTGAAGTTGTACCATAACGTAAATGTACAATTTTAAGTTGTACCATAAAGACCAAATCCTATAGCACCAATACTATATAGCATTGTAAAATTTCTCAATTATTAAAACAACCTCCATTTCCTAACCAAGCGAACTGATCGAGCATTTTTTGAATCGATACACATAGTGTTTGTTTTGTTATATTGAAACACATACGTGAATTTTTTTTTTTTTTTTTTTGTTACGTTTTATATGTTTGTGACAATTTTGTTACGGATCCAAAAAAAAATGTGTAACCATTTTGATCAAATACACTTGGTTTTACATGCCCCATTTTTAGTACGTACAAGAATTTAATTGTTTAATTATTTATATATAGAACTACGTACGATGTGGTTGATGTGTTGGCAGGTAATTGCGTTGTATGTAATGGGATCACTCAACTCCGTCTTATCATCTGAACACCAAAAGGAAATCAAGCGTTACATTTATAATCACCAGGCAAGTCACTATTCCACTGTCAAACTTATGGTAGCTAGGCTCTTTCATTTCTATTTTATATATATATATATATTGTGTGATTATGACAATAGTAACAACAAAAAATTATATGCTACAGATTCCTGATAAATAAATCTGGGGAAAAAATCAACCTGAAAATCAAAACCTATCTAGCTAGAATTTTTATGAATTCTGAAACTGAAACCTCAATGATGGTAGAATCTATGAAATCCAAATTAACGAAACCCTGAATGATGGACTAAAAGAAAAGTACTACAAACTAAGTGTTAGTCATATTATTTGAACATTTCATCTCATTAATAAGAAATAATTATTGAAAAGTGAAAACTAGTGAAAGTGCTAAAGAGATGTTGAAAGTGATGAAAAACTAGTGAAAACATTGAGAAGTTATTACTTACTTTATAGTTTTAGCAACCACTAACAAAATTTCCTAAGCTCCTTTAAGTATAAGAAAACGTACAACAACAAAACACAAGTAGAGACATTTGGGTGGCTAGTATATAGCAAAATCAGAAAACGTACATAGAATCTAAGAAAGTGTTACATTTTCCTCTCTAATATTTCGTATGAGACTATGTTATGTGTAAACCGGTATGATCTCGCTTTAAATTCCGACTTTGTCGCGCTGATAATACAGAACGAAGACGGCGGGTGGGGATTGCACATAGAAGGCCACAGCACAATGTTCGGTTCAGCACATAGCTACATCTGCTTGAGACTCCTCGGCGAAGACGGGGAAGACATGGCTGTCTTCAAAGCTCGGAAATGGATTCTTGATCATGGCGGCCTTGTCAGCATCCCTTCTTGGGGAAAGTTTTGGGTTTCTGTAAGTAAATTTATTTTCCCATCCTAACTTTTTGTATATAGTCAAGTAAAAAAATCATACTTAGACCAATTTTTTTTTGTGTTGCATTATTATATATAATGCCATAATGTAGGTTCTTGGTCTCTATGAATGGTCAGGATGCAACCCATTTCCCCCAGAGTTTTGGCTTGTGCCATTGTGCTCACCTATTCATCCAGGTTTGCTCCGATCCAACGTCTCGAAAAGACTTTTTTGCATTAGGGTGGCTATACGGTCCGGACCGGTTAAATTGGACCAAATTGATCCAGTCCCAGTCCGGTCTTTTCGGGAATATAAGGACCAAAGATTGGATTGAATACAGTCCGGTCTTGATCCGGTCCGGTCTTGACCCGATCCGATCCCAATTTTATCTTGATTTTAGGTGTTGGGGTCTCTTATCCGGTCTTTATCCGGTGTTTTACCTCAAATCTAAGCCGGAATATGAGATTGGATTGTTTGCTATCCGGTCCCAATCCGGTCCCGATCCGGTTTCGGGTAAAATCAAACAATCCGGACCAAATAGCCAGCCCTAATATAAAATCTTGTTTTTTTTTTCTTTCAGGTAAGATGTTGTGTTATTGTCGCCTGGTTTACATGCCAATGTCCTATCTTTATGGGAAGAGGTTCGTCGGTCCGATCACCGGATTAATCCGCACGTTAAGAGAAGAACTTTACAACGAGCCATATCATCGGGTCAACTGGAATGCCGCCAGGAACACGGTTGCAAAGGTAATGAAATTAAATAGATGGTGGTGATGAAATTATGATTGAGTTCACCATACAATTAATTAGTCTTAGCTTAATTGCTAATTAATTAATTAATTTTTTTTACTTACAAAATTTAGTAGATTTGATTTGATTTCAGGAGGATCTCTATTACCCACACCCTCTTGTGCAAGACATGACATGGGGATTCATCCACCATTTCATGGAGCCACTATTAACACGTTGGCCATTCTCTAAGCTGAGGAAGAAAGCACTAAAAGTAGCCATGGAACACATACACTATGAGGATGAGAACAGCAAATATCTCTGCATTGGATGTGTTGAAAAGGTTCTTTGTCTAATGGCCTGTTGGGTGGAAGATCCCAATTCAGATGCTTGTAAGAAACACTTGGCTAGGCTCCAAGATTACTACTGGATTGCTGAAGATGGGCTCAAAATGCAGGTACATATATGTCGAGATCGTTGAACACGCTAAACTCGATCACTGGAGTCACATGTGTCAAACGAGTATTATACGGGTATTTGAACGAATTTTTTTTGTTAACTATGCTTGTGATTGCAGACATTTGGGTGTCAGACTTGGGATGCGGTTTTCGCAATTCAGGCAATCATGTCGAGCAACTTGTGTGACTATTACGGGCCAACTCTCCGAAAAGCGCACGAATTTTTGAAAGCTTCACAGGTGAAGCATTTTTTTCGAGGATCTATCGTGTGATTTGATTTCTTAGTGTGACCTGGTTTTGCTTGTATTTGAAACAACATAAGACTTGTGTTGCAAGGTACGAGAGAACCCTAGTGGTGACTTCAAGGCAATGTATAGGCACATCTCAAAAGGTTCATGGACCTTCTCAACTCAAGATCATGGGTGGCAAGTTTCTGATTGCACTTCTGAAGGACTCAAGGTGAGTTAATATATAGCTTCCACACCTCCCCGTGATTTTTTTTTCTTCTTCTTAATGACGTTACGTTAATTAACAAAGCAAGTGATACATAATACGAGATTGAGAGAAGCGTTTAACGACTAATGTTATGTCTTTGTGTAGTGTGCACTTCTATACTCTCAAATGTCTAAAGAACTCGTGGGGCAGCCGATGGAAGCAGAACAGTTGTTCGATGCTGTTAATGTCATTCTTTCTCTCCAAGTAAGCACATATATGAAGCTATCTAGCTAGAAACCCACAATCATATGATTACTCAAAACTGTGGAATTAATAGTTTTTTGTTCCGAACATGAAAATGTAGAGCAAGAATGGGGGATTTCCAGCTTGGGAGCCACAAAGAGCATATGGGTGGTTAGAGGTGATCAATCAAATGCTTGACTTACAAGTCCAAATAATTCTAGTCAAGTCCCTAATATATTCATCAAATATCTTTTCTTCTCGATTACAGAAGTTTAATCCAACCGAGTTCTTCGAAGATACGTTAATTGAGTGCGAGTAAGCAACATCTATATTGTGTTTTATGTTTCTCTCTTCTTGAATCTTGAAGAAGTAAATTAAGGTTCACATTGAGTATCACCATAAAAACTTGGCTGCAGATATGTGGAGTGCACAGGATCAGCAATTCAAGCTCTTGCCATGTTTAGGAAACACTACCCTACCCACAGAAGTAAGGAAGTCGACGCGGCTATTGCCAGAGGAGCCCATTACATTGAACAAACACAAAAGGATGACGGCTCGTGGTACTTTCTTTTCCAATGTCTTAGATAGTACTTCTTGCTTGTCAACCAAGTAATAATGTTCCAAGATTGTAATCCAGGGATGTGTAAACCTATGTGTATTTCAGGTATGGTTGTTGGGGGATTTGCTACACATATGGGACATGGTTTGGAGTGGAAGGACTGGTTGCTTGCGGCCGAAGCTACAAAAACAGTCCAGCCCTACGCCAAGCATGCCGATTCTTGTTGTCCAAGCAACTCCCTTGTGGTGGATGGGGGGAGAGCTACCTCTCTTGCCAAAACAAGGTCAACCAAATTTTCCTTCTTGTTATATTGTGATACTTGGTTCCAAATTAGGGTAGTGAAAACAAAGAAAATATCCTAATCAGGATTACCAAAAAAAAAATACAGGTATATACCAATTTGAAAGGGCATAGGGCAAACCTAGTTCAAACTGCATGGGCATTGCTCTCCCTCATTCATGCCGGTCAGGTAACTAGCATTCAAAATTAATCTACAGATCGAATGCCTATCGTAGCAGTATGATCGCAACAGTGTCGCGCAACAACATTGATTTCGTTGAAAATTCGTACTTCGATCGTGTAACAGGCCAATGTGGATCCAACGCCGATCGAGAAGGGGATTAAGCTGTTGATTAATTCACAAATGGCAGATGGTGACTTCCCCCAGCAGGTAAACTTTGATAATGGTAATAATAATTAACAGCAGTAAATATTAAGAATAATTTGAACTGATTTAGGGTTTTGGTATTGTTTGTGAACAGGAGCTCACAGGAGCTTTCATGAGGAATTGTACACTGCATTATTCCTCGTACAGCAACATCTTTCCCATTTGGGCTTTGGGAGAATACAAAAGATGTGTTCTGTATGCATAAACTATACGGGGTGGGTTTCCTGGGGTATTTTCGATCTGTATAGTGTTTGTTTGAAAGTAATTAATTGTCTGTATAATGTTCAAGAATACGTATATTTTACCTAGTGAAGTTAATCTATACATTTTACATAGTGTAAGAAATTCAAGATAGAGTCAAAACCACAGATTAAGTTTGGAATACAATCCAGATTGTTGAGTTATCCAAACCTGAAAGCAAACTCACGCATTTGAAGTTTGAACAGATCCATCATGTATATATTATTTTTAATTTCTTATACATAATTTAATTTCCATTTTATCAAAGTACCATCATGTACAAGGCGAAAGAACTCGAGTTTGAATCTAATTAGGGGTGGCTATACGGTCCGATCCGGTTAAATTGGTCCGAATTGATCTGGTCCTGGTCTGGTCTTTTCGAGAATATAAGGACCAAAGATTGGATTGGATACAGTCCGGTCTTGATCCGGTATGGTCTTGAACCGGTCCGGTCCCAATTCGGTCTTGATTTTAGATTGAGGTTGTGGGGATTTGAGTGATCTGAGGGGTGTTTTGAGTGGCCTAAGGCATGAAAGGGGTGAGGAGATTAAATTTTGGGTGTTGGGCTCTCTTATCCGGTCTTTATCCAGTTTTTCGGTCCAGTCCGAAATGGTTTTTTTACCTCAATCTAGGCCCAAAAATTGGATTGTATCGTTTGCTATCCGGTCTCAGTCCGGTTTCGAGTAAAACCAAAAAGACCGGACCAAATAGCCAGCCCTAAATCTAATCATGTCAGATGTCCTTCACCTATGTGTGCTGTTCTTAGTCTCTAATTACAAAGGTTACGTAACATCACAAGCTAAGGAAAATGGTGTCCTCCTCCAATGGAATCCTCACCATCACGATCAGTAGTAATTGATCACTATGTGTAGCTCCATAATTGGTCACCAATCTGTTCATCTACTCGAATCGATCGACAGGCGGGCAATATTATTGACTAATTTGCCAACCTAATTAAATGCATGAAAAGAAGAGCGACAGTAGTGACTGCAACTGCATATATCTTCCTTAATTTATCTGGCCACTTCACTGTCATTTCATATCGAAGTTTTGTATCAGATGGGTACAACAGAAGAAACATTTAAGACGACGAGAAGGGAACGGTTGAGAGCAGAGCATAAATTAAGTCTGTGGTTGGCTGTTGGTTGCATGCATGTGCCATGTGCCATGTGGTTTGATAAGTATAAAATTCTGTGTGGTTTCAACAATTTTAGTTGCAAAACAATCCATATTATTTCAGAAGCAAATAGACAAATGAATATGAGCTTATAATTCATCAAATACTTTTAATCAAAAGGAATTTCTCATGGATAGTGGTGAAAGTTTTTGACTCGCTAAAATTGCTACTCAATGGCCAAGTGAAACCAATAGTGGTATAGCAACCATGAGCCCAACAATCCAACCCATATTGACTACCTTAATATGTTTTAAATGTTAAAACTAAAGTGGTCTTATAAAGTCGTTCCACCTCTACTGCAAGAAAATATGCTTTCGACAACCATAAATTATGGTCGCCCAAACTGAAAAAATGGTTGTCGAAACCTTCCCGCAACCATAATTGATGGTTTGATAAGATGGTCGGCAATACTGCATCGGTATAAGTCAAAGGCGACCCTTATTTGGTATGGTCGCCAAATATCTACTTTAGGCGACCATATACTATGGTTGGTGGAACACCGATCCGACGATTATCTTATTATGGTTGCATGTACACATTTTCAGCGACTATACAAAAATGGTTAGTGAAACGCCAAAATTCCAGCAACCATAATGATGGTTGCTACAAGATAGCATGTTAGGCATCGATCTCATTTATGGTTGTCAAATGAGCGATTTCATCAACTATTATCTATGGTTGCCAAACAGTGACTATAAAACTATTAGAAGTGTTTTTTAATATGAGCGGTTGTGTAAAATGACTATAAAGGACTTCTAATAAAACTATTAGAAGTGTTTTTTAATATGAGCGGTTGTGTAAAATGACTATAAAGGACTTATAATATAAAATATGAATAAAAATTCTAAACAATAAAAAGTAGTCAAAATGGATCTTGTTAGATTTCTTTTATATTAAATAATATGATTTTATAATTTATTTTATTTTTAAAATGATATAAATGAAGGAAAATTATATTTTCTGAAATAAAATTAAAATATGGTAAGGATAATCTTGTATTTTCAAAACAGCTTTTCGCAGAAACTCCAAATCGGAGCTTCTGCTTTTATGTTATACAAAAGCACTTTTCGGCTTTTCCAAAGCCAAGCTTTTACAGGTGTTTGGCTCTGCTTCAGCTTTTGAACCCGAAAAGCACTTCTAAAAACCGGGCCAAACATAGGGAAAATCTCTGCATCCACTCCTGATAAATAAAATCCTATTTATCCAATATGATACAAGGTTAAATTATTTTGCATAAACACTATTCTTTTTTCAACATTTTTTTTAACATATAGGGATGACAATCAAACTCGCAACAATCGGTATGCGACCGCACACTACTCAATCTATACGGAAAAACCAGCAAAAAATTTAATGGGAATGAGATGGGTTTGGTAACCTCCAATGACAGGAAGGGTATTTATTAAAAAAAACATAAGAGTAGAGTTGAATGTAATTGAATGATCACCCAAACCAAACACTAATTTTTTTCTTTCAATTATCTCTTCTCTCTTTCAATTATTTCCCCTTTATTAACAAGATCATGTTAGTTGTTTATTTCATAATAGATGTGTCCGAATAAAAAAATAAATGATTTGGTTAACACTGTACTTTGTTTTATTAATTAATGAATATTTTTGGATTGGGTGTAGCGGTGTGCAACGGCTCGGTAAGGTCTGGACCGGACCAAACTCATGAGAACCACGGTCCATTAGTGAAAGACATCTTAGAACCAAGGACTGGATCATCATTGCGTTCGGTTCACTTGGTCCGATTTGGTCCGATACAAATATCAGCATGGTCCATCATTTTTTCAATAATTGTAACATTCATGTGGACCGCATTATACTCGATCCGGTGCAATCCGAATCAAGCATTGATTCGGTCCGGTCCGGCACCGAACCATTGCACACCCCCTAAATCCTAATTGGTGCTTAGAATTCGTATTGAGTCAAGAAACCCCTCGATGTCATTTCTTTTCGCCGTCCATTTAATTCCTTAATAATGTTCATATGTATACGTGGCCATCCATCCTATGATTCGTTTGAAAGGTCTGGCGGCGACTATATATACATATATATTTGCATCACCATTTTGAAAGATATATGGTAAGTAAGTACTTAACAGCACCACAGAAAGAAGGAGAAGAAAGAAGAAGAGATCGATCAGATTTCAGATATAAATAATGTGGAAGCTGAAGATAGCGGGAGACGGGGAGTGGGTGAACAGCGGCAACGGCAACGTCGGACGGCAAGAGTGGGTGTTCGACCCAACCGCCGGCACGCCGGAAGAGAAGGCCGCCGTCGAGAAGGCTCGCCGGGAATTCAAAGAGAATCGATTCAAGGCCAAGCAGAGTGCTGATCTACTCATGAGGATGCAGGTATATAGTCTAGGGGTGGTTTGTTTTCTTAGTTTGTTCTAAAGAGATTGTTACGATACCTTTGTTTTTTTTAGAATATATATTGGTTTTTATTTTATTATTGTGATCATATAATATACGACTATACGTATTGTGACCAAAAAGTAAGATAGTCTGACGGTAAAGCTGTCGCGACAGTGAAGGTTTAGGAGTTGCAGATTCCAGGTTCGAATCCAAGCAAGGCCCTTTGGTGTTCCCGGAGGTGGCGTCGAATTTGATTGCAGGTGGCACCCAGATTTAGTAGGACCCGCTGTCACAAAGTGGCATGTGGGGCTGAGGTTCCTGGGTAATAAAGGAACAAGGTTGCTCGGGGCGAAGCCCCGTTGGCGTCGAATTTGATTGCAGGTGGCCCCCAGGTTTAGTAAGACTCGCTGTCACAAAGTGGCACGTGGGGCTGAGGTTACTGGGTAATAAAAAAAATATATGTTTTGTGTGATAGAAATTATTGTTTGCTTTTTTTACTAAGATTGTTGGAATTGTTTAGTTGAGATTATTATCTTTTTTCAGTTTTATTATTTGAAGAGTAACTTTTACAAGAAGAAGTACAAGTGACATTTCTAAAAATTATTGAGAAATTATGGTTTTATCTTTAATTATCATAAACACAATCACAATATCAAACGCAAGGAATCCACTTAAGTATTGAAGAAATTATATGTTAGCTTTTTAAAACTAATTTAATTACTAATTATATAAGGATATGAGTAGCATGACTATTGACTAGTATTCAACTTTTGAAAACAAGATAGGTATGTTATTCAATCTTTTCTATTAACATATTAGAATGATGTACGGAGATCGGTCATTGTACCCTATATAAATATATTTATGGCTTTAGTTATGAAATTCGGCAATTTTCATCGCATCGCGATCTCTTATCTACAACTGAAAATATTTTATGATCAAATCGTGAATCATACTAATCGTTGTTTCCTACAAACAAACAAAAGAGATGCATTGATCGCTTTCTTGATACTAAAAGTTAACTTATAATGACTTTCAAATTAACGTAACTTAATTGATTCCTCTTTTTTTTTTTTTCATATCCAAATCCAACAGCTTACCAAAGAGAACTCCGTAGGGGCGATTCCCGCCGCCGTGAAACTGAACGGAAGTGAGGAGATAACGGAAGAAGCGATTTCAACCACACTGAGACGGGCCATTAGCTTTTACTCGTCGATTCAGGCCCATGATGGGCACTGGCCCGCTGAATCTGCTGGGCCTCTTTTTTTCATGCCTCCATTGGTGAATTGATACGACACCGTCTCGTCTAGAGTTTCAAGAACATGTATTTGTCCTTTTTTTCTTCTAATTATTTGTATAGAGTTGCATTGTGCAGGTATTTGCATTGTACATAATGGGATCACTCAACTCTGTCTTATCATCTGAACACCAAAAGGAAATCAAGCGTTACATCTACAATCATCAGGCAAGTCACCGGTAGAAACTTTATGTTTTCGATAGCTATTTTTTTCTGGTAGAACCGACTGATACGATACAATTTAGCGAATACTACTTGATACGCTCTAAAACACTTTGCTTTGTCGCTAATCGTTACACAGAATGAGGACGGCGGGTGGGGACTGCACATAGAAGGCCACAGCACCATGTTTGGATCGGCATTGAGCTACATATGCCTGAGACTCCTTGGTGAGGGTCCAGAAGATGGGGAAGACATGGCTGTTTTCAGAGGTCGGAAATGGATACTTGATCATGGCGGCCTTGTCAGAATACCTTACTGGGGAAAGTTTTGGGTCTCTGTAAGTAAATAAGTTTCTATCTCAAGCAATCGCGGACCCAAGATAATCGGAGAGGTGTGTCGCCGATAAAATCCAATAATAATTAAATTAAATTAAAAAATTAAGTAGAAATTAACAGAAATTAATTCATAAAGTTCACAATGTCATATTTACAACGAACCGCGACGACTTTTCATCTGTTGAAATATCTCTAAAATACATCATCACTTATGCTGCAAAGCAAATCTTTTTCAATATACACACCTAAACAATCATTCATAAATTGGTCACTCAACCGATTTCGAAGATCGTTCTTGATTATCTTCATAGCTGAAAATGCTCTTTCGCAGCTTGCAGTTGCAACAGGTAAAGTCAACTCAAACTTCAACAGCAAGTAAACTAAAGAATAAGAGTGTCCGCTGGGCTATTGGCCATTTGGCCTTTTTTTTTCTCCTTTAATTATAAGCTCAGACCCAACACACATCACACATATATATTGTATGGGCTGAGAGTCTGTTTTTTTTAATAGGAAATGATAGGATTATGAGTTATTTTAAACAAAATTAAAATGGATTATGATTAAGATTGATTCATTTGGATAATAAATTCTTCGGCTATAATGAAGGTGTGTCGGCTATCCCGAAGTAAAAAATTTTGTACCAAAAATATATAGGTTCTTCGCAAAATTTTCGTCTGCCACTGATCTCAAGTGTTGTACGATTAAATGCATATATTAATATAGGTGTGTCACTGTTCAAACTCTAATGTGATAGACGATATTGTTCTTCGAGATTGTCTTTAATCAGCGTCGGTTCTAGGTTCAACTTTTAAAGTTTAGTGCAGTTTTTTTTTTTTTTTTGTAGAAAAGGGGTGCAAAGGGCACCCTAACCTATTACATTTATAGTAGGGCTGGTAAACGGTTAGTCGGATATCGGTTTTAATCGATAACCGAACTGATAATGACGGTTAGTGATTAACCGATAACCAATAATTTCGGTTTCCGGGTAGTGATATTTTTCTTATTGGTTAACCGTTAACCGACCAATCGGTTAGTGGTTAACCGATAACCGCCAACTAGTATAACCACATAGTTTTGGACATTTGGCTAAGGGAAAAGTTTCAAGATTCAAAACCAACAAAAGTCGCAATATCCAAACATCCCAATTCCCAACTATTGCAAACAACCCTCCACCAAGAGTCTCACATGTGTTTAAGAGTCAGAACCCGAAAGTCACTTCTCTCTAACTCCTCTTTGCATTCGACAGAGCAAATGTCATACCCTAGTGATCGTTTTCTCTTTGATGTTTGTGAATGATGATCTTGTGGTGCTTGTATTCGATGTCTTGCAAATTGGATGAATAAGTTTGATTAATTTTTATTTTATGCATTGTGAATTGAATTTAAATTACGAATTCGCGTTGAATATTGTATTGACTAATTTTTATTTTATGTATTGGGAATTCACGCTGAATAATGTCATGTAGTTAAATTATTTTGAATTACTTGTATGATCATTCGTCTTTAATATTTAGTACTCTTCGTCATTCTTATGTATGATTATTCGTATTACAAGTGGTTATTGCTTCGGTTTATTATATTTTGTGAAAGAAAACTGAAGTTATTGATTTGATATTTAGGTCGATTATGTATAACCGTAATTGTTGGAAAGTATGTTAGTTGTTATTGGTTAACCACCAAACTAACCACTAACCGAACCGACAATAGATAATTAACCGATAAAGCTTATCAGTTCGGTTAGTGGTTAACCGAAACCGAACCGATTAGCCCCCTAATTTATAGTACGGGTTTCCACAACCCCAAGCACGGAAAGCCCTTTCGCATTCTTATATAGAGTTGTATTAATTTGATTTAGTGATCAATTTCTTTCTTGTTGTTGCATGCACATATGATATAGGTTCTTGGGCTATACGAATGGTCAGGTTGCAACCCTTCTCCCCCGGAGATTTTGCTTTTGCCCTTAAGCTCCCCTGTTCATGCAGGTGCATATTCTAAGTATAAGAAGAGGATGCAAATTCTTTGTATTTCAAATATGTTGTCATTATTGTGGCAAATAGTATATCTTATTTTCATTCAGGTAAGATGTTGTGTTATAGTCGTCTGGTTTACGTGCCGATGTCTTATCTTTATGGCAAGAGATTCGTTGGTCCGATCACCGAACTAATCCAGAGTTTAAGGGAAGAGCTCTACAATGAGCCGTATCATCAGATCAACTGGAATGCAGCAAGGAATACAGTTGCAAAGGTATAAATTACAACCCTAAAGGTTCATTGTTGAAATTAGTGTATGTCTGTGATTTTCTGAATTCATCAGGAGGATCTCTATTACCCACATCCTCTTGTACAAGACCTGACATGGGGATTCATCCACCATTTCATGGAGCCATTATTAACACGATTGCCACTCTCTAAGCTGAGGAAGAAAGCACTGAGGTTAGCCATGGAACACATACACTACGAGGATGAGAACAGCAAGTACCTCTGCATTGGAAGTGTTGAAAAGGTTCTGTGTCTGATGGCTTGTTGGGTGGAAGATCCCAATTCAGATGCATGTAAGCAACACTTGGCTAGGCTCCCAGATTACTACTGGGTTGCTGAAGATGGGCTCAAGATGCAGACATTTGGCTGTCAAACTTGGGATGCAGCTTTCGCGATACAGGCAATCGTGTCGGGTAACCTGAGTCACGAGTACGGGCCAACTCTTCGAAAAGCACACGATTTCTTGAAGTCTGCACAGGTGAGCTGTTTCAAATGATCATATAGTATGTTGGTTCTTTGAAGGTTCAATCACCAAATTTTCCTGCATCTGAAACAAACATGAGAAATGGTGTTACAAAGGTGAGGGAGAATCCGAGTGGCGACTTCAAGGCAATGTATAGGCACATATCGAAAGGTTCATGGACCTTCTCAACTCAGGATCATGGGTGGCAAGTTTCTGATTGCACTGCTGAAGGACTCAAGGTTGATTTCTCAGTTTAATTTTTTGCACTTCCTGCAATTTTCTGCTGTCGCGCGGCGGAGTATTGCATATTAACGAAAGAAAAACGATGCGCAGAACAAGCATCCAAGCACATTCTCTTAATCCTATATATGTACATTCTCGCAATATATGTGGTTACTGCTTCACTTTTCTTGTGCAGTGTGCACTGCTGTACTCTCAAATGCCTGTAGAACTCGTCGGCCAGCCGATGGAAGCAGAGCAGTTGTTTGATGCTGTTAATGTCATTCTTTCTCTCCAAGTAAGAACAAATAAACCATTGATCATTCCTCAAAAGTGTCAATCCCCTCAAATGGGTTCTAGTGGTTAGAGTTTTGCTGAACTCTCAGCATGAAAATGCAGAGCAAGAACGGTGGATTCACAGCCTGGGAGCCACAAAGAGCATACGGATGGTTAGAGGTAACTAACTAGTTCATATAATCCATTCACAATCCTTTTTCAAACCCAAATTTTAGTCAACTCGCCTAAATGTTCATCGAATCGTCTTCTTGATCTGCTACAGAAGTTCAATCCAACAGAGTTCTTTGAAGACGCTATGATCGAGCGCGAGTAAGCCTGTCTAAACACGCGGATATGTTTTTTTAAGGGAAAATTGATGGGTAAAACTGAGCCTCATCCTGGAAATTGTTTACACAGATATGTTGAGTGCACAGGATCAGCAATGCAAGCTCTAGCTATGTTCAGGAAGCACTACCCTAGCCACAGAAGTAAGGAAGTTGATGCTGCTATCGCCCGAGGAGCTGACTACATCGAGCAAACACAGAACAATGACGGCTCGTGGTACTAATAATGTCCATTGCCATACTAGTAAGCGAAAATTTATGCAGCCATGTTCTAACTGTGGGATGTGCTGTGGAAACTATGTTATTTTATCAGGTATGGTTGTTGGGGGATTTGCTACACCTACGGGACGTGGTTTGCAGTGGAAGGGCTGGTTGCTTGCGGCCGAAGCTACACAAACAGTCATGCCCTGCGAAAAGCATGCCGATTCTTGTTGTCCAAGCAACTCCCTTGTGGTGGATGGGGTGAGAGCTACCTCTCCAGCCAAAACAAGGTCAGCCAATTTTCCTTACTTGCATGATATATAGACAAAGACCAGAGCTCTTGAAAGTGTGTAAAAACCGAAACAGGTATACACCAATCTGCAGGGGGATAAGGCAAATCTGGTTCAAACTGCATGGGCGTTGCTCTCCCTTATCCATGCCGGTCAGGTAATTAGCACTTACAGTACTTCTACACTCCAATGCCTGGTATCACAGTGGCTGTTGCCGCGGTATCATTGTCGTATGAACTTGTACTGTGATGATGTAACAGGCTAATGTGGATTCAGCACCGATCGAGAAGGGGATGAAACTGTTGGTTAATTCACAAATGGATGATGGTGACTTCCCCCAGCAGGTAAATCAAGAGTAGTAATCATCATCCGTTGGAATTCAGTAAGAAAGGATTTACTGATTCGGGCCTTTCGATATTGATTCGTGAACAGGAACTCACAGGAGCTTTCATGAGGAATTGTACACTGCACTACTCCTCGTACAGGAACATCTTCCCCATTTGGGCACTGGGAGAATATAGTAGGCATGTTATGGGTGCATAAGTAATCAAGTTATTCTCTCTACCAAAAAAAAAAGCAATCAAGTTATATGGGGTTCTTTTTTCATGGGTGTTTTCAGTATAGTAAAAGTTTGATATAATTGTATGTATAAGCAAAAATGCGTAAGTTATATAGTAGCCAGATGAGCATCACATCCTAAAAGAAAATAAAAGGAAGCAAGTTTACGGTTGCTTCCAACCAACTACTATTGAATCAAACAGCAAATGTGTAGTAATACCAGGACGACTTTCGAAGAAATAGTGAAGCTCACTTCTTACATTACACACTCATGGACATAATCTGGCGGGCAAGACCGGGATCCTGCTGCAAAAGTTCCCTCAAGTTGTTCTCCACCTCAGCCATCTGCTTTTCCAAGTACTCCTTGGATGTCTGTTCAACCAAAAAACATAATTCATACTACCATTTGTCATGAAACAATTCTATAAGATCCAAGTTCAACAAGGTAAGAAATAGATTTGTGACGTTTTCAAACTTAAGTTCTATAAGATCCAAGTTCAACAAGGTAAGAAATAGATTTGTGATGTTTTCAAACTTAAGTTCCCCAAGTCAAACAAGGTAGTTTGACATCCGGAACATACGGTATACGGAAGATATTAGGAGCATCGATCACATTAAATTGGTCAGATTGTCCTCCTAATGTGAGTTCAGTTGGTTTGATTTAGTAGACAAAGAGTTAGCAGCAGCAGAAAGGAGAAGATAGAATGAAAATGGCTATACCTGCAGCGACGCTATTGCAGATTCACTATCCTTGTGTTTTTGCTCTTGTTCAGTCATCAACACAGACTTAGGCTCCAAGACAAACCTGGCCACCATTCAACAGAAAGAGAGAAATCCATCACTTACAGTCACATATGCCCTAACTAGAACAAATCATCATTTGGCTAGAGCAAAACCAGACTGTGCAGCATTACTCACGTTCTTCCTGCAAAAGGATGAAGACGAGAATGTTAAACCACAATTTTTTTTTTTTTTTCCTTTCCCCCCATAACGTGGAAATAGTCGAGTAAAGAATACATAAATCAGCTCCATAAACAAGCAATGATGGAAGCAAAGAAACAGCATAGGATATATCCCCCATACGAAGGACGTTTTCAGGCTTCATACCTATGGACTTGTATGTATTTGTGTCATCAGGCACCTGCTGCAATTCCTGCAAAGTCAGGTAAGCACGCTTCTTTTCTCCCTCTTTAGTACGCATCTGGTTCTGCACCTGAAATGAAAGACGCATCAGTTCAGATTAATGACAACAATTACCTTTTACTAGCCACCCATCTTGTGAAGTCCAAACACCAAAACAAGCACCAAAAACTGGAGAAAAACAAGCTACAAAAAGAAGCATCAACAGATCCCCCCCTTGTCATTTTTTGTCTCAGCTTTTCAAATACAGAATGCAAGGCACAAGCCTCACATCCCAATCCACAAAAGATCTTTCACGCCATTGGCATGCTTCACCGTGACAAAGTATCTAAAATCAAGATCACACATGCCATACATTTGCTTCTACGATACCAATTCCGCAGGAGTAACTTCCGGGGAATGTATCAAAAGTAAAACCAGCAGCTGAAATGGCACAGTAGAATGACATCCTAAAGCAGAGTACTCAATTCTAGGTCAACACAATGACATTTCAATCTCAAACTCAACTCACCATTCTTACTGTATATACATTATAGAGATTGAGACCAATGATCTATGAACGCTCCCGGTGGATAGAGTAAACAATCCCCTGAAGCTAGCTACTCATGATACTATGTAACTTCAAATTTGCATCCAGATTTGTCCTGAGTTTTAAAAAATTCCAGCAAATGCAAAGATTTGAACAGCGACTAACCTGCTTCAGTTTGGCAGTAGTCTCGATCATGCGACCTTGAATCTCCATAAAAGCCTGAGGAAAGCAACGAGATTTCCACAAACCCACATGGAGACAAAATGTATTCAGTAACTTAGCAGGTCAACTGAATAAACAAAATGAATCGTATGCTGTGTTCAATCAAAAGAAGGAAGACCAGCTTCGTCTGGCGGAATCAGAGCTAGCAGATGGAGTTTGAAGCTGTTCTTACGGTTCTGTTGGCTTCGTCCGCCATTGGAAGTGGATAGACTGAGAGGTCGAGCTGACAGACTTGATTAACCGAAGACGAAGAGTGGTGCGATGCAGCTTTCTAGGGTTTTTCCCGCTTTTCCGAATCTCAGTTTTCAGACTCTTTCACATTGATTGATCCCACAAGAAATCGGGTCGGTTCGGGTGAAGCGAAACTCGTTAACCACAAAGATGGGTCAAAAGCAAACGGCATCGTACAACATTTAATCGACTTTACAAAATTAATGTATAAAATTTTGGGCAATGACTATATTTTATCTCAGATTTTTTTATATATATTATCTAAACCTATTAAAATGTTATTAATTAGTCTAAATCTTTCGTAATGTATCAAAATATTAGTCATTTTACGTTATCATAAATAATTTTGTAACTATTTTCTTAGTTAAAATACTAAAATTTTGGAATGTTGACATCATGTGTCTTTTCCAAGTCAGTATCATGTTGTCAAGTCTATATTACTAACAAAATTGCTAACTGGAGTCTGGAAGTTACCATTTGGCTAATTCTTAGTATTTTAATAGGCTTGGATAATATAAAAGAATATGAAAAAGGTTTGGATAAAAAATAGACATTACCCTAAAAAAAAATTATATGTTATTGAAACGTGGCATCATGGTACATGGCAATAGTGGTTATATTTAAGGCTAATGGTTTGGTTTGAATTACTATTATAGTGGTTATGTTTTATTGTTTCTTTTGTAATAATACTTATTAAAGTATAAAGTGGTTACTGTTGCATTAGAGGTTGGTTAAATTGGGGTGAAATACGGTGACACCCCTTTTAGGGTTGTTATTTTCACAACCCACTCTATATACCATTAGATCCATTCTCTTTCATACTTTTTTAAATTGATGGATGAGATTGGTACAAGGATATTTTTGAACGAAAAAATATGACCATATGGGATTACAACCCATACTAATTTCAACATTCTTCCCCTCTCTCTAAAAACCCTAATTAAAATTTTTATATCATTCTCCATCTCTCTGTCGCCGCCACCGGCACCAGTTCTCCCTTCTTCTTCCTCCTCTCTTCTTCTTCCTCCCACCGTCTTCCCTTTTCTCCTGCCACCTTCCTCCTACTGCCCTCCTCCCGGCGACACCTATTCACGTCGTCGCATCCACAGCAATCTCGCGGCGCCTCTACCCCTGCCTCTTCACGTCGTAGCCTCCGCCCTCTGCCCTTGCCGCTGCCGTCTCACGGCGTTCTCTGTCCCTGTCGCAAAGTCGCCCCCTTTTCCCCCTGCCTCGCGGTCTCTACCGCGAGGTCACCGACTCCCCCTTTCCTCATCCCATTATTATTATTATTATTATTATTATTATTATTGCAGATTTGAGATTTTCAGAATCCATATCTGTTTTTTGTTTTAGACTAGTGGTACTGATTTGGAGTGGTACTCATTTGGTACCACTACCAGCTAGTGGTACTAGATGGTAGTGGTAGCGTACCACTACCAGCTGTACTGGTAATGGTACACGTGATAGCGTACCACTAACGCACTGACAGAGTGGTAATTTTTTGTAGGTGGCCGGAGCGAATGTGATTTAAGTATTTCGCCGGAGAAAGTCTGTCGGTCGGAAGATTAGCCGGTCAGAGTGGATTGGCGGCTGGGAAAAGAAGAGTGAGAGTTGTGTTTATTGTAGGATTTAAATGTTAAAAAAGCATGTATTTAATATGAGTTTTTAATTCCCAATTTGTAATTACTACATAAAGTTAATTAATAAAAAAAATTATCATGTCCAAAATGCTCTTGGTTGTGAATCTCACAACCCTTTAAGAGTGATCGTATCCCACCCCGTTAACATGGTTAGGTAACAGCCACCTCTAAATTAAACACGTGGCAGTTATAGAATTTTTCCAATGGCTTGATTTGTTTGATACATGAACATGGTTACTAAATCCTTAGTGTTATTTGATTGGTCGGTGAATTGTTATTTTCATTCAAAAATAGGGGGAATGTTGTTGGTGTAGGCTTGACACGCTTACTCCAATTTGAATCTTGATTTATGTTTAGGGAAAAAAACAAAAAAAATTAAAACCATATCGAATGACGTACCAGAAAAGTTAGCATCAGTGTAATTTGTGCTAAAATCACCTACCGATTTAGATTATTTGGGTTTTTTTGACCAGCAGTACGGTAATGTGGCTAAATCAGTCTTGACACGTTGCTCCAATCCGAGCCTCGATTATGTTCAGATATAGTAAAAATTGTAAAACCATACCGAAAGTCACAACAGAAAAGTTAGAATTAGAGTATTTTGTGCTAAAAGCGTAGTTCACCCGTGGTTAAATCAGGTTTGATACGTTGCTCCAACCTGAGCCTCATTTAATGTTTAAAAAAAAATTGGAAAACCATACCCTAAGGTCGTACCAAAAAAGTTAGCAGTAGATTTTTTCTGCTAAATTTGTAGTTAACCCGTACGTGGTTAAAATAAGACTTGACATGTTGCTACAACCCGAGTCTCGATTTATGTTGAGAAAAAAAAACAAAAATTGTAAAACCATATTGAATGTTGTGCCAAAAAAGTTATCAATATGGTAATTTGTGCTAAAATGTAGTTCAATCGTGGTTGAATCAGGCTTGACACGTTGCTCCAACCCGTCCATCGATGTAGATCACAAAAAATTAAAAATTGTAAAATCGTACCGAAATTCGTACCTGAAAAGTCAACATTATGACATTTTATGCTAAAATTATAGTTCAGCCATGATTAAATCATTTCATACAACTAAAATTACTTACCAATTTAGATTTCGTTAGGAGTTTTATATTGGATCTTTGCTAAACGTGGTCACAAATCAAATACGAATTATAAAACAATACATCTAATCTTATTAGAAGGCGCAACGAAGCGCGACACAAAATCTACCTAGTGTAAGTTAATAGTTAGAATGAAACCAACCAATGAATCTAGAAATATAACACTTAAATGTAATCCAATGTGAATAAAACACAATTGTAATACAACAAACGTTAAACTGAAAACGACATCAATGAAATAAGAAAAATAGTTTTGAAGACGTTTTCGGTAAGAAGAAATGATAATCCAATTGGAGTCATGACTTGCGAGAAGAGTTCGGAAATGGTGTAGTTTGGTCCATACTCCATGTGTGGAGTATAGATTAGGGACCAAATAAAATACAATTTATAGCGAATCACGTTTGTGCAGTCTGATTTGATAGAGTTCGGATCAACCAGATCGTGTTGAGTAAAAAATAACAGCTTGTTTAGTCAATCACACTAATAATGGAGGGAAAAACTATTTTTATCTTACAGCCCAAATTTCAATACCCATGTATAAGTTTGCTACCCAAAATCCAAATAAATAAAAGTCAGAGAACCTAGCTTCTACCATATTGTCATAAACAATACCATAATTGTCAAGATTCAGTTGATTACTCGAGTTGTTGACAAAAGTTCAATTATAAATCTTATATCACTCACTAACCATATTGTCATAAACAATACCATCATTATCAAGAACCAGTTGATTCCAATAACTCATAGTTGCTCAATAATGAATTCTATATCACTCACTAATGCACCCCTCAAACGAAAACCAGTCATACAACCTAGATGTTTGCACATGTCTGAATACCACGTGCTTAACAAATGTGGGTCGTGGGGGATTCGAAGACATGATCTATCAGTCACTGAAAGCTCCGATACCATGTAAAGTACCAATTGATCTCAATAACTTGACTTGTTGGAAGATGTCCAATAACAATCTTACACAGTTATACCACTCACTGACAACAAGGTTATACGATGATGATGACATGATCGTCTCTATTCTCAGCCGGAGTGTGGTTTGTGAATCAAACAAGAGACAAGATTCGCAAAACCAAAATTGAAACTTGGATCGTTGAAAAATGTAAAAAAATGATCGAATAAACTTCTAACAAGAACTAAGAAGCGAATTGAATTCACGGTATAAATCGATAATCTATAATATTCGACCGATCCGTTTCTCTACATGTGATGTGAGTACTAGAATGATCACATTTTTGTTTTTGCAAATCAAATCATTCCTCTCCCTCCTCGAAAGACAGCCAGAAAAACGAAGGACCGGCAGGGCAGATGTAGTTTTTAGACTTTGAAAGCCGCGGGGACCCTTCTTGGTCTTGCGATTTTGGCGGGTTCCTCCTGCTCTAAGAACAAAAAAAATGAAAGCGTCGTCATGCTAGAAATCTGAATTAACAAATCCAAATCTTTAAACGGAAAAAAACCCACAGCCAATTGTTTTCTTCGGTAGTCTTCTTCCGTTGGTCCTCTTTCTCTTTGATCCAGAAGAGCCCTGCTCCTTTTTTTAACCAATTTCTCTTACATACTTCCCATCTCCCACCAAACCCAATTCCCCTGATTTGCCCGCTTGGCGCTTTCCTTTCCCCCTTTCCCTCCTCTCGCTGTTTGGTTCCGGCTGGAATCCGTGGCGGCGGCGACGACGACCATTTGAGGATTCCGGCGAGCCCAGATCCTATCCGAGACCCCATTTTTATTTCCCCCCCCCCCCCCCCCCCCCCCCCCCCCCCCCCCCCCCCCCCCCCCCCACCCCCCCCACAGTCCTTTTCCTCTTGTTCTTCTTTTTTTTCTCTTGCGGGTCTAGCGCCCTCTGCCGATTAGATATTTGTGCTTTCGTTCCCTTTTTTTTCTGGGGATTTGGCATTTTCTTGCTTACATATATCCTCTCTTTTTTTCTCCCGCGACCCTCTGCGGAAAAAAGGTGATGTAGGCAGGTGTTTGATAGCAAAGTATGAGATGCTTTTGGCGTAGATTGAAATTGCATATCAGGTCGAAGTTAATGGGGCTTTGTTTCAGCATGAACAAGCACCAGCGGTTCCCCAAGGAAAATCGCAAATTCTCTTCCGTCAGCTCCAAGGGTAATCAATCGATTCAAACCCAATCATCCCCATTGCTCCTCTTTCGCAAAGATCGCTGCTTTTTTGTTCTTTTTTCCTGCTCTGTTGATGAATTATTAATTACGAACTCTTGGGTTCATTGATGGTGGCAGTTTTATTTGTATATATATGGAATGCGCCGGATTCTCTTCGGTTGACTTGTGTTTTCTTCTCCCTGTCCGGTTGTATATTTATGGATAAATTTCGAAGGTTCTTCGAAAGATGCCGTCTTTTTTTATTGATTACGTAGTTTCGTGATGGCTTTGGAATTTCCTGGCATGAATTAGAGGGAATGTGATGAAAAACCCATGTGTTGGCTGCTTTCTTACGTTCCCCCCTTTGTTTTTTATCCTTTAGTTCCAATATCTTAATGCTTACGATGTTTCATTAATGGAAGGTCCGCTTATGGGGTTTTGTGTATTGTCTTTGTCTGGTCATTTTGAAAATCAGCAGGAAGTGAATCCATGAGGTCTTCTGCTGCGCTAAATAAGCAAAGCTCGTGTGATACGCATAGTATGACCAAGAACACCGCTCCAAAAGTTCATAGGAACGTTTCGGACCTTCGAAACAACCCGGGGTATAGTAATGTCGATAACTTTACCTACAAGGAAATGACATTGGCAACGAAGTACTTTAGGCCGGATTTCATCCTTGGAGAAGGTGGATTTGGTGTTGTATATAAGGGAGTCATCGATGAGAGTGTAAGGCCTGGATATCCTACCACGAATGTTGCGATCAAGGAGCTTAATCCTGATGGGTTGCAAGGAGACCGTGAATGGCTGGTATTTCTAGCTTTCTCTTCTCTGTGATTGTTTTTTCTGTGCTCTAGATGCGCTAGTTGTTTTACCGATGCTTGAAGCCTCTCTCTTTACTCTTCCATGAGAATGAAGAAGCATGAGTTATAAAACCCCCTGAATTTAAGCTGCAATGTTTTCTTGTTTGAAACGTGAACCTCTTCCTGTTACCATCTATGAGGTCATGTATTCTTTTGGAATATCGGAGGATAATTGGTTGGTCGCTGCTCGAATGATGCCATTCTTCCGGATATTAATCCTTGGTGGACGGCAGGCTTGCCTAGTTGAAACTGCTTTGAATTAAATGAGGGGAACTTACTTGCTGTTCTTATCTTTATGTTATCTTTCCAGGCAGAAGTCAATTTTTTAGGTAAACTCAGTCATACTAACCTTGTAAAGCTTATCGGCTACTGCTGTGAAGACGAGCACAGGCTTTTGGTCTACGAGTACATGGCCAGTGGAAGTCTGGAAACACATCTTTTCCGAAGTATGTCATTTGTGACTTTCATACATGTGCAATTGTTAATCAGCTCACCTAATATTAATCACTTGATCTATGGATGGAAGGGATTTGTTTTATAAGCAGAGAAGGGAAAAAGTTACTAATCGCCCATCAGGAAAACAAGGAATTGATGAACAAACAGTGGAGAACGAGTTCTCTTGAATGATAATTATACTCCATGCATGAACTATGAAGTGGCTCTATTAGTCAAACATGCATGTTTTGGAATTGTTCTTTTATGATATCCAAAATTTTGAATTCGATACATGCTGCACCCTGCATATTTGGCATCTGGAAAAGGGATTAAGGTGTGTCTTCCTCCTTACTGTTTTTGTTCTGTGAACACCAGGAGTTGGTTGTACTTTGACATGGCCAAAGCGAATGAAGATTGCTCTACATGCTGCCAAAGGACTAGCTGTTCTTCACGGTGCAGAAAGATCTGTCATATACCGTGATTTCAAGACATCAAATATCCTACTAGATGCGGTTAGTTGTCAATCCATACTCTTATATCTTTTATAGCGTCCATTATTCTCTAGGTTTGTTTCGATAACATGATGAAATGCATCTCCTTCTGCATGCCAAAAAATTTGGAAGTATTCTTGGTATTTCTTTGAAGACTTTTGAGCTAGTTCTTTGGTGTATGATGTGCAGGATTTCAATGCAAAGCTTTCAGATTTCGGGCTTGCCAAAGATGGACCCATGGGTGACCAGACTCATGTATCAACACGGGTAATGGGAACCTATGGCTATGCAGCTCCAGAGTATGTAATGACCGGTAAGTTATGCTATTAAATTGTGCCTCATGTTCTTCCATTTACCCATGAGAATTGAGAACCCATTCAGAAACTGTATACATGGTAACTGCTCTGTTACTCTTATAATTAGTAGCGGTTTTTTAGTATCTGGTAAGCTCCTCGGTGGAAATTTCACGTCTCCATTACTCTTGTTTCCGAGCAGAGCAAAATTGACTGAATGAGCATGTGGGTTTATGGTGAAACAGGGCACTTGACAGCGCGAAGCGATGTGTATGGTTTCGGAGTCGTGCTGCTAGAGCTGCTTCTGGGAAGGAGAGCACTAGACAAGAGCAGGCCAAGCAGAGAACACAACCTAGTCGAGTGGGCCCGGCCGCTCTTGAACCAAAACAAGAAGGTTTTGAGAATCCTAGACCCTAGAATGGATGGCCAGTACTCGAGTAGGACGGCCTTGAAAGTAGCAAACTTAGCATACCAATGCCTTAGCCAAAACCCCAAGGAGAGGCCACTGATGAGCGAGGTGGTCGAATTGCTAGAGAGCGTACAATCGAAGGACAGCGACGTAGATGAACTAATGCTTCAGAGCAACAACCATAAAGGCGTGACACTTTACGAGGATCCTGGCCACAGTCGTTCAGCAAAGAGCAGGAGCAAAAGAAAAGGGGAAGGAAGCTGGAGGAGTGTCAGTGAGGTCTCAGTAGAGCAGGTTAGCAGCAATGCATCTTCTCCTGAGCATCATCATCATCATCATCGTCATCCTGCTGGATTGCCGAATGCGGTAAGGAATCCAGATAGTCATCAACCGTGAGTTTGGTAGAGGGGGGGAAGAGTGTCTCATATGTATACTATTACAACTATACTATCTCTCTATATATAATATAGTTTGTAACCCAACTTTGGGACAGAACTTGAAACTGTAAGAAATTTGTCAAGCAGGTCTGTCCCATTTTGGTGTTCTGGAGGGGTAAAAAGGAAAAGAGGGCAACCGTTTTTGTTCTCCATTTCCTTGTTGAGGTAGGAGAAAGAAGCCTTTTTTTTCCCTTATTTCCTAAGGAGTGTTGACAATTACTGGTTTTTTTCAGTCTGGTTCCTTTTTGTATGTGAAGCCTAGCCTTCTTTTGCTTCGCTGAATGTACATTTATAGAGTCCAGAATTCAACAAGAAGACAAACTGGTTCATATCTGATATGAGCTTCCTGATTATTAATATAACTTTGACAACGGACAACGATGATATTATTACAGCAAGAGTAGCATTATGTCGTACCACGGGGTCGTTTGGAAGTTGCGATTGTTAGCATTGTATTTGTTAAATAGATGCATTGTCCACAATACAACGTTTGGAAGTGTCAAGTTGCAAAACAATGCATATATTGTTTTGTGTGAGTCCCACCAACAATCAACAAAAATGAGGGATTGTACAATCTCAACTAAAAATTGAGATTGTTGTGATTGTTGGTTTAATAATTGAGCACATTTACTTTTTCCAATTATGTCCATAGTTTTTTTTGTTTTATATTAAAAGTGGAAGATAAATATGACATTTCCTTATAAAATAACTTTATAACAATCCATTCATAAATTATAATCTCAACAACCAAACAAATTTCAAAATGCATCTATTGTATCAATGCATGCATTTATATCATAGTGATTCATAACAATACAACGATTTAAGATACGCAACTTCCAAACGACCCGTAGGATTTGCACAAAGATACCTATTATTTCTGGAACTCCATGAGGGTGAGGAAGTAATCAACGTAGTAGAACGCCTTGAAGTTGGTGAAGCCAACAGCCAGGCCAAGCTGCTTGAACTCTTCCTCTGTCTTCTGCTTGCTCTTCACCCTGTAAAGTGTCATCATGAAGACGTCGGATTCGAGCAGGGCTCGCGTCCTGAGGCTGTGGTCGCTCTTCTCCGGCAGCACGGGCTCGATGACGATCAGCTTCCCTCCCTGTGGCAGCGCCTTGTAGCAGTTCTCCATTACCTTCTTGCATTCCTCCTCCGTCCAAGCCGTCAAAGCCCACTGCATATGTCACCGGATAGATCTAATGAAAACTGCTTGCAGAATCGTCACATCGATAATATCCAACGAATATATTATTGTGAGAAGTCCAATCCAACGGTATTTTTTTTTTTTATACCTTCATGAAGATTGCATCACCACTAGGTATGGACTTGAACATATCGCCACCTACATGCTTCACGTCTGCAACAACGATAATGAATTAATGATGATAGTAATATGTAGGGTAAATGTCACATTTGGTCATTGAGATTACTAAATCGTGTCATGTTTAGTCGCTAGAAAATTTTAATGTCAATTTTGGTCACTCGAATTACTGAAATAGTTCACATTTAGTCACTCTCCCATTAGTTTCTGTCCAACTTCTTTAATGGAGTTGGACGGAAACTAATCGGAGAGTGACTAAATATGACATGTTTCAGTAATTCGAGTGACTAAATATGACATGTTTTAGTAATTCGAGTGACCAAAATTGACATTAAATTTTTCTAGTGACTAAACATGACACGATTTAGTAATCTCAATGACCAAATGTGGCATTTACCCGGGCAAAATAAAATAAACTAATTACTGTACTTAGAACCATTGTTTCAAATGGCCGTTTGATTAGGTGTGGCCGGTTTCACTGCAACAAACTATACACTCACTGGGAATGACAGGAGCTTTGGCAACGACTTCGGGCAGGTCGAAGTTGATTCCTTCTCGGATGTTGGGGAACTTGGGTAGGATCATCCGCAGGGAATCGCCGCTGTTTCCGGCGACGTCGACCAATGTCTTGACGCCGTGGAACCCGCCGTAGTCGCCGCCCAGCAGGGCCTTCATGAACGGTGCGGACGTGCCGGACATCGACTTCCGCATCAGTTCGATCATCTCCGGCCGCTTCCCGTAGTAATCGTACGTCGGCTCGCCGTGCACCTTCACGAACGGATCCGTCGTTGGGTCCGTCACCGTCTCGTGCACCAGCGGCCACGTCCTGATCAGGACGTCCTGCTCAGACGCGACAATTTCAGGTCCGTTAATTGACTGGGCTCTAGAAAAATACGAATTTTGTTGCTAGTCCGGCCCAGTTAAGTTGTTTTATTTCAATTAGTATTGGGCCGTTGTGTATTAAAAGCCCATCAGGTGGAAGAGAGAGTCAGACAATCAAACTTATCAGAGTGCTTTCGTCACTTCATCTTATTCTTCTCCATCTCGTTCTCCCCCCTTTTCCCTCTTTCAGTTTTCGGGTCAAAATCCCCAAGTATTAGAGTTGCCGCTTTCTTTAAAAACTAGTAAATGTCATTCTGCCGCCAGTTAGAGATGGCAACCGTGAGGATTTAGTGCATATTTATTATTCCAAATAAAAAAAAATTGATTTTTTTATATAATACTCATACTCACATAACAATTGGGTATATTATTTAAAATTATATATTCATATGCGATCTTATTTTTGCGATATTGGGCGAGTTCGGGTTGAATTAATAAGAAAACCATGCATGTATTCAAATTTAAACCATACCCTTTAAAAATCATTCGAATTTGAATTTTACCCTAACCAACTAAATCGGATCCAGACGGCTATCCACAAGTATTATGATTTTTACCATCCCACCGTCGCGTTTCGATCTGATCTAGTAGATGTAGAAACAAAAATATTGAAAGGAAAAAAAAAGAGTATGGATGACAGAATTAACCATAATTTTGGATACCCATCCGACCTTTATGAAATCGGATAGGATAAAATCCGAACTAAATAAAATACTCGACAGTATGTATAAAATCTGAATCAGGACGATACAATTTTATCACTACGCTACGCAACCCAAACCTGCACGATTGTACAAGCATATACAATATTTTTGCATAAATAGTCATTTTTGTAACATATTCGCTATTCATAGTATATTTCATAGCATTTCATGAACTAATGAATCATTCTATGTGTTCTCCTGGTGATTTGTTATTTTATAACTTTTCACTTCAATAATTTTGATTTACTTGTGATTAGCAACACAACGGTTGAGAACATAATAAATTATTATTATCCAAAATATTGTATGAATATGGATAATAAATAACTTTCCAACCAGTTATGGTAAAAGATAATTCAGTCACTATCCGACTCATTGTCATCCTAAAAAAGCGGAGTCACGTGAAAAGCGGGGGAGGGGCGTACGGCGTACCTGGTGGTGCTGGAGGATGTAGGCCGCGTAGGAAACCCCGTCGGCATCCGTGACCAGCGTCTCGCCGACATCCGTCAGGGAGTACTTCCTCTCGCCGGTTGCGGCGGCGGCGTGCTCGTCGAACACGCCGTGGGCCGAGAGCAGGCGGAGGATGCGCTGGAGGTTCTGGGGATCCGCCGGGGAAGAAGAAAGAGGAGGAGGATGGAGGCGGGAGAGGATCTCGGCGGCGGAGAGAGGGGCGTTGGCGCCGCCTTGCCAGATGGCGTCGGCGACGTTGAGGCGGACGACGGCGGTGAGCGACATTGGGAGGCTGATGGCGTGGGCCATCTCGATGATCGCCAGCTTAGCTTTCTTCCGCCGCTCCGCGCACTCGCCTTCCATTGCTTTGCTTGCTACCGCGTCTTTCAGCCGAATGAATGATCTCTCGAGCGGATCTGTGGAAACAATGACAAAGAAAGAAGTAGCGGTTCTGGTCGTACTCTTTTATTACCATCACTTGTTTCTCATCCTTTAGAACAGGATTTCTGTTACCAAGATATTAGTAAGAAAAATCAATAAATGCATAACCATTTTGGAATTTTCTCATTTTATTTTTTTTATTTTTATGAACATTTTGGAATATTCTCATTTTATTTTATTTTTATGAATCAGAAGAAACATTCCCAACAATTTTGTCGGCTGGGCAAACCAAAAAATGAAATATCGTACCGGAGGTCGTACTCGAAAAGTCAGTGATAGGGTATGTTATGTTAAAATTGTAGTTTAATCATGGTTCAACCGTATTATACGCTAAATACCGGTTATCGGTTTTGCTTCCAGAGTAGAAGGTTTTTCAGGTTAAACCGCTGGTACGGAACGGTATTTTAATGGGTTATAGGTATAATATGCCCATCTACTATGACGTTTTATCAAACATGCCCCTCTACTATTTTTTACATCAAATATGCCCCTATACTTTGAAACAATTATCAAACATGCCCTTATGTTAAAATTTTCATTGAAAAAATCGTCAATCATGGTTGAATTGAGATTTAGACGACCCGACATCGGCAAATGGGAAGGAAAATGTCAGTTTTGTCCCCTGTTTTATTTCCCTAGGTCTTTTCAAAGTGAAATTATTTGAATGATTTGATTATACAAAAGAACCAAAAAAATTCTAAAGTGAATTTATTAGGGATATTATAGTCATTTGTGTCGCCCAAACTAAAGTTCGGCCTTGGTTAACGATTTTTGGAGGAAAATTTTAACAAAAAGGGCATGTTAGATCATTTTTACAAAATACAGGGGCATATTTGATGTAAAAAATAGTAAAGGGGCATGTTTGATAAAACGTCATAGTAAAGGGGCATATTATACCTATAACCCTATTTTAATCCTTGAGGCAAACATCTCTCAAAAGAGGAAATGATGGAGTATATCTAGGGATGGCAATGGGTCGGGTTGGGTCGGGTTTTGCCAAACCCAAACCCAAATCCATGGGTTTATCCTTGAAAAAAACCCGGGGTAAAACCCATTGGGTTTGAAAAACTCAAACCCAACCCGCTGGGTATCCGCGGGTTCATGGGTACCCATGGGTTTTTGACGTAAAAATTTACAATAACAAATTTCTATCAAAATTAAATTCAAATATCAATCTCTCAATACAAATTATCCATATATAAAACACCATTCAAGAAAATTCAAGAAAATTACAAATTAACTATACAAATTTTTCAACACCAATTTAGAAAACTCAAGAAAATTGAAGCAATCACAAATTATCCATAAATAACATGAATAATTGAAAGCTTCTTCCTTTCAATTAATTTTTTTCACTCTTTACTCGATAACATCAACTTAATTCTACACAATTAGAAAGAAAAAATTAGACATGTCTCCACAAACATAAATAAGATTAGTTGCTTAGAATATCAAATATACCGAGAAAATTAATTATATAGGTGTGGGCGGGTACCCACGGATCGGGTTTACCTAAACCCAAACCCAACCCGATGAATAGTGAACGGGTTTAAACCCAAACCCGGCCCAAAACCCGTCAACACGAATTTTACCCGCATTGACCGGGTTGGGTCGGGTGAGTACCCGTGGGTTCGGGTTTTGTTGCCATCCCTAAGTATATCAATGGCCTTCACTTTAAGAAGTGGTACCTAGGTGCTAGGGTTGGGCAATGGTCCACACCCTACCACATCGGACCAAATCGATGTTTGGATCAGACTACACCGAATTGAATATAATATGGTCTGATCATTGATCCAGTGAAATTTATAAATACTGGAAAAAAATGAATTGAATTGACATTTGAACAGAACCATATGCACCACAATTCTCCTGAATTTGGTCCGATTCAGTCCAGGCCGAACCAATGCCCACCCTTAAGGTACTCAATATAGAATTTCGGGTAGATGTGCACGAATGTTTAACTTAAGTGATACCAACGCTCTAACTGACTCTCAATTTTCGCACTTTAATATGGTCCACAACCTCGGATCAAAAAGATATACCTTGGTTCTATTTCAACGTATCGTACTGATGGTTCAACCACGAAATACCAGTATCGGAGGCTAAATCAGTAAGCAGTATTTAACGGTCTAACGGTAAAACCACGATTTTATCATAAAATATCATATCACTGACTTTTCCAGTACGATACGCAGATACCCTGTACGGTTTCATGTATCATGCTTTAATGGCATGCCATGTATTTTATCTCCAAAAAAAATCAGTGATTTTAGACATTGATTTTAAGACGTTGAATTTATTACGTTGGATCGCAGTCACTACTTGCTATTCAACTGTGACGAAGTGATTATAATCTTCGATAGAATAATCTGTAACATATATCGTTATGCTGTAGTTGTAACTTCATATATATCACTGGTTAATTTTCCAAATGCTTGCAAGTCTTTTTCATCTCGATTTTACTGATAACATTCTTCACCAGCAAAGCTAAGGCAATCAAAAGCTAAAACGACGGTTACCAAATGACCATAAAAGGCAGGCCAGAGACATGATGAGTTGATCCAGTTGGAGAAGTCAAGGGTTCCTTCCTGTCAAAAACAAGTTTCAAGGCACGATTGTTAGATGGGAGAAATGTTTGCAGCAATGGATATGCAATTTGGCCGCCATATGCAAACAATGGTCTGTCTTACCCCACAGTTGCTGCAGTTTAGCTGCAAGTTGGGTGACAGATTTTCTTTCAGCAGGGTTCGAGAATCCCATGCCGGCTGCCTCCTGAATTGCAGACAAGAATTCTCTTCTTCCTTTAGAAGAGAGGCCAAGGTAATCTGGTCCATGGATTGAGCTCAGTTCCACAACCTACACCCAAGAGAACAAATTCCCATAAGGTTTTGAACCATGTACATGTGAAAAGAAACATACAGAGCCATCCATCTCAGCAACAGGTTGTATTCACTTTTCCTCCAATAAACTAGGGAGAAGATACCATTATGACATGTAAGTGGACAAAAATAGTGAAGAACTTGCCTGATGCAGCCAGGGTATGATAGAGTTGATAAATCTCTGCTCCAAGGAGAGTGAAGCCAAACTTGTAAGAACTTCATACATGGTTTGGCCGGAAAGACATTCCAGCACAGGACCAGTCCTATTGAGAAGCTCGACTAGAATGAGTTCATTGCCAGAGGAAAGTGCTTCCGCATATGCAGAGTCCACGTCCCCTTCGCGCATAAAATCTTTTACACGTTCCCAATAGAAGTTCTGGTTCTCCATCCCATTTTGCCTGCTGCCATTCTTAACATTTGGAACTGTGCTCTGGGAACCTCTACTTGAACTTTTCAGCATCCCTTTCCCTGTAAGATTCCTAGTAGCAACTGCAGTGGGATTGGGGCTAATTTCTGTAGCTTGTTTTGTTGATACCGAATTTATCGATCTAGTTCTGCTACCATCCCAAATATCTGTGTGCTTCACGGAAAATTCTGAAGGCTGCCTACATTGAATATCAATAGATGGTCTGGGTGTGCATCTAGGAGAGGGACCATTTTGGTTCTGCTTCATAATCCGGGAGACTGCTGATTCCGAATGCCTAGCTCCTTGCACAAGAAACCTAGATATCCTATCCACTTCATGCTCTAATCCTGACACTTTGGACTTCAAGCCAGACATGTTCGCCATTATCCCGGCTGTGAATTCCTGAATATGAAAATGCATGATTAGAAACTTCTAGCAAACTCACATGTGACCATCAACTTGAGGAAGAACCCACTAAAAAAATGGTATTACAGCTTTATCATGAAACTAACTTCAAATAGACCAACTAATAATGAGGGGGGAGATTCTGATCTGACATGGTATTTACTTACATAATAGTGAACAACAATAAACATGCATCGTGCAAAGAAGTTACCTGCAGCAGGTCCAACAAGTTCGCCTGTCTATTCTCGATCTCAGAAAGCTGTTTCCTAATTGAGGCCACTTCACTCGCCACATGTGAGCAACATTCGTGTGAAGGTTGGAAGGTAGTTTCAGTAACCGTGGAATCAAGACTTCTACGATCTTGAACATTTACACAATACACATCTTCAGTATCCATCCCTGCAGCTGCAGCATGCTGGCGTCTTCCCATTACTTTAAGTAAAGCACCACTCTCGAGAGAGTCATGATGAACTGAACTTCTCTTGGACGCAGAGAAAGAGTCCTGCTTGTCATCCATTGGCACATATTCATAGCTAACATCAGGAGCACTGGAAATGTCAACGCTCATTCTTTCTAAAGTCCTGGTAATAGAACTACTACCCTCAGATTCCTCATTCTGAGGATCTGGCAGAGGCAAATCATGATGCTTGGGAACTGCAAGTTCAATACGCCAATCGTCTGATTTAGACTGTGGCGAGTCGGTGTAATTCTGGCACCCTCTCTTTACAGACAAAGGAAATCTTCTCTTAGATGGGTCTGTTACAACTTTATTCATTATTATTTCTTTCTGTGCAGAGCCACTGGTACTCGTGATGTCACTGTACTCTCCTCCACAGTAGTTTTCTGTACAGAAATAATCATTAGCCGCATCCAAAAATACTGTAGAAGAAAACAAGATCATGTTGATGAAGAAGCCAAAGCTAAGAGCCCCTCCAATAACAGAAGAAAACAAAGACAAGAACCGTAAGCTAGAAAGATTCTGGAACCAATAGACCATACTTGCTTAACTGTTGGAAACACGTTTACATCATAGATATACAGTTAATTCTTATTAGAATGTGGCATCAGCCAAAAACCTTTTATGGATGATCCCGTTTCAGAAGCCTCAGCAGCATCAGGCCCAGGAAGAGTTTTCCAGCATTGTATGGCATGAAGTACAGTGTCTCTAACAGGTTTCACCTATAAGAGACACAATAAGCATCCAACAATACAACAATGACTCAAAACATCAATCAAGAAGCATAAGCGTAAAACGTCACCAACTTTATCAAAACGGCAAGATTCAAGGGATCGAATGCAGGAAGCTTTGAAAGAACCCAGGCAAGACCCGCCACCAGCAGCGATTTCTCCAAGAGCTACAGAAGCTGCCTTGCGTGTAGTCCAGTCACTGTTCTTGAGAGCATCTTGGATGCTAGTCATTGCAGCAGCTAAAATATATTGCGAAGGTGCACCACCTGCCTGAAATACAAATTGAGAAACGTCAAGTCATTCAGAACCTCCAAACAGCTAAACTCCAGCTTAAACTAAAGTGTGTTACTCAAAATATGTTCAGGAAAATATATTTAAGAAAAACATAAGACAGTTCCTATAACACCTCCAACACTTCACATCAGTAAAAAGCGATAAAGAGTCATCACTATGCAGGTCAATAATGCAGTTATGAACAATGATATCAGGGAGACATTGAATTGTGGTTGTGATTGTTTGAAAGCCATTTGTTTTGAAGAAGAAAATCTCTCCTGTTTGTCAAGCTACTTTTTAAAATGGTCATGGTTCTTTAAATTATAAGGTCTAACCATCAATGTGCAGCAATGGAGAAAATGATTGTGGAATTCCAGTGTAGTACGTGTAACTTAAAAAAAAATAACGTTACTCTTAAAGTTCCTTAAACTGATCAACGAATACCCACTCACAGTAGGGCAAATGTGCAAGGTGATTCTCTACCTCTAGCTATAAAAAGGAATAATGAGCAACATCAAGACAGAGAACCAAATTAACCAAAAAGTAGAAGACATAGCCCGCTAAAAATCACCTGAAGAATACTTCTAGTAAGCTCAATTACTGCCGGTTTAGCCATGAAGTGTGGATTCTTCAGCAACTTCATAATTCTAGTCAACATTCGCTGTAAAACGGACGCTGGAGGGTCCTGAGTATTATCAATGACTTTAGCCAAGCAGAACGCTGAACCTGACTGCACATATTTATTCTGTTCACCCAAAGCTTCGAAAAGTGGCTTCACCAGCACAACAAAGTCCCCATCAGATTCATCCCCATCGTTACTGACCATAGATGCCAAAACACCCATCGTCTCGACACATGCATCCCTTACAACCGAATCCGAATCCTTAAGCCTCTTCACAACGCTGCCAACCATCTTAGCCAGATGTGGCACAACTAGACTCCCATGAAATGTCACCACCATACCAATCAGCCTAACACACTCCTTCCTCACCGCACTCTTCTGCTCCTTATCGGTGTCCAATATACAAGACAGGAACGGCCCGATCCCATCAGGGGTTAGAGATTCGGCGACTTTCTCGAGCTCGTCCGCGCCAATGTGGCAGGTATCTCGATCCGCAAGCTTGTTGAGTGCAAGCACCACTTTGTGCTTCATCTCGAAATTGGACTGCTGCGAATTGACCCTGGAACTCCCTCTCCCTCTTGCTAGCACTTGTGGCTTCATCTTTAAAATTGCACCACCGGGAATGCCCAAATTCCGGCACTATCCAAAAGCTTCTAAAGAACGGAACCACTTGGTCTGCAGTTCATCCTTTCTCTGATTCTCAGGGACTTCAAGAAACTAACACTCGCAATCACACACATACCCTTCAAGGCCGACTGCAACAGCATCAGTACAATGTCGAACCATAAACTACAGAGTTTCTTTCCAAGCAGGAAAGGAAAACCCTAAATACAGATTCTAAACCCTATTTTCATGAAGTTTCTATTTCACCGCGACCATGAACTTTCTCAGCAACCAAACACAATGCTAATCGGTAACGAAAAAAACGTAATTAGGTTTCCCGCTATGGCTGTCGTCAAAGAAAATCTTCCAATCGGTACTAACAGCAAACCACAACCCTAACACTTCAAACTAAGCCGGAGTAGGATTAACGCTGTACCAGATCAAAGGGAGTTGAAAGAGGAAGAGACGAGACGGCTTGCATGTTATGCGTCTCACAAATTTCCATCGTTCTACGAATCCATTCTTTCTCTCTTCCCCGAAGAGACAGACAAAAGAGAAAGGAGGAGGGAGATGGAGATGGAGATGGAGCTCTCAAACTCGAAATCAGTAAAGCCAAAAACCATTTGTTAATTACAGAGGAGAGAGAGAGAGAGAGAGAGAGAGAGAGAGAGAGAGAGAGAGAGAGAGAGGAGAGGACTTCAAATTTCGCGCTCGGAAGCTCCCCATTCGAAATTTGGAGCAGCGTTTTGAGGTTATCTTTCGCCGTTGGATACTCGCCACGTGGGACAATCTGCTTCGACCATTACCGTACGATCGTTCGAGGGTTTTCCTCATTTGTCATTTCTGTTGGTTTGGCGAAGGGAAAAGGACATTTCAGGTACCTGAACTATGCAAGTTTACCATGCGGGATCTCGTACTATTATTTTCCTCACAATTCATCCCTCTGCTTTGCTAGTCTGCTCTGTTTTGGTGTCACCTTCAAATCAAGTCCCTCTCCACAATTTGGGCCCGACTAGGTTGGGCTGGGCTTGTGGTTGAAATCAGATTGTCATCTTTACTCTTCTCACTTCTAATTAATTATAGAAATGGTTAATAACTTATTTTGGACTCAGCTATAACTATATAATCAACTTTATTTCTTGGTTTCAGGAATTAATATTTTTGCCTCAACTATGCAACATATAGACTCAATTGGCCTGACACATGGTTTGATCGTCAATTTGGACAGTCAACACGATATGTCATTGCCTCGTCAGTCTAAAAATCATTAAAAAAATTCAAATTCAAATTATGTTCCTAATTTATATTATTTATCATTATAAAATTAACCAAAAAATAAAATTATAAAATATAAATATTTTTATTTTTTGGATAATTTGGAAATGAAAATTTTTATTAATTAACCAAAAATTAACAAATTTTTTAATTTTTTTTTGTTAATTTGAAAATAATAAATAATATAAATTAAGAAAATAATTTGAATTTGAAAATTTTAATTGATTTTTACGCTGACTGGACAATGACATGGCGTGTTGACTAACAGTCAAAGGCGTTAACCGTCCAAATTGACGGTCAAACCACGTGTCGGGCCAATCGAGTCAATATGTTGCATAGTTAAAGCCAGAATGTGAATTTCTGAAACCACGTGGGCAAAGTTGATTATATGGTCATAGTTTGGTCCAAAATAAGGTATTAACCCTTATGTTGCAAACTATAATATAAGATTGATATAGACATTTAATAGTAAAAGTATGAAACTCAGTTATTGTAAAATCATGTCGGAGGTTGTACTGTAATAAGTGAGAAGTATAGATATTTTGTCTTCAAACCATAATTTAATTTTGTTCGATTGTTTTAGACCCTTAAAACTTGCCTTTGATTATAAATTTTTCGGATCGAACCAACGGTTTGATAAACACTGAATTGGAAACTACATTATTAGCACTCGAACGCAACACCCTTACCTTGATTAATGTAAGGTAAAGAAAGTCATTCGCCTATTTATTTTTTCTTCATGGTGATCCATTCGCCACGTGGAGTAATAAACACAATTATATGCTGATATGCATGCAACCAAGATATCAGTGGATTCTAATTTTGGAAATCAGATTAGTAAAAACGGTACAGATTCTCCTCATCCTCATATCCTTACTCCATGGGAAGAGAGAGAGAGAGATATCCTCATAATCTCTGCTTCTAGTTATTCGTATCCGATTCGCAAAATCCATCCGCCGATGGATTAGGTTCGATGGTCATATCAACCAATCCATGGCTGATCTTCACTAATCACTAGTGCATGAACGAAAAGTAGAAAGAAGAAAACAAGGATGGAGCCAGGTTTCATGGCTTCAAAGAATCTAGCGAAACCGCCATGGTGCTTATGGTCTCTGGTGCAAGTTCGTGTTCATATCGAATCCGATTCACAACTTTAACCGCACCTTGGTACAACTACGTGTTCACAATATTTCATGTCCGATTAGGCAATTCACGATCCAATACTCGGTATGTTCACTTTGTCCGTCTTTGATCGAGCATTATGGAAGCACCAACTTTTGCGTGAATAAGCACCAAATTGAGTCAAATGAACTTTGGTGAATGAGGCGTGCTAATGTGAAAAGGAAGAACAATCACAATATTTCATGTCCGATTAGGCATTTCACGATCCAATACTCGGTATGTTCACATTGTCCGTCTTTGATCAATCATTATTGAAGCACCTACTTTTACGTGAATAAGCACCAAATTGGGTCAATGAACTTGGGTGAATGAGGCGTGCTAATGTGAAAAGAAAGAACAATAACAAAAGGCAGGCCGCACTAAGGAGAGAAATGATTCAACATTGCCTATTAGAGCAACCCAAAAACTTGCCAAGAACTAAGAACTGCAAGAATGCTACTTGGGGGAGTCTGCGAAACTCCACATTCCCCGTCTGTAAAAAGTTTCCCCTTTTCATCATTCAATTCAATTACACGCTTTCACAGCAAAACCAACCCAACTTCCACCGTCCACAAATGAAACGAAATCGAGCACAAATCAACGCAATCTCATAGCCACAAGACGAACACAACAAGAACGATGAACCCCAATTAGGCAACAGACAAGTCACAATAAATATAATCATCTCATTAGGAAGAACAAAATGTGCCAAGCCAGAACAACCCTCTCATACTCGCAAACTATGTAGAAAGATCTAAAACATATATGATAAACATATCTATAACGAAGTTCTACTACTGGAAAATAAACCCCGGTCCAGAATCTGCTACTCTAGTAGAATGAAGCAACTGCGAGGGTTGCCATCGCCGCCACTAGAGATCCAACTGAGAAGACGCCGGAAACAGCAACAGCATGAGCAGAGTTGGATGGCGGAGCGCCGCCAACAGGGGATGGAGCTGGAGCTGATTCTGTCATCTCGCTTGGTGGCAGTGCGGTTGATCCTCCTACTGCAACTGTAGGACAAACATTCATCACTATTAGATGCATGCACAAGCACAACCCACCATTTTTTCCCTCCCCACAACACAAAATCAAAGAAACAGAGGAAAAGAAAGGATCAGGACTTTACCAGGAGCACCAGCGGGAGCCATGGACACTGCAAAACAGAAGAGAAACAGTAAATCAACCCCCACATTTCCTCAGATCTCAGGAAACCCCACAAACAGAATCTGCAATTTTAAGGAAGGAATCGTAATTCCAAAAACAAACCAAATCGAGAGGGAGAGAAAGAGGGTTTACGCTGGCAGCTGGACATCGGGGGAGTTTTGAGCTTGCAAGCGGAAGGAAGGGTTAGAGCTTTGGTGACGTTGAGCGGAATCCCCATCTGTGCGCTGCTCTTGAAAGCCTGGCAGAGACAATCGGCGTTTGTCTTCAGCACGGTCTCGAGGCCGGAGCAGCAAGCCCCCTCCGGCTTGGTGGTGGTGCTCCCGTTCTCCACGAAGGTCAAGCAGTCGCTGAGCGACATCACCACCGTGGAGCAGTCCGCGGCGGGGGCCGGCGCCGCTGCGGCCTTGTGGTGGGCTGCATTGGCGACCGAGCTCGAGATTAGAAGGGAGAGGAGGAAGAAAGCAAGGTTGGAGGAAGAAGAAGAAGAAGAAGAAGAAGAAGACGCCATTGTTTTCAAGAAACAGAGAATTTGGAAGTGGGAGAGAGCGAGAGTGGCTGCTAGTAGTAATGAGAAAATGGGCTAGGGTTTAGAAAGGAAGCGAGTATATATAGAGGGGGAAATGGGGACGGCGGTGGTGGCGAGGAGGCGCGGCGGCGGGGAAGCGGAGGGGACAGGTGGCGTTTGGAAACGGAAAAGGCGGAAGGAAATGGGGGACTGTGGTGGCGAGAGGTGAGTGGTAAATCATAAGTCGGTGGCCAGTGGGACGCCTTTTTCACATCGTTTTCTTGAATTATTTTTCGATTTACCCAAACGGCACCTTGGTAGAGAGAGGAATTTCCATTTTTAACCCTCGGCCTCTCTTCTGCAGATGGTTATCTTCTCCGGGCTTTTTCGGCATTGCGTAATTTATTTTTCTACTGATTTTCGAATTTTTTGTCCTCAATTTCCAACGTCTCTCTTTCTCTCTCTGTTAGAAAGTAGAAGCCGTCTATAAGTCAAACCGAGTCAAAATCTTTTTCTGATTTTTCAGTTGGGGTCTCAACGTGAATCTCTCCTCCAGTCCCCACAAATTTCTCATGTTTGTTGTTCCCGTTAATCCCCTTGGCATTTAAATTTTTTCTTTGATAAACAGCCTGATCCCATTAAAACTAGGGCCAACGGCCCACGGGTGGGCCTTGCATCCCAAATGGCATATTGATTCCAGGAAATGGGCAAGTGGGCAAGCAAATGGGCTTAACACAGTTTGCGGCTCTCCGAACAAAAGCCCACTCCAAATTCCTCTCCCTTCCATTCACGAGAACAGCTCCAATCCTTCTCAACATTTCACGTATTCTTTTTTTTTTATATATAGGAAGACAAATGCTAGCAAGCGTCTAGGATAATATATTAATAAAACGAGATTGGGAGATTCACAGAACATCATATACTCTAACCATCTACACAGTTCAGAACTACACACATCAACATGATGCGTGCCAAAAGGTAGACTATGACCAAACCCAGCAAGGCAAGTCGGTCGTACGGTTCCCTTCCCTGTACACGTGCGAGACAATAATATCTCAATCACGATTCAAAATATTATAGACATGATTAGCCATTAGGTCGTGTCTGTGATCATCATCCGAGCAGTTCTTGATGATAGCAACGGCGATAGAAGAATCGAGGTTTAAGTGCACATGTTGATGAGCTTGATCCCAAGCAATTTGAAGACCCACCGCTGCTCCTTTAAGCTCCACGTCAGTGATAGTAGCAGGCTCCAAGGTTGCACGCATAGGCCACCGAGCACCTTCCCAGGCAATCGCGAATGAGGCCTCAGCAGCAGCGTAACCTAAGGGAGAGAGGATCAGAGCCATCAGATTGGATATGTACCCATCCCTCAAGTGGTGGCTTCCATCCAATCAACTCCTCTCGTCTCATTGTCGGTGTCGCTAAGCTTCTTTCCACATTCTTCAACGCCATCTTGAAGATATTTGAACCAAGCCTCGATTCTACAAATGAGAGACTTTTCCACAAAGTTCTTACCATCCAAACATTCTTCATTCCTCTGTTTCCAGAGATGACACACAATCAGACTAAAATCAACTCCATGATCACCATCTTTCAAGTTGCGTAGCATCCAAGTCTTGAACGACAGGGTGGTGTCTTTACAAGTGAATTTGGCGTTAAATTTCTCCCAGATGCCCTTTGTCTTCCTGCAATTTCTAAGGATATGTACAGTGGTTTCTTCTGTGTCCTTGTAGTGATTGCAGTTTCCATCAGTGGCCAATTTCCACTTCGTTATTTATTTGTGAGCAGGTGATCATGCATGACAAGCCAGAGGAAGTGCTTGGTGCGTCTAGGTCCTTTCCACTTCCAGAACTCCTTCCAAAATGTCTCTCCTGTAGGGTCCAAATGATCAGCAGCTAGATTATAGGCATACTTCAATCGAAATCTGTCATCCCTTTCCAGTCCCCAAATACACTTATCCTCTCCCGGATCATCTTTAGGAGGCTCCATTTCAGCAATCAAAGCCATAATGTTGGGAGGGAAAATGTCTTGGAGCTTAATCCAGTTCCATTCTCCATTATCATCCACCCAGTCCGCTACTGAGGACTCATCCAGGATAGAAGGGTCTTTCTGCAGGGTGTTGTCCTTGAGGACGAGATCATGTTCCATGCATGGATGGTGCCAAAAGCTAGTTGTTTTTCCATTTCTAATGCTCCATACTGCAACACTCTCCATGAGGGGCATGGCCTTAAGGATTGCTTTCCACAGACTTGAATGTTTGGTCCTCTTCATTGCCACAATCTGCCCATCTTTATGCTTGAAATACTTGCCTTGCATGATCTGCACCCACAAGTCTGAGATATTGTTAAGAACCTGTCATGCCAAATTAATCATGAAAGCCATGTTAAGGCTTCTAGCAGTTCTAAGACCCAGCCCCCCTTGGTTTTTAGGTTTACACACATTATCCCAAGAAATCAAATGGACTTTCCTTTTTTCCTCATTGGATCCCCACACAAACCACCTGATTTGCTTATCGGTCAGGTCACATTGATACAGAGGCAGGGAGAAAGGAAGTCTACATAGCATAAGTAGGGATTGCATTTAATACAGACAGAGCAAGAGTAACTCTTCCAGCAAGGGAAAGAGTTCTAGTCTTCCACGAGGTCAATTTCTGGTCAATCTTATCAATGATATACCTATAGCTATAGGTATTCCTAGTGATTCTACCATGAACGACAGGCACACCTAGATATCTACCTAAGTCCAAAGTTGATTGAATATCAAGTTTATCACAAATAAGTCTCTTATCACTATCCCAAGTGTTTTTAGAGAACATAACTCTAGACTTTTCTTTACTCACAAGCTCTCCTGAATCATCACAGAACCTGTCAACACAAAGGTTTATTATTTCTGCCTGCTTCATAGAGGCTTCGGCAAATAACACAAGGTTATCTGCGAAAAACAAGTGGGACAGGGGGTCCCATATGAAAGCTTAGCAGGATTCCACCAATTCAAACTAACTTCTTCATAAATGCAATGACATAATCTCTCAACACAAAGAGAGAAAAGATAGGGGAAAAGGGACATCCCTGTCTGAGGCATCTACTTGGCTTGAAGCTTTGAGTTTCCCCTCCCCACAAGACTTGCATTTCCACAGTTGTGACAGATTGCATAATAACACAAATGATACTTTTAGGAAGACCCGCCAAGGTAATGGTTTCTTCCGGGAACTCTAAGTCCAAGCGATCATATGCTTTAGCCAAGTCTAATTTAAGGAGCATCATGAATTTTCTCATGATGAGTTTCTCCCTTTTCTTTCATCTTCTTTGATCCGTGGCCAGACTCTTCCCTGTGCCTTGCAGGACCTTTCCTCCAAGCTCCAATTCCTGAACAATGAAGTGTTTGACAACATATTCCAGAAGAAAAAGAGACTGGCAAACAACTTACAATCCCTGGAAACCCTCAATGCGAGAAATCCTTCCACTTCCTTATTGGAGGAGGAAAAGAAGGCTAGAGAAGATCTTGAAGATGTTCTCTGGCAAGAGGAAATCCTTTGGCTTCAGAAATCAAGAGCCATCTGGACCATCCATGAAGCCAAAATTCCAGATTCTTTCATAGCAGCACCCTAAGTAGAAGGAAGCTAAATAAGATAATTAGACTGAGAAATAAAGCATGAGAATGGATCACTAACCTGGATATGCTCCAAGACTTGGCAAGAGAACACTATGTGAAGCTCTTCACCAAGTGCAACAGAAGTGACCACCATTCCATCCCTACGAATTTCCCATCTATTTCGAACTTAAGATGAGAGCATATGGAGAGATATCTAACCCTTGAGGAAATTCATGGCATAGTTAAAGAGATGAATGGCCTGAAGGCACCTCGCAAGGATGGTTTCCATGCACTTTTTTTATAAAAATGCTGGAAATATGTTGGTCAAGACTTTTTCAACTTCATCCAGAAATGCTTTAGGAATCCTGAAAGCATCTGGTTTCACAATGAGACTCTTTTGGCCTTGATCCCAAAAGTGGACTCCCCTGGTTCCATGAGCCATTTCAGACCTATCATTCTTTGTAATGTGGTGTACAATTGTACAAATTGGTGGCGCAATGCATTGCTAACAAGTTAAAATTTCTAATGTCGCATTTGGTCAAACCTAATAAATCTAGCTTTGTTTCAAATTGCCACATCACTGATAACTTTCTTGTTTTTTAGGAGACAATGCATTCGATGGCAAGAAAAACTTTTCATGTATTCTCCCTCTTCTGTTGAAGAGGGTTTTGCAAGTTTTAGCTATGAGTAGCAAAAATACCCTTCTCTCCACTTTGCTAAATCTCATCTCCATTAGGAGTGGGCATCTGGTTCGGTTTTAAGTCTCTGAAACGAACCAAACAGAAACCGAACTGACCGAAACCGAATTTTCCACTATTCGGATGAAAAAGGCTCTTAATTCGGGATACAGGGTCTGTCAACCGAACCTGAAAATTCGAGTTCCAAACCGAAAACCAAAAATTGCAACACAACCAAATTAATCCCACCACTACCTTGGCCCAACGAAATAATAAAGCTACTAGGTGGGCCAAGCCCAAACCCTTTGCAACTGTTGTCTTCCAATAGCCCACCCCGAAACCCATACCTCTCAATTTTCAACAGAAAAACCCAATCAAACATAACCCTAAAGCAACCTAATCTCTAATTCCCTATCCCTCCCCACCTCTTGTCTGCCGCTCTCTCTCTCTGTCCCTCACGAGTCACAACTCACCTCACCGCTCTCTCTGTCTCTCGCTGCGGAACCTCAAACCCTCACCTGTCGTGGCGCAGTCCCTTCCCTAAGCCAGCTCCCACCACCCAAAAATAATAGATGCCATCTCTCCATCCCCACTGTCCCTGCAAGCAGCAATTTCAGATCCACCACGATTTAGATCCAATGCACATCTGGGCGCTCCTCAGGGCTCAGCATGGAAACATACTGGGGTGGGCATCTCGGCGGCGGGGGGATCGTCAAGGAACGAAGGCGGGATCTGCAGGAGTGACGACGGGATCCGGGGCGACATGCTTGGCCTAACGAGCCCCTGCATGCTTCCCCTGCCTTGTCTTTCGCCATTGCTTCCTCTTCTCAAAATGGGTGAGCGGCGGACTTGGCGAGCCGGACTTTGGGAGAAGGTGAACTCGGCGGTGGAGGGAGCTCAGTGCGGCATCAACGACGGAGTGCTCGACCTAGCTCTGAGCGACGAACTGCTTGCAGAGAGCGGACCGGCGGCGTGTTCTCCCCTGCAGAGAGAGATGGAGAGGTAGAAAATTGAAGAGAGAGTAAATGAGAGAACTGGGAGAGAGAGAGAGAGAGAGAGAGAGGAAGGGGAAAATGAGAGAGATGGAGAGATGGGTGGGTGGGACTTGGGTTGGGAAATGGGAGGGAGGGATTTCTCCAATTCAACACATAGTCCGCCAGGCTAAAGCATTTTTCGGGGTTGGTCTTAAAACTGAACCGAATCTGAATATATTTTGGTTCGGACAAACCGAACCAAAATATATTTCGGTTCGAATTTGGTTGGAGTATTGATGAGTTTGGCAACTCGGCATATACTAGTTCGGTTTGGTTTGAACCGAACCGACCGAACGTCCACCCCTAATCTCCATAGCTCTCATCTCCGCTTCTTCAAGAATCCACAAAAAAAAATTATCGCTACTTCAAAAATCCACACTAAATCTGAGTCGATGAGGCTGCACATGTCTGGATCTCACGACATAATGTGAAAAACAAGAAGGTAGACTGAAGGAATGAAGAGATGAAGAACCGTTCAAGTCAAAAGACATCAACCCCTTTGACAACAAGACAAAGGAGTCTCTAGAACTAAGAAGTCAGACACCAGAGAACGGAGAAATCATCTCCATGGGAGACATTGAGGCAAAGATCCACACAGAAAATGTCAAAAGCAATATCAGAAGCAGGAAACAAAAGTAATAAAAATAAATTTTGGTTGTCGCGGGTCACCAGAAGGTGAACCGACATCTTCCTAATGGAGAGAGGAAAGGAAACTGTTAGAGAGAAGTTGGAGGTTTCTAGTGGATAGAGAGGGAATAAAACAAATTCCAGTTTATTATGCTGTCACGGTGCATCATGATTAGAGATGATAATTTTGCTCAAACTCAAATGTAAGCTACATGGGTTGAGTTTGATAGGTTTATGCTCATACAGTCATATTCATGATTTATTTGTGTGGGTTGAGTTTTTAGTCCATGGATTTGAGTTGGTACCCATAACCATAAATAATTTACATTTTGGTAGCTAAACTTAATAGATAATTAGATTTCGTACCTAACTTTAAAATTTATTGCTTATTAATCTACATTTGACAAAGTTAGACTAGTTTGAACTAATGGCAACATGTAGTACTTCCCTAGCTCTCATAGCAAGTACATTAGATATGCATTTATAGTTGACATGACATCATGATATAGGTCGAAAAAGCTTCATAGTGTCAGCTTGAGGTACCTTTGGTATCAATGTGAGGATGGTTATGCATATTTTTTTCCTCCCACTTTTTCCTCCTAAAATAACATTTTCCTCTATCATTTCCCTTCCCCTTAAAATTTTCCTCCTATCTTTATTTCCCTTCCCCACTCCTGAAATAAAGTGGTAGACTGGTAGTAGGGATGACAAAAATATTCGTAACTGTGGATATCTGTCCGAATCCGTCCGAATCGGGTAGGGTAAATCCGAACCCGAATGATATTTAGTGGGTACGGATAAAATCCGAACTCGAATATTGTGTGTAATGGGTGGGCATGAGTTTCTCACTATTCAACCCAAACCCGCCCGGTTATACGAATGCATATGTATTTTTTCTAGAAATAATCATTATTTTTCTCTAACATATTTTATATTTAGCATATAAATATAACATTTTCATGAAATAGTGTTGTTTTAATTAATTTTCTTAATTCTAGTGAGTCATTGTCGTACTTTTCTTTTTACGTAGTTTGAGAATACGTGTGAATGTTAACATATTGGTTAGAGTTATGAAGAGAAATTATTACCCATGGATAACCGTGGATACCCGAAATCCAAATAGGTATGAGCATGGTTTTGATTTTTTACATGTTTCACATATAGGTATAGATATGTGTAAAAACACGAACTATTTTAAGTAGGATAACATATATGCACTATATGTTCCCGACCCGACCCATTATCATCCCTAGACCGGTAGCATATCCATCAGCTACATAGTACGCTTGATAATCCATCAATCATTCATCAAATTATTTCTTTCTCGCAAGTAGCACGAGATGTTCCTCCTCTCGTTGACCGCTTACCGTTTAACATCAGGGTCAAATTATTACAACCATAGAAAATAAATATATAATTCCTGTCCCCAACTGTAAGCGGCAGCTAGCGTGTAAAGCTAGTAGCCAAAAAGAAGCCATATGTAACATTGTTCTATATAAGGATGCAACCATTGACATATATATTACTCCTTATCGAAAGTGCCAACAAAATATCATCGATCTGTTAAAAAAAAAATGTGGAGGCTGAAGCTTTCAGAAGGGGAAGACGAATACCCGTTGTTGAAATCGTACAACAACCATGTCGGAAGGCAGTTTTGGGAATTCGATCTAGACCTCGCCGGAGACAACGTCGACGGCGACGGTGCTCGGGTCGAGGAGGCTCGCCGCCGGTTCGCTGAGAACCGCCGCCGGTTTGGAGTCAAACAGAGCTCCGACCTTCTCATGCGACTTCAGGTGATGATTGGTCTACTTGTCAATAAATTAAATTACTTCCCACTTGTTTTTTCTTTTTTTTTTTTGTTTGTTTGCTATGTTAATCATGTTTCTACCGAATTTCTAGTTTGCGAGGGAGATCAGCCGGAGTAATAATGGCGATGAAGGTGATGAAGGTGGAGGAGTAATGGCGAAATTGAAGAGTTCTGATGAGGAAAGAGGAGGAGAAGAGGAGATATTGGATGAAGGAAGAGTGAGGAGCGTGGTGAGAAAGGGGCTACAGTTCCACTCAACTCTGCAGCACGAGACGGGCTTCTGGCCTGGTGACTATGGCGGCCCTCTCTTCCTGCTTCCCGGTTTGGTATGTACATATTGGTTCAGCTATATAGGCCATTGCGGCACTGACTGGTATTTCGATTCTCATACTTTTTTTTCGTATAGTATTAGATGGGGGAATGAGCAAACTTTCGTTCGTGATGATGGTTGAGTAGAGGTTGGTCAATGCGCATTTGGGATATATGAAATTCTAAGAAATCATAACAACAAACAAGTTGATCATCACAAGAAAGAAAAAATATTGTATGATGAAGTCAACTCACTTATTGAGAAAGAAATTGCAAGAAATCAAACCCAACAAACAACTTGATTTTTTTCAAGATAGAAAATTCGATAAGAGTGGAATCATTTTAGTAGATCAAATCTCTATAAGTACCTAATATTGTCTATTATTTTCTTTTTTTGAGTTTTATACTGAGGGGGAAAAAAAATTCCCATTTCATTTATTTGTTTCAATATTATTAAAGTTCGAACGTGATAAATAGATTGAATTAATTAAATTCTTAGATTTATGGATTCAAATTGCATCTTAAACCTCGAATCAGTTCATTTTTGGTACTAAAGTTTCATTATAAAAAAAAATTATTACACAGGTAATTAGCTTGTACGTTACGGGCGGGTTGAATGCAATTTTAACTCACCAGCATCGAGTGGAGTTGCGTCGGTATCTGTACAACCACCAGGTACCAAGGAATCTCGGGATAGACTTTTCCTTTCTTTCAGTAACATGCTAATTTTTTTTTTAAAAAATTCAATCAAGTTTTAGCTAATTAATTAATGACTAATTGTGATCATTGGGGGGAATGGAAATGATTAATGTAATTTCCATGAAAAGAACGAGGATGGAGGGTGGGGATTGCATATAGAAGGGAGCAGCATAATGTTCTGCACCGCGCTATCGTACGTGGCGCTGCGATTGATGGGCGAGGAGATGGATGGTGGAGATGGAGCGATGGAGAAGGCGAGATCGTGGATCGTCGATCACGGTGGCGCCATCTACATCCCGTCTTGGGGCAAGCTCTGGCTTTCGGTAAACACCCGATTATTCCCCCGCACCATAATAATAATAATAGTTATTATTAGTTCCTAATATCATCATAATAATTATTATTCGCACTTATTGTAGGTTCTTGGGGTTTACGAGTGGAGTGGGGTGAATCCATTGCCCCCCGAACTTTGGTTGTTTCCTTACTCTCTACCCATACATCCCGGTAATTTCAATCAAAATTTTGTTGAAATTTGAAAGTTTAGGGAAACAATTGTTGTTGATCTCAAAGTTCGTTGACTATTAATTTGAGGAAATGTTTCGAGAAGAATAAACATTGTCGTCAATGCTTGAACGTGACGACCCTAAATTTTAACTCATCAGATGGACTCAACGTTCGAGATTTCAATACAAAACTGTTCATTTTTTTTTTTTTTTTGTAATCCAGGAAGGATGTGGTGTCATTCTCGAATGGTGTACCTACCAATGTCGTACTTGTATGGTAAAAGATTCGTGGGAAAGACAACCCCTTTGGTGCTCAGTCTCCGACAAGAATTGTACGTGCTTCCGTATCGCAGCATTCATTGGAGGCTCACCAGAAACCTATGTGCTAAGGTACCTATATAGAACATACCTATGTACATACTTATACATACGCATACGAAGATGAATCTGTTTATCTATGGTCAGACAAGCGTTCGAGGGTCTCGCGCTTGTCTGACCATAAAACGACGTAAATCAGTGTGTCGTTTTTTTTTTTCGTGGGGCGATCGGTGCAGGAGGATCTGTACTATCCACACCCATTCCTGCAAGACATGCTGTGGGCTGGTCTCGACAAGGTTTGGGAGCCTCTAATGTCGACATGGCCGATCTCCAAGCTCAGGGAATCTGCCCTACAAACTTGCATGCAACACATCCATTACGAGGATCAAAACACCAACTATGTTTGTCTTGGGCCTGTCAGTAAGGTACTTTTTCTTCTTGTTGTTGTTAAGTTAATTAAGCACATTTACTTAGCAAGCATTACAACATAATAAAGCTTGTTTTTTTTTTCTTTTCTGGTGTGGGTCGATCGAGGAAATAGGTCTTGAACATGTTGTGTTGTTGGGTGGAGGATCCGAATTCAGAAGCATTCAAGAGCCATCTGCCCAGAATCAAAGATTACCTCTGGGTAGCTGAAGATGGCATGAAAATGCAGGTAATTAACTAATTAACAATATAGTTCCGTCGTAAAAAGTCGATCAATTCATCTCGATATTATGTATATTTCGAATCTCGGTAGGAGGGTGAAAGAGCACGTACCTAAGTATACGACATTGAATTGCACATCTGCGCCTAATCTTACATGTCTCTTATTACTCGCAATGGTAATTTTAAAAGTATAGATCGAGTTATCACGCATAGCAAAAGATCGAAAGTTGATCCAACATTATCATCGTAAGCTTAGACTAATGATCATATATAGTATATACCCCCTTTTATTCTCGTCACAGGAGATTGATATTATTTTGTTCCAATCGCCATACACAGGGATACAACGGTTCTCAATTGTGGGATGTCTCGTTTGCAATCCAATCGATTCTCTCAACGAATCTCTGGGAAGAGGAATTTTGTGCTTCAATGCTCAAGAAGGCACACAACTTCATAAAAAACACACAGGTAATAATAGTTCCATGAATATGCTTTCATACTTACCATACTAAAAAATCCAAATGATCAACACTATTTAAAGTATAGAAATGTATAAAAATCTTAGTCAGGAGCCAGCTACATGTATACCTCTAGTTGTTCATTCATTAATATTTTTGTCGGCATGGACAATACATATCTACTAAACTCGGATCTTAACATCTCTGATACAGATCTTATCAGGAGTGATAAGACACATAATTTTATAAATTTTGTACATATGAGTTTTGTTCATTTTTTCGTTAAATTTGACCTAATACGAATATTTTTTTGTTGTTATGTAAATAACAATACGAATTGCTTGAAAATTAAAGATTAGAGAGGATCCTTCAGGCGATCTAAAGCAATGGTATCGTCATGGTCGAAAAGGTGGATGGCCTTTCTCCACTCCAGATAATGGATGGGCCGTCTCAGACACTTCTGCAGAAGGCCTAAAGGTAAATATTGGATATATTTACTTTGTTCATAAAATCATAAGGTATATATGTGTACGTATAAAACCCTAAAAATGTAACATAAAACTCTTATAGTTGAAAATGTCACCATTATTTTAAACTTTTTACGTGTGTCACAGCTTATTCTAATCATAATTTTTTTTTTTTACTGCAGGCTGCTATGATTCTGTCTCAGATGCCAGCAGAAGTTGTAGGAGATCGTCTTCCAGTAAACCAATTGTTTGATTCTGTTAATTGCATTCTATCTTTCCAGAATGAAAATGGAGGGTTTGCTTCGTATGAGCTGACAAGATCTTACCAATGGTTAGAGGTAATTATTTTGTACTCTTTGATTTTACTTTCCTTCGATCGTCACTTTGTCAAGGTACCAGTTGATCCCTTATACAATGATCCGCATGCAGGCCCTCAACCCTTCCGAGACGTTTGGAGATATCATGATAGATTATCCGTAAGACTATATACCATCACGACTCCTCGATTCAAAGCCATGTCAACGATTAAACAACACTCATTCAAACGATTTGTTCTTCTCATCGTGTAAATTTGATGTTAGGTACGTGGAATGCACTTCGTCAGCAATTCAAGGACTGAAAGCGTTCACAACAGCTCATCCGGGGCACCGAGAGAAAGAGATTCGAGTGTGTATCCTTAAAGCCCTTCACTTCATTCAAACCATACAGCTCCCCGACGGCTCCTGGTATGTGCAGTATTTGGCTCGAACCTGCAACCCAACCCCGAAAGGAAGGATTGTCGCTCTAATTACTAACTCGTACATAACAATATTGCAGGTATGGGTCTTGGGGAGTTTGCTTCACGTATGGGACATGGTTTGGGATAACAGGGCTTGTGTCTGGAGGGTTGACCTACCAGAGTTGCCCCTCCATTAAGAAAGCCTGCGATTTCTTGCTATCCAAGCAACTCCCTTCTGGAGGCTGGGGAGAGAGCTACCTTTCTTCTCAAACTAAGGTAGCGTGGGGTACACTCCAATCTTCAAGTACTGAATTTTCTTATTAAAATGTCATGAAACACATTGATAAAATATTTTTTTTCTTTCTTAATTACTTGATTAGGTTTACACAAACTTGGAAGGTGGGAAATCACATTTAGTGAACACTTCGTGGGCCATGTTGGGCCTCATTGAAGCTGGACAGGCCGAACTGGATCCGAGCCCACTACATCGAGCTGCGAAGTTCCTGGTTCATTCAGCAATGGAGAATGGAGACTTCCCACAGCAGGTAAATGCTCCAATCAAATTTTGAGAATGAAATAAAAACCCATATTCTATGTCCTTTTAATTTTATTGATTACATATTTTATTTGAATGAATTTTTTTTTATATACTAAATATGTTTCCACTTTTTTCTACGTATCAGGAAATCATAGGAGTATTTAACAAGAATTGCATGATCAGTTATTCGACATATCGAAACATATTTCCGATTTGGGCGCTTGGAGAGTATCGCAATCGGGTATTGCTACCTCTCCAGAAGCATTGAGACTCACATGTGTGATTTGTGCAAATGAAAAAGATGTGTACATACACATGAATCAAGTGCCAAGTTGATATTATTCAATGTTCATGTCCCAAGTTAACAATAGAGGCTGGAGTGGGCTGGACCACATTGGGCTCTGGTTGGCCCATATATAGCCGGTCTTTGGAGCAAAGCAATTTGCTTGTCCTTGCATGTTTCCTCGTGTTTATGATCCACGTATAACGTATATGGTATATGTATTATATAAATGTATGTGCCCATAAGATTAAAAAATACTGATTTCCAGCTATAACATGGTGGTAGGAATCACGGGCAGGGCTGGTGTCTCAATACACATATCTAATTATCTATCTCGTGGCAGGTTGGGTTCATATCAGATGATTTATCATGGATCGCAAGTCGGGGTAGTTTGACCCAATGAGTATGTAATTTATATGAAAATACTAGAAATATTCGTTATTTTCATTATAAGACCAAGAAACAAACCATAATATAGTAAATATAGTTAAATTATTGGAGAAATTGAGATTTTCACTAATTTACAACTTTCTTATAGCTAATATATCATATATATGATGTATTAAAAGGAAAATAATAAGTAATTTGACTAAAAATACATGAAATTTAGACAAGAACGAATCGAGAATAGTGCAGGTCAATGATAGGTTGGGTCGATCAGAGTACCCACCATGCCCGCCCCCAAAACAGGCCAAACAAGTCGGGTAAAACAGACCAGGTCGAAATTGTCATTCCTAACCTGGTGGTATGAATTAATATTATAATGCATACATCATAATAATGAGTGTATACATGATATAAAAATATACTAACCATCATTTACCACGTTTCACCGCGCCGTCTCCATCGGTTACCTTTCCCAAGTTCACAAGTTTGTTTCCCCCAAGGGCTTAGCTCTAGCTAGCTAATCTAGAAGGGAACAACAATGGGAGCTGGTGGAACCAGTGTTTCAATGGGTGAGTATTCACAAGTGTCATCATCACCATCACCGTCACATTTGGAGGGAGTAAAATACTTTGGAACCCAAACTTCCCCTCTCGACTTCCTAGCTTTGGCCATCTCTCTCTGCTTCTCCTCCACGGCTCTCTTTGCTTCCTTGGCTTTCTCCCAGTCTCTGCTCAGTATGCCTCTGCTTACTTCGCTCCACACCGATGCCGACTCGCTTGCTAAAACACTCTGCACACTCGCACAACACCAGGAAAGAATGAAGCCAATTATTAAAAAGAGAGAAACATTATGGATATGCTTACTTCTTCACTCCATAGTACTGATGATGTGGATTCGAAACTGAGACTTTCATGTTAGAAACCCAGCGATGATATTGTTTGGGGGGGGTTGGAAACATTTCTATCCGGTTAAACCGAGTTGGATTAACCCGACTTTCGATCCCAATTTTCAGGAAATTCGAAAAACAGAAAATTGGATTGGATTGTAAACGATTTTAGTGGAATCAGAATGATCCGGGCTGGAAATGAGGGATAACGCGGGGTGGGCTCGACTGGAATATGGGTTGGGTTGAGGTAGTGGGGTGTGAGATGGCCACTGGGGGCGAGGGTGTAGGGGCGCATTATCCGATTTCTCGATTTTTTGTTTTGTTTTGTTTTAAATCGGATCGAATCGAGCAGGTTTTATTACTACCGCGGCAACGATCGGAAATAAAATTGCATTATTTTATATACGAATTCGGTTCCAACCGGATCAGGTTATACCGTCTGGTTTATAATTAAACCAGAAAATTGAAAAACGATTTCCACTACCCTAGGTATCCCTGGACCATTATTCCCTTATTCGTCAGATGAAAGATAGATTTTATCGAGTGAATTAGGTCGAAATAAGGTTAATTACCTGTGGATCCATGAGAATTGGGGCTTTTAACTTGGATGCCACTTCTTTAGCATTGTAAATAACCCGCTCTCCCCCGCCATTCGGGTCCCTTATTTTCACGGTACTGCATGCAGTAATTATAGGTAATAACCAGAATCAGTAAAAACTAAAAACCGAGAATAAGATAATATTACTGGGTAGTAAAAGTTGGAAAAGGCTTGTTGTATCTAAGATAAAATATACAACATCTAATTAACGAATTGTTAAGTTCATTCATTCGGGTCCCTTTTTTTTAGGTTTTATTAAGTAAAAAATGAGTTGCATTTGATCATAATCTACACAATGTCATCCATTTTGATATATTTCAAAAATTGGTTTTACAATAACGTGAATAAATAGTACCTAGGGCTGGCTATTTGGTCCCGGACTGTTTAGTTTTACCCGAAACCGGACCGGGACCGGATAGCAAACAATCCAATCTCATATTCGGGCTTAGATTTGAGGTAAAAAACCGGATAAGAGACCGCCAACACCTAAAATCAAGATCAAATTGGGACCGTACCGAATCAAGACCGGATTGTATCCAATCCAATCTTTGGTCCTTATATTTCCGAAAAGACCGGACTGGGACTGGATCAATTTGGTCCAATTTAACCGGACCGGACCGTATAGCAACCCCTAATAGTACTAGATTGTGTGAATAACAATTACTCTTTGTATGAGTAACCACCAGTACTATAAACACAAAAAATGCGTCAATTAGATGTAGTGGCAACTCTACAGACAACAATGTAATTAAAAGTTGTACACAATGAGATTGGTTATTGTTACCTGTTCCAGTGTCCGTGCAGAGTGTAGAGCAACTTATAATTATTGCCGGGAGGAGGAGAAGCAGCCGCCGGCGGCGGCGGCGGCGTCGTCTTGTAGATCTTGCCGGTGACGGAATGTTTGGCACCGGACCGCCGTCCGAAGAAGGAAGAGGAGGTGGAGTAGTTCAGTTCGGCTTCGTAGCCGGTCTCCCGGCAGCTGACTTTGACGGTTCCGGTCCAGTCGACGGCCGGCGGGATGATCTTGAGCGTCATGTTTGGGGAATTCATGACGTAAGTTTCGCCGTGCTCCACAAGCTTCAGCTTCCTCTTCCCTTGCACTTCCACTTCCACCCTTGTTCCTAAACGCAATATTCCATAAATAATTTCGCAATTCAATAAATCCATGAATTAATTCGTTATTCGTAAATATGCTCTTTAATAGCAACTCGACTAAGTAGTTCTCATAAAAAAATCATCCAAGATTCGTATTTTATTCGGAAATTTCAGTGAAATCGAGTGAATTTAATTAGGTACGACGACAGGCGCGAGTTATCTTTAATAGGACATTTTTGACGAACCTTAGTAATGATACCGAATTTTTTTTTTATGGAGCACACCGTTACTGTTAACACGTTACGTAAATTCCATATTGACAAAGTACGAGAGAGATCTATGATTTATAAAAAACTAACTTACAACATTAACTAACAAGATGCGTTTTCGGCTGTAGTAATAGATAAGTTCTTGTAAGAATTATAAATTAATTAAATCGGTACAATGATGCGTGATATTTTGAAAAATCACCATTATGTATCAAAAACAAAATCATGCGTGAGTAGGTCCAAAACGGACAATTTCTTAATGATAGTAATGGTACAACAAGACTCTTTCTTTAAGAAGAAACATCTTGGACCACACCACGTGAAATTATGTGGAAATCGAAGGGGTTGTAAACGTCAAACTACAGTCCTTGATGGTTGGAAACTGTTGTGCTACATTAAAGTCAATTTAAGTACGGGGCAAGGTTGTCAAATCGGTTTATGTCAGTGTGCCGGTTTAGCAAGTGAAATGGTTTGACCGGTGGCACATGATTTGTATCGGTTCATGCCGGTCAATATTACAAATAAAATTATAAATCCTCATATTTAAACATGACATTTAACTTCAATACCTAAATATTTATACTTGAATCCAACAAATAACATCAATATTTAACTTTTATACTCATAAAATAAATAATGAAATAATTTTTATCAATTAAATTCACTAAAATAAGATCATTTTACTTAGAGATTCGTATATCGATCATGCCGGTCATACCGGTGATGTCACGTCGATTTTATGACCGATATCGGTTGAACCTGGTACAACCGGTGGCACGCCGGCCGGCGTGACAACCATGGTACGGGGACATACATGGTTGTAGAATTTTGTACGTTCCTAAAAAAAAATTGTACGTTATCCCAATTACAAGGTTGTCAACCCGCGAGTCAACCTGTAGGTTGACCCATTTAATCCTGGTTCGGTGAGAAAAACGGACCGTACATAAATATATGCGTACCTTGGAATTTAGGAACGGGGCGTTGGAACCAGAGCATGTCGACGCCGTGGCGGTGGTCGGTGGCGTGGAGGGCGGTGACCGGAGGGCGGTGGGAGACCTGCTCCAGCCGGACGTTGAGTGAACGGGAGGACACGTGGTGGGTCTCCCCGAGGACCGGGTTGTACGGCACCAGCCCAATGATGCCGGGTCGGTTCGTGGAGATGCTCCACCCGACCACCCGGGTAAACCGCTCCAACGGGTCGCACTTGGTGCTGCTGCAATCCGATAGAATGTCCTTCCCGGCGCAGTACACCATTTCCCCGTACGCCTGCAGCTGCGACTTTGGGTAGTTGAACGACGGCGGCAGCTGCACTTTCCGGCCTCTCCATCATTTTGTTATAAATCAAACTCGATATTACTGTGATAACTTATTCCTATTTCAATGTATAACTCGAGTTTTTGAAAGCAACTCGCGTACGTGTATAATTTTATACCGCTTCCGTATATGAATCAAAAATGGTGTAAATAACTCGAGCTATAATGAGGAAAGACTTATTTATGGATCTTACGCCACTTTCTTTTACGCTAAATGAAAGTGGAGTCATGAATTTGAAATTTAATTTGCAGCATTTCATAATTAAAAAAAAAAATTAATTTGCACACAGGGTGTCATATCATATCATGCAGTAAAATCAACTTGAGAGGAACTCATATATATGGATCTTATACTACTTTCTTAAATAAATCAACTGCCAGAGTTAATGAGAGAGAGACCCGCGTGAATGAATCTTATACTACTTTCTCACAGTCTTCTCAAACGAAATTCAACTCACGTGCTCGCAGCAGTTTGCACAAATCCATCATACTGTCTATGTGTTTAGAACAATAATCAACGTCGAAACTCAATTAGCTATTAATATTGAGTACCGTGAGAACCAACTTGAATATTGAACCTGATCCCACGGTAAAACCGGCCAACTCGAATATCATGTCGTAAACCAACCAAAACGGACGGCATAATATAATATAATTAGTTACTTGCCTGGAAGGTGGTGAGATCCGAGCCAGGGCGGACGTTTTTGAAGAGGCTCAAGACGCGGTGGACGAGGTTGGGAGTCCTGTATTCTACGTCGTCGTCGTCGTCGTCGTCGGAATCATCCACCGTCAGCGGCTTCGTAAGCACCACCTCGGCCTGCACCTTCCTTTCCTCCTTCATCACCTGTTTTGGCTTGTCAATCTCCATTGTTCCACTACTCTTCAAGAACAGTATAATAATGATAAATGAGCATGAATGAATATATATCTATATCTATCTATATATATACAGCTCTTCTTTTCGAGCAGGGACAAGGCGCACGTATCCTCGTCATAAATAATACGTGACAAGATGGCAAGTTGCGGAGACTGGAACTTGCCCAACCGCAACATTCTTCTTCGTCCATCGTATTCGTCATTTATTTATACGTAGATGCATGTGCGGGCGAAGAATATTGGACAGGGTATGGCTCCGGTATTCTTTGAGAGACACTACATAAAAAATCCTTTGTAGCGACATTTTTATTACGACAATTTTGAAAATTGTCGTTCAAATGCGAGAGATAAATAGTTGTGTCGTCACTTATTTGAAATGTCGATAAAACATATTTTAAAGCGACGTATGTTGCAATATTTTTTGTAAATGTCGAAACAAGATGAGTGTATTGCATCATTTATGAAAAATGTCATAATACATATATTTTCTAGCTCAAATTGTACCATAACATTAAATCTATAAGTTTAGATTGTACCATAAAGCAATTTGTACCATTATGTTACGGTACAACTATACAACTTGAAGTTGTACCATCACATAAAGGTACAAGTTCAAGTTGTACCATAAAAGAATTTGTACAAAAAGTGTAGGTACAATCTGAAGTTGTACCATAACGTAAATGTACAATTTTAAGTTGTACCATAAAAGCAAAAACCTATAGCACCAACAGTGGTGTAGCCAGATATCGAGTCCACTGGGGTCCTTCAAATTTTACTAACATAAATGCTTGTGTACCTAATGAATTTTGAGTTAACCGGGGTCCTTGGTGAGCTAACATCGTTGAGAGTATGAGATCCTAAACTTGAATTATCATACTAAAACCTATGTATTTAAAGGGTTTTGTTGCCCAGTTATTTGTCAAGTGGGGTCCTAGGACCCCTCTCCTCCTTACCTCCCTCCGCCACTGAGCACCGATACTATGTAGCATTGTAAAATTTCTCTTTCTTTGAAAGACGGGGAAGGGAGGAGGTGGTGGTCGGTGTAAGTAGATAATGTGGTGGCCGGTCACAATAAATAAAGGTATGGTGGCCGGTGGGCTTTTAAGTAGAGGGAATGGGCCGGGCCGGGCCGGGGATACCAAAGATGGTATTATTGCCTTATTGGTAGGGGTACGTGGTGCCGTAGTAGACGACAGATGGTGATGTTTCGTTGCATACAAACCCATCCGATTTATTTCTTTGCGGTGACACATTAAGTGTGTTCGTATTATAGTACCCTCCTCATAATTATTTCTTTCACTGGTAGGTTTGGATTTATCGAACATCCGAAGTCTCGAACCATGCTCTGATACTATTTGTCGAAATCGGCCAGCTTCAGGGGCGGAGATAACAGGTAATTAGGGTATTCCATGGCACACCCCTTGAAATGGGACTAGAACATAAAAAAAATAGGGGTATTAGTTTATGCTATAGTTAAGATTTGAACATGGAACCCTCTTTATTATTAGCTTTGGGATCATCCATTAAGCCATAGTTACTTACGTGATAAACTAATACGTTTTATTGTATATATATATATAAATAGTTTACCGTTTACAAATAATAAGTAAATTAGATTAAAAAAACTCACAATTGTATCTTTATTCAGGCATTAATCGGAACTTTAGTAAGATGGTTTCTAAAAAGCGGCATCCGGGATTTCCAACTGGGTATCTTCTTGTGAAGTCAGCATTGTTGCTACCAGCCGCCACTGCAAGTGTTGAGAGAGTGTTTTTCGGCAATGAATTACGTGAAATATACTATTCGGAGTCGAATGAGTGATGGTATCATGGAATGATTTTTTGGTAGGATGTATTGAGAGTGGCATGAATGTATTTTGCAGACTTTTCAAAATATGAGAACCCATCGTGGGTCACTATAAAAAATTGTCATATAATTTTTTTAAATTGGCACCCCCTTACCCTTTGGGTACGACACTGGTCAGCTCCATTAGTACGATATTGTCCACTACTTTGGAGCAAGTCCTCACGGTTTTACTTTTGGATATCCTACTAATGAGCTTGATGGACACTTACACACATTCAATGATCCCTTTTCTTGTATTACCGTGGTACTTGGATTATGAATATAATTTCTTTTTCCATGGACATCATTTTAATTAGGCTGAAATTGGTCTGACCCGTCCCTGGTCCTGTCTGACTCGTTCCTGAAGGGTCAAGATGTATAACTAACTTGCACCAACCCTGTTTCTTTCATGACCCTGTCTGGCCCTTTAGGGTCGGGGCGGGTCAAGAAGGGTCGGGTTAGTGGGTCGACCCTAATAAATACACTACTTCTCTAAAAATTACAATTTGGTACCCAAATTTATTTCTTCTTACATTTTAGTACCTAAATTCAATTTTTTTTACAAATAAGTCCCAAAATTTGATGGTAACATTATGATTTGGTACCCAAAATTTTTATTTTTACAATTTTAGTACCTAAACTTTTAAAATTTTACACATAGGTCCAACGTGTTTGTATGACGCTAAGGGTCATAGGGTCAAAAAGTGACCCGACCCTAAATTGACCCGACCCTACATTACCCTAACCCGACCTTAAACTGACCCGACCCTAAACTGACCCTGTACCTAAACTGACTCAACCCAACCCTGAGGGTCGGGGCGGGTCGGTGGGTTTAAAGGGTCAAACTTACACCCCTAATTTTTATTGATAATGTTTTTTTTTTATGCTACTGACGGAAATTTTCCACAATATAATAATCCAACTCTGTAATTGTTTTTTTGTTTAAAAGTGTAGGTTTTTAAAGCTAACTTGTAGTAAAACTAACAGAGAAAAAATGTTCGATTGTAGCCAAAAACAAACAACCCCTTAAAAAGTTTATCAAACTGAATTTGTTCTGTCCGGCCACACCAGAAAAAACACATGGTAAGCCAGCCGGCCGATGGTTTTGTTGCAGCAATGCCGATGAGGACAGAACACGACGACGATCGAGCCAATGAAAAAAAAGCAGAGAATCCCAAAAGGGCAATAAACCCACAAACCAAAACGTACAGCGATTGCATATGAGGGAAGAAGATGGGGGAAAGCTTTACCATTTGATGACCCCGCCGGTGAGTTATCTAATCGCGACCACCGGGCGGCACGTCCCGGTATTTGGGATATAAGTATTAGAACCAGAGGTTTGCTAGCTCCGATCTGTTTGGCGGGCAAAGGGAACCAAGATGACTGCAGGGAGCCCGTGCCTACTTTGCTTTGCTTTTTGTTTCGATCGAAACCATGAATTAATACCCCTCCAAAAGAGACAGTGAGTTAATTAGAGAACATGACGTCTAACTGCACAACGCCATTGGTTTGAGACGTGGAGAGACATAAGCCTAACACCAAACCATACATATGATATAGCCATATAGGAATCTCAATGTCGGGAGAGGGCGTATCCTATGACTAGGGGCTAAGCGCTTTGATTTGGATACATCGATCTAACGATTAAAAAAATAGGAAGTTAATTAGTAATAGAGAGGTAATTTGGGTATTATGAAAAATTACGAAGTATATACAAACCAGATTTACAAACAGTACAAATTATATAAACATACAAATTAAACAATACAAACTAAAACGACAAAACATACAAACTAGACCGAAAAACAATACAAATCATACAAAATATAAAAAAACAATCATATTGACTTTGGAAGCTCGGTCCCTATATAGAGGGGTTTCGTCCCAAAGCCAATCCGGTTGTTTTTTAGACAGACAAATAGAGGTGGCAATTCTCAATCCAATCCACCATTTCAATCCACCAACCCATTAAATACATCCACCTAATCCAATCCATTTGATTCAAATCCAATTGGATTTGTGGATTCATCCATGAATTCAAATGGCAAATTACAATTTGGTACCTATACTTTTTATATTTTACATTTTGGTACCCAAAATTTAATTTTTCATACGAAAAATATCATTGGAAAATTACGTTTTGGTACCTAAAAATTTTCATTATGACATTTTAGTACCTAAACTTTTCACATTTTACATATTGGTCCTTGGTTGAGGATGTCATTTGGATTCATGGATAATCCACAAATCCACTTGATCCAATCCATGAATCCACCAATCCATTTGATCCATGGATCAATCCATTTGTCACCTCTACAAACAAACATTACAAATGTGGTGGACAAAAATGACAAATTAGGCCGACAAACCATACAGAATGGAAAAACAGTCGGGGTTGCCCATTCACGTGATGTTGTGCTTTAAGTTGCTCCTAATGTTGTGCTGAAGATTTGGATAAACATTTGGATTGCTTTTGATGGAGTAACTGGGAGGGGGCAAATTGCATGCATTAAGTTCCGTGGTAGATCCTTTTGAGCACTTTAATCAAGTCCTGCTTGCTAAAGTGGCTTGATAGATTCTAGAGGGTTCAGGGTCTCTCTAGCTCAAATAAGGGTCAGTATAGTGTATGTCATTTTTAACCAAATTTGGATTATACTATTTAAATGATAATGAATGAAATAAAATAATTTTAGTGACAACCGTAAATTTTTTTAGTAATTCCAATGATCAAACTTGCAATTTACCCTTGTTATTTGTTAATACAAGTAATGGCTGGAAAAAAAAAAGTAAGGGCAATTATGGAAATCGGATTATTATTGACGGGTCGGCTCAACTCCGACCCGGCCCCGTAACGGAGTCTCGTGGATTGAACGAGGGGAATTTCGCAGAGGGAAGCTCGAAAAGAGAAAGAGAAAAAATCTGATCACATAACTGTATAACATCACCTGCCGGCCGCCGCTGCTTTCTTCTACATCCCCTAACGCCGGCGAAGTAAGTCTCTCTCTCTCTTTTTCTGTGGGTAGTTTCGTGATTGGTAAAGGACGGGAAATTTTCCAGTGCTGTGGATCTCTCTGTGAATAAGCTTCGTTCCAGATTTGATCCCCCCCACACTAAGATTGGTTTTAGGGATTCATTATTGTAGAATTGAAACCTTCAGCCAAGCCTAGGTAGTTAGGGTCCAGCGGAAGAGTTTCTGATGCGGTGAATGAGATTGAATTCTTGGTTTGATTGCTTCTTTGTATGCAGTTTTGTATTCGCATTTCAGGTTACTTTGGCAGATGAATTTCATGTCTTGGTGTCAGTTCTAAGTTTTCTTCTTCTGGGGTGTTTATTTCTAGCCCATATAGAATGTGTTAAGACCTTTGTATGCTAATTTGCTAAAGGGCTCATTTTTTTCCTTGTTCATTGGTTTACTAGACATGCTGCGGTGAGCATATTCTTATTAACATCTGAGCTGTGTCGCTTGATTTGGGCACTTTTCTTTGTCGTTGCGGAAGTTTAACTCTGGAATTGAAATGAATGTTCTTTGATGGTCTTAGATACAGTTCTCAAACTGAGCTTAGTAGGGTTTTGGCAGTATGTTTGGATTCCGGCTAAAGCAGTGCTCTTTCAGTTTCGAGCCGGTGCAACACTTGGTTGCTTGTGAAGTTTATGAGGGGGCATGCTTGGGAATAGAATGGATCTCTTCTCATTTTGAATATACAATGGAGTGGTTTGTTCAGTGAATTTGTTTGATGGCCATGGTTTCAGTAGTTATTGGGTGGAGAAAGATCCAAAAATGGTTGGCAATATGTGGAAATATGGAGTTCTGTACATTCTCTTCAAACTTTTTCTGCTTAGTTAGTTCCAAGAAATTGTTTGATGGTCAACGCTTCTGTAGTTATTGGGTGGAGAAAGATCAGAAAATGGTTAGCAATCTGTGGGGAAATGGAGTACTATACGTTCTCTTCGAACTCTTTCTACTCTGCCTTTATCATGTAAAACCAAACTTCACTGTGCCGTTGCTCCTGCCTAGAGCAAAGTCTGTGTGTCACTAAGCGTGATTCATTTTCTCATCAGTTGATTTATTTGGACTAATCGTTCCTTCTGCAGGTTCTTTCCATTCTCTTGTTAGTTTGATCAGGCTATTCGAACCTTGATACAAGATCAGCAAAACAGGCTCAGAAGATGCTGCGCACAGAAGTACTAACTGCCTACAAATCTCTGCTGAGAGCTACTCGTAAATCATTTGCTGGTGACCAGTTGATGTTGAATGGTTCGGCAATGGAGATCAGGAAGAAATTTGATGAGAACCGTCAAGTTACCTCTGAGGCTGAAATCAGAAGGCTCCTTGAAGAGGCAAATGAAGCTTGCCATTTCATATCAACCATGATTGTTCAAGCTAAATTGAACGAACGGGGTGGCTATGGTATGTGAATGCTCTTAATCTATTATATTTATCCACGATTGTTGGACCAGTTTCCTTTTACCATATATATTTTTTTTTTTTATAGTTTTGTTGCTTGGGAAAGGTTCTCCATCGTTCATGAGGTAGCCTCCATCAAGGAGGCACTCAAACATCTTGATCTAAATTGTTCTTGGAGAAATCTGTTGCGTGACTGAAAAGGATTAAAATTGTCATGATCATATTAGGCTAGAAACCTTTAACAGAAAGGACCTGCAGAAAGATCAGTGGGGATAACTACTGCTCTACCTGTGAGGCAGCAAAAGAATTATGCTAGAGGTCAAAGTGGCCTCGTCCTTCTGCCCTCACAGAAGGTGCGTGGGCTGCTGGATTGACAGGCGCATGCCCCCAGACTCCAGAGCTATCCATTACGAACGTGACACCAACCCCATCCAACGGCTCTGGGGCGAGTGCCCACTGATTCCAACAGCCTACACACCTTCTGCCTGGGCTGAAAGATGGGGGCCATAATTTGGCCAAGACCCTCTTCACAAGTAATAGAAAATGGGTAGATTTGGTTAATCTTTCCGTTCAAGATTGGAAACCTGGTTTCTAGAAACATTTTTATCCTTTAAGGGTAATCGTCATAATTATATATGCTGAGACTAAGACTTTCTGTGAAAACCACATATGCAGAGGTGAAGCCCAGCAAGGAACATGCTGATGCAACACTCGAGGTTCCAACTGAGGAGCTTCTTCGCAAGACCAGCTAATGACGATTTTGATTCCTACCCTCCAGGGTTCGAGTTAGGCATATGCGTCCAAATTTTGTTAGGGGCCTGTAGAAACAAGTTGAGGATGATTTTTAGTTATCTACCCCTTCTGCTGTTGTTTGTGGTACCTCTACTCAGTTCCTCGAAACAGAGTATGTTTGTAAGAATCACAGTTCACGGGAGGTTTTTCGCTGTATTGACCAATCCTTGAAGCTTTATTCTCTTTTTTCTTCTGGTCGATGAATAACCAGAACTCTCATTTTGTTGAGCAAGACGATAGCTAGCGAAGATTTTGGCTCTCTTGTGGCTGGTTGCTCCAGTGAAATAGCTGTGTTGAACTATAAGATGCTTCCACAAATGTGTTAACCAACCATTAGTTTTCATGCAAGAAAGCCAATTCACTCTGCAACCTTACAAAAAAATGTAGCATTGCACAAACACTTTGACATCAAAGTTCAAACAGCCTAATAAAATGTTGCGTAACGATATTACAGAGAAGACTTGTTCGAACGTTTTGGTTCATGAAATGTTTCTAAATTGGAAACAAAGCTACAAGGGAAGATCTCAAGTTAAGCAGCCCAGTCCTTTGTTACCATCTTCTACAATCAGAAATTTACTTGCTTCACAGACATGGGCACTCCTGTCTCAGCGACTCTCGTCCATGGGTTCATTCCGAGACTCGGATCTCAAGTCCTTTTCCTCAGGTCTTGAATCCTCTGCTTTTGTTACTGAATCTTCTAGAGCCTCGAGAAAAGAAGATACTGTGAATCGATCTGCAGCATTTCAAAGGGGAAAAAATGTCAGGTAAAAAAGTAACAGATTGTCAAAGTAAACACCATCTGGGAAACCGATTCCAACAGCAGTGAAATGTAACTCAGAGCTAGAGACGCCTATTTGATACTACGGTTAAGGCGCCTCTCTAGTTGATCAAATATCTAACTTCTCAATTAAGCCCACTTCTAACTTCAATCTTAACCGATGTGAAATGTTTCTGAACTCAGTGTTTACCCATTTCCCCTCTATAAACCTCAGGAAGTTTTGTGTATGTTTCATTCACTCATTCCCTTCAATAAAACTGCTCTAATAAGTCTTCTAATGGTTGGATCAAACAGAGTCTGTCCAGAGGCCGCAACCAAATACCAGGCGGTGAAAAACAATACCATTCTTCCTTCATGACAATCCATTCACTTCTGACATTGTTATGACAAACTGCATCTTAGCATATCACACTTTCATGCAAACAGGTCTGAAGTAACATATCAGTCTTTATACCATCGAGAATATGGACCCAAGAATTTAACTGGAATTTTTTCCATGGGATTCAACAGCCAGCAAAAAACATTAATTCCCATAATAATGGGACAAGAAAGTCATAAAATGCATGAAAAAGTGCAGAATGATCCAATTTTGGACATGTATAGATTACTTACATTTACTGGGATCAACACCAAACTGAGATAGATCAATCTGCCCAGTCTTCAACACCTTCAAAAAGAAAAACACAAATAAAAAAAATAGAAATATCAGATGACGAATGATACAACAGAAGAAAGAACGCACATGGTAGGCCTGGAGTCTTTACATAGGTAAAAGAGTCTACTTGCTGACGGAAAGGTGGGCTCTGCAGCAACTCTAGAATATCCTCTGGAGTCCATGGACCCTGTGAATCCAGTAAAATGATCTCAACACATCCCTTTACAAAGGAGGTAAGTCAAACAAAACCAAAATTGTGTACCTCTGGAAGGTAAGATGCCAATCGTTCTTCTACTGGCAATGTATCCATCAATGGCATTATTAGATCAGGCCTAAAGATATCCCCCAATCCAAAACCTAACAAAACAAAAGCAGATGATCATAGAATCATATGTACATTCATTCGCTGTCCGAGGGAGCTAAGATCAGTTAACTGCAGTCCCACAATCCACAAATCTCAAGAGGAAATTACTGATTATACTTTCAGGAGAACTACCAAAGAGGTAACCAAACAGGCTAATGTAGCCAAACATGCCTAATATGGCATTGCATCAAAAGCAACATGCTAAACCACAAGGGGGAAGAAGAAAGAGTCAGTGTAATTACTTCAGCTTCATCTAATTCAAAGCAGGAAGAATAATTTTGAACATTATCTCCAGAGTGCCAAGGCCCAGTTGTCATGATTCCAATTGCATACTGACCCCCAGTTCTCGAGGATGAGAACCAAAGTCAATACTAATAACCATTACTGGCTTCTCTCATTTTCTTTCTTTAACTACTATATATTCATCACTCGTTAAGAACCCATTAAGGTGAATAAATCAGCAGAACCAGAGTGATGCTGAATTATACCGAACTAGAAGCCTGTTGTGAAGGGAAGATTAGAGAGCATAAATATGAACCACCGAAACATGTATCACATCACAATAAATAATGCACTATCTGCCTGGGTATGCAAAAATTTACCTCCATCTGGATCTCCAGCACTCTCTGCAAATTTTTAAAATACATGCGTTAGAGGTGAACATGTACAAATGAAGCGAATTTATCAAAGTAAATCAGAATTAATACCTCCAGGTTCGATATTGCTCAATATTCGTTGTAAATCTTCCAATCTTACTGGTCCGGATGAAGAGGTAACATCACTCATTGATCCTGAACCTAGGTTTGGAAGCACTATGTTTCCAGCTCTGGAAGTTGCATAAAAATAACAATATAAGATCAAAGCATCCATTGAAGTCTTAGAATATTTTTCCCAGATCATTGCCACTCTCAACTAATCCCATGAATTCTAAAGATCAGGCACAAATGTATGGATGCCCTTTTTTCCTAGTGAAACTTGCAGAAGGTAAGAAGTATCTGAATCCGGTTAAAAAGGGACAGTTCTGTTTGAAGTCCCCAATCAGAAGCATAATCAAAGTATGGTTACAATGTATATCAATGCATGATCTATGCTTCCTTTGCAAAAGCATTTCAGAGGTTAGGACTCATTCCTCACTCGCTCCAAATATGCATACAAAACCCACAAATGTATCTAATAACCATTTTTGGTTAAAACAGAGGTACAGGTACGGAGGGCTGATGAACGTACCGTGATGAAATGTCATCTTCAACCATTTCCTCGGACGTTTGAAGAGCAGAAGTATCTGGCTCTTCTTCCAGGATCTCTGGCATATAGAGATACAAAAATGAATCATCATTAATAAATCCACTGAAGGCAGAGCAGACATGTAAAAGGAGACAAATTGGGAAAGTGTTGGACAAAGGGGTGAAAAGACGAAACACGCTCATCTTTAACCGTTAAGGAAGTAAAAACAGAATTAGTGAAAAAGGATATAAGAGGATAAAACATCAAAATGAGACAAAGACATTGTCAATTCCATTATAAATAGTGGAAACTAGGTCATGTGACAAGCTAGCTCGGAGTGACTTTCATTATTTATAGGGATGTTTTGGTAGGGCTCCAAATGAGCACTTGATGGGCATTCAAAGGATATGATTATGTTAAACGTAGTACCTAATGGTCTATTGATGTGGTAGTTGACAGAGGCACATAGCTCCTCATCTCCATCAGCATTAGATTCCTACAAAGCAGCAATAAAAACAACCTATCAAGGTTAGGGACTAAAGCAGACACTTATGAATATGAGGGGGGAGATGAACAACCAAAAAATCTGACCTGCATCCAGAAGAAAAATTTCCGGTCATCTGTGTTGAACTTCAAGATGTAGACCCTTCCTGATGCTTGACCGACCTACAACCAAAAGTATGACACCGCAATCAGTTCTGAATGTATTAAGTAACAGTCGTGAACAAGAAAGACAGATACGAACATACCTTCTCAAAAACTGCCTCTTCTGGAAAAATTATCTGATCCTATTAAAACATGTCAGGGAAAAACAGAATTGCAGTACTATGACCAGAGACAAAGGGACCACATAGATTGAAACATGGGGCAACACCTACTACATTCTCAAGAGTCCATCCAATACATAACTCCAAATCCTTAACGAAGACAAGAGTTGGAGTAAAGCAATGCGGTAATAGTAATTACTAACCTAAAAGAAAGACGAAACCTGAAGGAAAACATACATACCAGAAAAAGAGAAGAGAAAAAGCCAATACAGATTATGTTTAGCTTCTGATATGAAGTACGAAAACTGTCCCATAATAAGTCTTACAGAACAAAGCACATATACAGCAAAAGAAAGAGGGATTACATTTCAGGCAGTCCAATCCAGCCAAATACTGCAGTCAACAATGTTTGACATCAAAGTGAAAGGAACTCAAATTCAAAAGGAGCCACTACTGAATTTGGAAAGCATTTCTGAAATATCTTTCCCGTAGAAAGCAATCAGCATATTTCTCAGATACGGAATCCCCATATCTAACTGGAATAAAAGCATCATATTTTGCATTGGGGTGGAAGATAAATGAAATTTAACAAGCAACCCAGAAATAATTATTTAAATTTAACTAATAGTGAACCTAGCACTTAAAACTAATATCTCCTCATTACTAAACTCCAAACAACCAAACTTGACAGGACAGAGAAAACATATTGACATATGAAAATGCCAGGATACATCTTCAACAGCATTAAGGGTACGATCAAGCCACTGAAAATGAATCAATCCCTCTTCTCCCTGATAATCGAAAACAGAAACAGATTAACAAAAGCCTTGTCAGCATCTTACTCCATGTCATTCTTCAACAATGATGTAAGCTTAATGACGATAAACCCACATCAGGAGTATCCGTTCACATCATAGTAGACCAACATCAACATATGGCAAAATGAACAGACTATACTATCGCATCACAGCTCGCTCAACAGAAGATTAGTAAAAAGCAAAGAGCAACGTACCCTGTCTATACGAACCAGCCCTTTCCGGGTATCAGGGACTACCCTTTTGCCCTCCAAATGCATTTTACCAGCCCGAAATTCCAGCATCATGCCTGCTAGCTAACAACCCTTTGAAAGATAAGATAAGATAAGATAAGATAACACCAAGCAAGAACAGCATTAGGAGAGCACAGCTGAAGTTGTACCATAAATACAGTCGCGAACAGACCTAACCAGCTAAAAATGTACAAGAATCGAACGCAGAGCTTATACGCATTCAAAGGGCTATGATTTTAGGAGACGAGCAGAAACCAAACATTCAAAAATACAAAGGCAGTGTTCAGATAAAAGAAAAACCACCGTCTTCAAGTGCTCGAAAATAGCAGAATTTCGAGAGCTTATTACAATGATCGCCTGAGACTTACAGAGGAAGAAACAGAAGAAGACTTCAATCAAGAAATATAAATTCGCGCCTTCGCACCGGTAATAGAAAACAGCCACCACCGCTTGCCGCAGTTAGCTTCTGCTGTAGCTTCGCTTGTATCGCGTTTCAGCCCACTAGACGCCGCGAGTCGAATGCTCAGAGACGCCTAAGAAAGGAGGGATTTATCAGGTAAGGTGGATGGAGTATCGATCCCAAAACCCTAACTCGATGGAGCAGAGGAAATAGGGGGAAGCACCGAGGTCGGAGTAGGGAAGAGAAACTAGTACGACTTTTGGGCTTTTGGCTGTGATTTTAATTTAGGTAAACACTAGGTTTTAGTCAAATATATTTTGTATTTTTTTAAAATCAACTCAATTGAATTATTAAAATTAGTCAACTCTTTTTTAATGTATTAATGTATCAAATTATTAGTCATTTTTATGTTGTTAATAATTTTGTAATCTTTTTAATTTAAAATACTAAAGTTTTGAAAATTGGAATATTGACATATATGTGTCTCGTCCAATTGAGGATCATGTTGTTTAAATTAAAAAATTGAGTATTATGTTGTCAACTGTCAAGTCAATATTACAAACAAAATTGTTAACGGAAAGTTAACATTTGGCCAATTATTAGTAATTCAATAACTTTGGTTACTATAAAATAATGCGGGGAACGTTTGGTCAGTAATTAGTATTTACCCTTTCATTTTTATTCCCTCGTAGTTTAAGTGTAACACTTTAGGCCAATCCCACATCGACAAAGCACGTGAGAGATCCATGGTTCATAAGTAAGAAACCGACTTTAGTTAGCAAGACCCGTTTTGGGGTGAAATGGAGGAGTTCTTGTGAGAACTCCGAAGTTAAACGTGCTGAGTGTGGAGTACAACAAGGATATCTGACCTTATGATAAGTCGCCTTTAATTGCACCCGAAGTCAAAATCTGTGAGGGTCGAGGCCCAAAACGGACAATATATTAATCGAGAAAAGGTTCGAGATGTTACACTAAGTGTGTCACTTTTTTGGTAGCTTTTTTTTTGCGCATGATTCATATTTGTTTTGTGAGGTTCGAGGAGTGAATGTGATAATTTGTTATCGGTGTTGATGGAGTATTAATTGTTGAGTGGTCAGAAGGTGAATTTGAACAAGTCGGCAATTTATTTTAGTGGAAATATTAAGGAGCATCTATGTCAGGAAATGGTGCAGTTTTTGGGTAGGAGTTATTTGGGTGCATGATAAGTACGTAGGACTATCGTCGTTGATTCATTATTCTAAAATGGAAACTTTTATGTATTTGGAGGGGAAGCTCTTTGATAAACTCCAAGGTTGGAACAGAGACATTTGTCATGTGCGGCAAAAGAGACGTTACTCATTGTAGTTGCCTCAGTCAGTGCTGCCAATTCATGGCATGTCTTGATTTCTGTTACCTCTAACTATGTGTCGTAAGTTGGATAAGTATATGACTCGTTTCTGGTGGGGGTTTTCAGTAGAGGGTGATAAAGCTCATTGGGTTTCCCAAAGGAACCTCTGTCGTAGTAAATTTGAAGTAGGTTTGGGCTTTCAGCGATTTGAGAATCTTAATCAAGTTCTGTAGGCAAAGGTTTCTTGGCGCCTATGGATAGATCCTTGGCCTCTTTTGGCTCGGGTTTTGAAAGGGAAATACTCCCCCATTCCAGTGTGCTAACAACGCAGGCCCACTCGAGACCATCATGTGGTTGGGTCAATATTATGCATGGGAGAGACCTGTTGCTTGAAGGCTGATGTCGGCAGATAGAAGGATAAGAGCAAGTGCAAATTTTAAATGACAATTACATTCCAGGATTTAGTCAGGATTGGATCTCGATTCTTCCTACAACGCCGAACCTAGAGGGGAAAATGGTGTTAGATCTTGTTAACTCAGAGGCTGGGCAATGGTGTATGGAGTGTTCAGAACAATGTTTTCCGGCAGGATGTGATTAAAGTCATCCGCAATATTCCACTACCTCGAATTCGGGTACAGTCAGGTGTCTATACGGTTGAATCGGGTTATCATTTGACTATAAGTTGAGTCGGAGGAAGTGAGGATGGAAGGAGGAGGTTTCTTTCTTCGATGTGGATTTTTGGAAGAAGGTGTGGGGGTAGGGCTGGGAATCGGTGCGGTTGCGGTCGAAATGTAGTCATTTACGTCAACCGTGGCCGCACCGCAAACGGTTTGCTGTTAATCACTAATCGCAAAGTGCGGTTAATGGTTAACCGTGTTACTAACTATTCTTACAGTTTAAGGACATTTTGGTCTAAGGTCGTGTCACGGTTAACCGTACTAATCGCAGGTAACCGCGTCAGTAATCGGTTAAAATGTAATTACATGTTGTTCGGTTTCGGTTGCGGCTAACCTGCAAAACGTGCAATATTGCTAAGCGCGACCACAAAATACCCTATTTTTCGATTTGTGGTTAACCACTAACCGCGTGGTTTTGGTGCAGTTTGTGGTTTAACCACAAAATCGCAACCGAATTCTCACCCCTATGTGGGGGGTTTCATATTCCCTCAATGCTTAATTTTTTTGTTTAGCAGATTATGAGGATTCTTCTAGGCGACGGAGGCAATCATAGAGAAAGAGGGGAATTGTGCACCTCGTTGTACGGTATGCTAGGCATCTGGTTAATATTTTGTGAGAAATCATTTTTTTCCTCTAAATTATCGATATTCATAAATAAAACTCATTCTTTCTATACGATTTTGTGTTATTTAACTTCAACACATTTTGAGATTTTAAAATTTACCGTTAGATTTTGAATGAATCTCATAAAATGAAATAACGACCACCCGAATCAATTTCTACTCTAATCTGGCTTCTGGTTGAAAATATACTCTTGAAATTTGTTGTGAATGGACAAAATAACTAACAAAAAAATGGGTGGGAAAAATTATCATATCCCAAAATAAACGAAACATATATAAACGAAAAGAAATACGAAATTAATTAATAAAAAACAAAAGGGAAAGAGTTATTTACGTTAGGGGGAGGTCTCCGCTTCTGGGTTAATGACAGAAATATTGTTTTTTTTTTAAATTTACCACGAATATGGCCAATTAAAAACTATTGACAAAGATATTGTGTTTTAGAGATAAGAATCGGCGGGTACACCTGAGACTCAGGCGCTGCCGCTTAAGCTTGGTTTTTGGACCGTTTTATTAGACTCAGGCGGCGGCGCCCGAGACTGAAGCGAGTAGGTGGGAAATCAAGACTCCGGCGGTGGCGCCCGAGACTGAGGCGAGTAGGTGGATTGGCCACCCACCCTATAAAACCCAGTCAGACTTTTCGTTTCAGATTCACACCACAAAAAAAAAAATCGTCCAAAATAGAGGAGAGAGCTCTGGTTGCTGCTGCAAAAATGGCTAATAGGTAAGAGACACATTTATTTTTGTAATTATATTATTCAAATGCTATTATGATTGTGTTTAGTTTTTAATTAGTGAGTTTGTTTTTTTTAGTGATTTTAGAAGATTTGAACTAGTTGTTCGGTGGAAATCGGAGAAAGTAGAGGATAATTTGGGCGTCAAATTCGTTGGTGGTAGTAGTTTTCAGTTGACGGTTCCATCCAGAGTCACATATCACAAACTTTGTGAGACTCTAATTCCGAGAATACGGCGCAGAGACGAAGCAGTAAAAGATAGTGATGTGATCACAGGTTTCACTTACCGTCTTCCAGAATGGCAGAATGATGTTTTATTTCATTATGCGTTACCTATTGTGGATGATGATAGCTTGGATGTGCTTTGGAATTTTATGGCACAAAATCCTTATTGTTTGGGTGCTGAGATACATGTTGAGCTCAGTGATGATCAGGGTGGAGAGGAAGAAGATGATACATGGAGCGTGCCATCCGATCATGACTATGATCACGGTGATGACGGAGAGGAGGAAGATGAGGAGGAGGAGGAAGGAGAGCAGCTTAATTATCCTCCATATTTTTACTTGCAGGGCAATGAAGAGGACGAAGAATTTGCACTTGCTGATTCATATGGCGTAATTCCAATGCCTATTGTTGATAGTTTTGAAGGAGAATTCTACAAGGGGCAGATATTTCACTCGAAACAAGCTGCACAGATGGCGATTAAACACCACGCACTACAACGCAACTTTCAATATGGCGTGGTGGAGTCGTCACCTTCAATATGGAAGGTCAGATGCTTGAGGCACAAGGATGACAATTGTCCTTGGATGGTGCGGTTTGGATGTCGAGATGTTGGGGGCGAATGGACTGTGAGAAAATCTAAGTTGGTGCATTCTTGTAGCAGTACGACTCAACCGACGGATCATCGCCATCTTGATGTCGACATGATATCTGAGGCCGTCAAACATTTGGTACGTGCCCAACCAAATCTGAGTGTTCTAACTGTTCAAGCCGAGTTGAAAGATAAGTTTAATATGCAAGTTACTTACAAGAAGGCTTGGTATGGGAAACAAAGAGCATTGGAGAAGTTGCATGGAAATTGGGAAGAATCCTACGATTTTTTGCAAACATTCTTGCGGGTGGTCAAGAGAAAAATGCCAACATCGGTGATTGATTGGGTAACAGTTCCTTCGACTCAACCCGGTCATTTAATATTTCAGCGAGTATTCTGGGCTTATGGACCTTGTATAGATGGATTCAAGAATTGTCCAGGCGTCATGGTTGTGGATGGAACATTTCTTACTGGGAAGTATAAAGGAGTGCTACTCATGGCGAGCTCATTTGATGGCCGGAGGAAGATTTTTCCAATTGCATTAAAGTAGCAACCCCGGATGCCATAAAGTTGGCCAAGTCCTCACACTGGTCGGGGGTCAGCCCTCCAGACCGTACACCGTCACGCAAACTCACCTCAGCATGCTCGATAGTGTCGTACTAAAAAACACCAACAAAAATGTCAGATATTTCACACAATTAACAACAAATTAAGCAAATAAATCAAATAACTAACCAACGCCTCTGCTGCAGCTCCTCTCCGTGTGCCGGATCGTCTGGTGACATCTCTATACCACTCCATATGCTCCGAGTGGTAGGCTAACTCCTCATCAGTATATGGAGCCGTCGCTACAAACTCGTGTCGACGGTTCCAGAAAGCAATCGACTCTCTGGAGGCGTGTACCAACTGCTGCCCACGCGATGGCCCACGAGTAGTCTGGCGAAGAAAAAACCTACCCTCAGCCTCAGAATGTGGCTGATGAGGCTCATGCTGTCTCATGCCAAACTGCCGGAGCACGCGGTCTGGATGATGCCACATCACCGATGAAAAGCAGATAAGTGGCACTACTGCTCGAAATGTCTCAGACTGTAGCACACTACCTCTGAGATGAAGTGCTCTCTCAAAGTAAGGTTGCCACTACATTAAATCCAAAAATTAACGTTATTATCCCTAAATCTAAAAAAATAAAACAAATGAAAACTATCATATAAAATGAAATGTTATATACTAACCACCACGGTGTCCATCGCGTCAAACCACAGCTTGTACTGGAATGGCTAGTCACCATACTGACGACTGTTGGCCGAAAGCCATCGAAGACCATGTGGGAATGCATCCTCGGTGGCCTGTGCCCTCGTCTCCTCGTCTCGAGGTGCCAGATGTGGGAATCGCTCCCACGCCCAAAACTGCAGTAGGGCGACCCATCCACCAAGGTCACCGCTAAGAGAAGTGCCGGTATGCGTAATGTGCAAAGTCGACCTACCCATCTCACGGTACAGGTAGGATAAAACAGCAGCTCCCCAGGCAAACCGTCCAGCTCTCTCCCAATCCTCAATCAGAAGTAGATACTGTAGGTGCACCGTACTTCCAGACCGATCCGAAAAAAGTACACCTCCAAGCAGAGATAGAGCATAAGCTCGTGCAAACTGCTCTATAACCTCCTGTGATGCATTCTCCGGCAGATGACTGAATTCAACCCTCAGCCAAACAATCCTAACAACAGCGACACTGCCTACAAGATCGGCCGGAACTCGTCCCAACAGTCTCAAACAGATCGCCGACCACTCCTCATCCGGTATATCAACTACGACGGCATCACCGTCGATCGCCAGACCGGACAGTGTAACAACGTCCTCTAACGTGATCGTCATCTCACCACACGGTAGATGGAAGGTCGACGTCTCGGGGCGCCACCGCTCTACCAGCGCAGTAGTCAAACTAGCATCGGGGTTCATAGGGACTAGGGGCACGACACTAAACAAGCCTGCCGCTTCGAGATATGGCCGATAAAGTTCATGGTAAGGTACTAAAATGGTCGTACCTCGAACATGGTATGGTCGATCACCAGCCTATAGTGCACAAAACTTATATTAATTCATTTTCATTCGTAATAATTCTAATTTCACCTAATAAATTCTAATCTGTCTTATCTAACATAAAATTATACTAATTTGAAATTATACTAATTTCACCTAACAGTTCAGTTCACTACCTAAAATAATCTAATTAGCTAATTAACTTTACATGAATAATTATCAAATACTTACCTCGTTTGTCCAAACAGAGTCGATACGATGTTGGCCATGTCCCCAAAGAAGTGTCGGATCGACCGGACTTGGATCAATTGTCGCCGGCGGTAATCTCATCGAATAAGGATCCATAAGCCTCGGAACTGCAAAAACAAAGCAACAAAACATTAAAAAAAACACAAAACATTAAAAAAAAATCAAGCTGCCGACGAGAGTCTCACCGCGCAAACGGCCGCCGACTCCACCACGACCTCGCCGACCTCTACCTCTGCCTCTGCCGGCGGCGACTGGTTCTTCGTCGGAGGACATCTCGGGCGGCGGCGGTTCAGTCCAAGGCGGCGGCGCTTCAGTCTGGGACGGCGGCGCTCCTGTCTGCGGCGGCGGCGCCCGAGTGTGCGGCGGCGGCGCCTAAGTCTGGGGCGGTGCGGCGGGCGGCGGGCGGCTGGTCTCTGTTCGGGGTTGGGGTGGAGGAAGAAGAAGAAGGGAGGAGGAGGTTGGGTCTGGTTCGGGGTTGGGGGGAGGAAGAAGAAGGGAGAATATGTGTGCTGTGGGGAGGGGATAAGGTGAGAGGGGGATAAGGTGGGTCGTCCGAATTTTAAAAAAAATTAGTCCGGGGCGCTCCCGCCTGAGTCTCGGGCGCCAACGCCTCAGACTAATTAAAAAAATTTGTCTGAAGCGGGGCCGCTTGAGACTGGGGCGCCAGCGCCCAGGACTGGGTAAAAATTTAGTCCCGCCTGAGTCTCAGGTGGTCCCGCCCCAATCCTTACTAAAAACCACAATATCTTTGTCAATAGTTTTTAATTGGTCAGGTAAATTAAAAAAAAAAAACAGTATTTCTGTCATTAATCCTCCGCTTCTCCGGAAAAGGAAGTTGGGATAAAAAAATCTCCGAAGCGGGAGAAGAAAGGAGGGTGCGGGAAAACAAGCGAGTGAAACTGCGAGAGAAGAGGGAATTAATTAATTCTTAAAACCAAAATTGCATTTCTTCTTCCTTCGTTTCCCCTTCCCAATTCCACCAGCAGCGTTCCCCCGCCCTCCCTCCATTTGTGCTTCCGCTTCTGCTTCCGTTTCCCTTCCCCCTTCCGCCTCCGTCCCTCGTCCTAACGGCGGTGGCTGCTCTCCCTCGCGTCTCCGCCGTCACTGCTCCGAATCTCCCTCATCATGTCGCTTCTTCTGTTCCCCGGTGAGCCTCTCAACCTCTCTCTCGTCCATCAATTGATTTGTTCGTTCTGAATCCGCGGCCGCGCTCTTCGTTTGTTTCTACCGTTGTGTTTACGAGATTGCGATCCAATTCTCGAGCCTTTTTTGGCAGGAAACGAGTCTGTATTTGTTTGGCTCATTCTTCCGCCGTAATTCGCTATTTGCGTACGATGACTGTAATATGAATGATTGATCTCATCAGCAGAAATGAACGGATGAGTGTGAAGTAGGTCATTCGTGTTTTGGATTTTGTGCTTTGCGTACTGACGGATGTAATTGATTTGAATCGTCCTCATCATCTGTATCGCTGAGTTTTACTCGCTTTGCTGGTTTATGGTGGTTAGGATTCTGTTTCCTGCTTTTTTGTAGAACGACTGTATTCGTTAGTTCAATCACCGTCATATTGTTTCCCGGTCCGTTGTTCGTTCAATTAACTTGGGACACAGGCATTTCTGTGGATCCAGTGATTGGTGGATGATGCGTTTCGGAAATGTTATTGAATCGATATTGGATTCATTATGCTTCCCTCATGGTTAATATCTTTGGATGTGGTTCATGGTTGATCGAGTTGAGGAAGGATGTCAAAGTTCATTCTAGTTAGGTAGTTTGACATAGTTTTTTTTTTTTTTTTTTAAGTCGAGCTTCTTCAGTGTAGTTTGTGATACTTCTGATAAGCATTTAACATGTTTGATTTGATTAGCCAGGATTGCCGCATGGATTGTCCAACAGCATTGCAGTTTCTCCAGATCTATTTCATAGCTGCAACCATTCCAACCTGATAACTACAAGAGTAAATTTCGGCAAGCTACTTTGATCATGGTTATGTCCGGTACAAAGATTTCTAGTTGTTTATTGCTGGCATTCAAGCATGGTGTCTGCTTGAGAGAAAAGCTCTCTGCCGCCGCCATCTCTGCTGCTGGCTCTGAATTGTACAGCTTCTTCTCTTTGACCTTCTTCAACGTTTTCTGATCTCGAGCTAGCTCTGTACATATAGAGAGATATGGCAGTTGCAACTTTGAAAGGACACTTTCCAGCAAGTGAGTATGGTGGAAGTAAACTAATTGAAGCGAGAAAACCTTCTCCAAGGAGACGGCGTGTATTCGTACAAACTGAAACAGGATTTGTTTTGGGAATTGAACTAGATGGGAGTGACAACGCCCACACTGTGAAGAGGAAGTTACAGCTTGCCCTTAACGTCCCAACCGAGGAGAGATCTTTGATATTTGGCGATGTAATACTGAAAAATGATCTGAGTGAAGTTAGAAACTGTTCTCCACTTCTCCTCACAAGGAACTTCATGCACAGAAGCTCATCGACTCCATGTCTTTCGCCACGTGCAAAGGATCATCTTCAGCAGAGTGACAAGAGCAGCCCAGTTGAGATACTTGGATTTTCAGATCACTTTGCTGTAGTAAAGCCGCTAGTGAGGGAAATCACAAAAGCAATGAGAAACGGTGTCGATCCAACCCCCACTCATGGCGGCCTTGGAGGTGCATACTATTTCAAAAATTGCCAATATGAGAATATGGCCATTGTGAAACCCACAGATGAAGAACCTTATGCCCCCAACAACCCAAAAGGGTTTGTTGGGAAAGCCCTCGGTCAGCCGGGCCTGAAACGTTCAGTTCGGGTTGGTGAAACGGGGTTCAGAGAAGTGGCAGCTTACCTTCTCGATCGTGATCACTTTGCCAATGTGCCTCCCACAGTCCTTGTAAAGGTGACGCATTCTATTTTCAACATCAACGATGGAATGAATCAGGGCAAGCAACCTCGACACCCGAAGAAGCAGGTTAGCAAGATTGCATCGCTTCAGAAGTACATACCTCATGATTTTGATGCCAGTGACCATGGGACTTCGAGTTTCCCGGTTGCTGCTGTGCATAGGATAGGAATCTTAGACGTGAGAATCTTGAATACCGACAGGCATGCAGGGAATCTTCTGGTTAGGAAGCTGGATGGGATTGGAAGGTTTGGACAAGTTGACCTTGTCCCCATTGATCATGGACTATGCCTTCCAGAAGACTTGGAGAACCCATATTTCGAGTGGATAAACTGGCCACAAGCTTCATTACCATTCTCCGACGACGAGCTCGAGTACATAAACAGTCTCGACCCTTGTCGAGATGCTGACATGTTGAGGAGGGAGCTGCCGATGATTAGAGAGGCGTGCCTCAGGATTCTAGTCGTTTGCACAATTTTCCTGAAGCAAGCCGCAGGTTTCGGTCTGTGCCTGGGGGAGATTGGAGAAATGATGAGTAGGGAGTTCTGCGGTCCGGAAGAGGAACCTAGTGAGTTTGAGCTCATATGCATGGAGGCAAGAAGTCGAGTAGAAGAGTCAAGATCATCATCCCCTTCTTCTGACGTGAAGAATGCAGGAGATAGTAACGAGGAGTTCCAATTTGACATTGACTGTGAGGCCAAACTAGATGGGCCCCCGTTAAAAATGTTGGATAAAGATTCAAGAACGGTTTCATTTGGGTGCAGGAACGTCCGGAACCTACTTTCCAAGCTAGAGGAGAGTCTTGAAGAGGGAGAGGAGGATGGGCTAACTACTACTGCAGTTGTAGATATTAATACTGACCCCGATGCTGGTGAAATCGCAGCCATGACTACGACCTTGGCTAAAAGGTCGATGTTGTTAAAGAACATGAGTCTAGGTGAGAAGAGCTGGAGGCGCGAGATTGCAATGGAGAAACTCGGGTGTATGGCTGGGGTATCGTCTGGGAACAGGAGTGTCAATGAACAGCTTCCTTCGAGCTGCAGCTTTGTGAAGCTTTCTGAGCTGAGTGAAGGGGAGTGGACACAGTTTCTCGACATTTTCCAGAAGTTGCTGTACCCTGCTTTTGAAAACCGTGAACCAGCAGGAAAGCAGGGTCCGAGAAACCACAGACAGAGGTTAGGAACCTCGTGCCAGTTTTGACCCAGCTTCGGAATATGCAGCTTGGCAGTATCTCCAAGCCTTTGAGCTGGAAGTATATCACAAGCTGCTGAGGTGAGAACTACTTTTTTGTTCCTCCCTGTGTAATATCAAATATGCATTTTTTTACCTTCTTTTTGTCTTTCCCCTTTTTTACTATTTCCCCACTCTCTGGTTCTGCTTTTTGCTTAGACTGCTACAAATCTGCTATTCTAGGCATTTGATTGTAATAAAAGTGGAAAACACAGGAACTAATAAGACATAATGTATAGAAAGGTTCCTGATGTTTTTTTTCTTTTGCTGCAAATGAGTAAATAATCCTTGTAAGGGATGATCAATTTGCAGCAGCTTAGATGTTACTGATTGTAGTAATAAATGGAAAAAAAAACACACGAACTGTCGCGTTCGTTGTGTTCTGCTCCTTCTGGAGGATACCATTATTATATTTCCTTGATGATGCCTTGCCGTGTGCTGTTGTTAAGAGTAGCAATGAAGTATGGCAATTTGGTTACAGTAGGAAAATCAGTCTTAATCGTTGTGTTAGAGAGATTCCACCTAAAGAGATTTCCTGAGTCCTTGTTCCTTGATGAACAAGTATCGATGTTCATATGAACCAATTTGTTGGATGTGATCTATTCCAGCAACCAACAAATTGTAGGGCTGAAAGAAAGGAATCAGTTAGCAAAAATGGAGTTGAGGGTATAGTATATACTTTATCTGGTCTCAGTTAGGAACTAAATAAGTGAGACCTTGAAATAGCACAAAAAATTGGGCAAGCCAGAAAAGAAGTGGAAGAAGAAAAGGAGAGAGCCACACAAAAAAAAAAAAAAAAAAACAAAAAAACCCCTAGGAAAAAGTTAAGATTATGGATCACCCTCTTTCATGCTGGCTATTCTACTCAATTCTATATGTTGACTCTGTATCCTGCTTAGAACTCTGGAGAAACTTGCTTGTGTGGACATGGTATCTTGCCTGACATGGCGACGCTGTCCTATCTTCAATATACCCTGTGAAACTTCACCTATTGTTGGCCGCTTTCTTTGAAATTTATGCAAGCATCTGTGACCAATTTTTGCTAGCTCCCTCACTTCTTGAATCTCGCATTTACCCACCAGTTTCTCGTCGATTATTTCATCGACCCCATCTGAACTCATTCCAGCCTTGGGAGACAAGAAAATATAAACAGCATAGAATTTAGGGTGTTGGCCATATAGCTTCAGGGGAATCCATAAGAAAGCTTTTTTAGCAGGACTTACAAGATTGATGTATTCCATAAGGTTCTGATGGGGATGGATGCCGGTAATAAGTTCAAAGATGATAACGCCAAAACTGTAGATGTCGCTCTTCGTAGTGAACCGGTTTGTTGCTATGTACACCGGGTCAATGTAGCCATAAGTTCCCTTGAGACCGGAGTTACGTTCGTCAAATGCATCTTCCTTGGACAGACCGAAATCAGCCACCTAAAATTCACAAGTACATAGCAATAGGCAGAAATCACCGGGTAACAGATACAAGCCACAGCGACTAGCCACTCTTCTTAATCTCTGAAACTTAGGTTGTAGAGGACTTTGCTTACCTTAGCTCTCATTGATAGGTCCAACAATATGTTAGCAGACTTCAAATCGCGGTGTATGACAGCTGGGACCGCCTGTTTTGAAAGGAGGGATCAATGAGACCACAAGTTCCTTCATTGAACAATAGTGAGATGATGAAGTTTACCCCTTCATGAAGATACTCAATGCCATGTGAAATATCCAGCGCGATTTGGACCCTGTCTTCCCAGCTCAGAATGATTGCATCATTATCTGCGAAGCAGTTAAGTCAAGTGAACAACAGTGTAACGAGTGCGAGAATCTGACTTGAAGCCGCAATCCTCTTTGTATGGCTTCTATTTGAAGCATAGTTTGCCCTTACTGTATAGAAGGTTTGCCAGGCTGCCATTACTCATGAACTCATAGATCAGCATTCGTTGCCCCCTATCTACACAGTATCCAATCAGATTCACTAGATTTCGGTGATGCAGCCTCCCAAGAAGACAAACCTGCAAGCAAGATAACCAAGCTCAATAACTCATGGCTAAGCACAAGATTTTCCGAAGCACGAGGTAAATTGCTATCTTAAGACTTCTAGTTTACGAGTTCGTTTTAGTAGGGGTCGTGTTTGGGAGAGTGATATTGACGAAAAGTAACGAGCAAATTTACAGATACACTGCGAATCAAGCACATTCGCCTACCTCTGTCTGGAACTCCTTCTCCCCCTGCCTGGAATCCGAGGCAAGCACTTTCACAGCATAAGTGTCTCCAGAATTCAGGACCGCCTTATACACCACCCCGAACGAACCCTGCCCCACTGTCGTCGTGAAATTCTGCGTCGCTTTCTGGATATCCCTGCAACGAAGAAACAACATTCATCATCGAAATCATAGCAGTCTCCATCTCCCTCTGCTGAGAGAGTGCGATAAGACATTGCAAAGAGAGACACTCACTTGTAAGAGTATCGAAGCACCCCAGAAGCCGATACGAAATGGTCTTTGCTGGGCCGACCCCACCAAGACGAATGAGGGCTAGGAACCTTGTGAGCAAGCTGGGGCTCGCGTATCGTTATCGAGGCGCTGAAATCAGTCGACGCGTCCACGCCATTGATTCGTATGGGCGCAGACGAAGTCGGACTCCGCTGCTCGTTGGCTAAACTTCGGCCACGAAGGTCAGCCCGCTTCTTCTGCCACCTCACGAGGACGAACAGAAGCACTGCTATAACTACACCAAGCCCCAAACCTACAGACACTCCAATAGCAATCAAGTCCCCTTTAGATACCATTCTTTGTTGAGCTACGGCTGCTCAGTAACCACATCTTGGGACTTGATTCTGAAGAAGAAAGCAGCTACTCGAATCTACTCCTGTAATCAACCCAAGAAGATGATCAGATCAAAGCGAGAGCTTAAACTCTTCTTCTTCTTGGGATGATCGCCACAGCTCCGCAAGATCTACATCTACTAATTCAAGTGGAAACCTAGAATCCTAATTCAAGTGGGTTTCCAATTTCATTATGATGACGCAGATGGTTGGGTGGAAAAGTAAACACCTAATTCAGGAATCGTATTGATGATGGGTCGTCTCTGTAAAAACTAATGGAAACCCAGAAACCAGAAGTGGTAATTGCCAAGTGGGTCTCTCAAAAAAAAGCTGAGAGAGAGAGAGAGCCGGCGATCCATACCTGAGAGAACCGGCGATCAGTGTTGTTGTGGCGGGGACGATTCGTTATCTCGCCATCTGGTCTGCGAGTTGGGTTTTTTTTTTCTGAAACGGTCAAGATTGGAAGGCGAAAGGGAGAATTGAAGAAGAAGGAGACTGGAAAAGGATTGAAACAGAAGAGACGAAAACAAATAAAAGGCGGGCGGGCGGGCGGGCGCGCGCTATGAGATATCCGACCGAGGAGCGACGGCGACAGGGACGACTGACTGGCGACGATTGGCGAATGTTTAGGGAGTGGAAATATAATAAACGGTGAAATTTTATTTAATTAAATTAAAACGGGAAATCATTTCAGTCACTTCCTCGCCGGTGGGCTTTCGCTGGCAAAAGGCCCGTGGGCCGTGGCTGGCTATAATTACAAACCGGTATCACGATCCATCGAAAATCAGGAAAGTTAATCTGCTAACTTGAAGATTTGTTAGCAGATACTAACTGATATCCAAAATATATGAACTAGTATCCAATTACTAAAGTATCTAGAAAACACATACTAGTATTCAATGTTTGCTAACTTATATCCACCATGAATCAACTATTATCTCAAATTCACAAACTAATATCTAGACAACACAGAATAGTATTCATACAACAAATAATTAGTATTCAGATAACACATAAGAGTATCCATATTGAATACTAGTTGGTTGATTGTGGATATTAGTTGGTATATGTTATCTGGATACTAGTTTGTGATGTTTTGAATACTAGTATGTGCTATCTAGATATTTTAGTATAATCAGCATATTTGGATACTAGTTCATACATTTTGGATATTAGTTAGTATATACTAACAACTTATGTCGTTAGCAGAATAACTAGGCTGAAAGAAAAGGGGCATAATGGTGATTGGTGAAATATGAGCTTAGTTGAATTGATGATATTGCTACAAAGTTATTTTTTTGTCGACACGAGTGAGACGAATATCAAAAACAATATAAATGTAAATCAAATGAACTTGTTGTACCAAAACGCATTTGTAATGCCCAATATATACTTATTTTTCATGTCAAATTGAGGCCGTGTAAAACTTCACCGGCTGAGGTATAATCATTGTTCCACATCCAAAATGCATCCTTTCTTTCTTTGCAAATGTTGCCAATACGTACAATGATATTCAGAATACATTTCCACAGAAATTCTTTCGATAGGAAGCTTAAAGGACTTTCTCTTCAAACATATTTTCTTTTAGCAAACCTTGACCTTTAGTTGGAAAAATGGTTTGAAAAATAACAAACACACCCAATTTCTTCCTTAAAAAAATTTCTCGTTGGGAGAGACTAGAGAGGGAGGGAGGGGAGGTTAGGTTGGGTTTAATTATTCTCGCTGGCCATTTGTTTATCTCATCTTTTGCCAGAAGTAATTTCACTCCCCTGCAGTTCTGTCAAGCTGTTCCCAAGTCCTGCCACAAAACAGGATAACTCCTTGGAATTCCAAGGGTAAACTCAACCCATTTCCTCTTTCTCCTCAACAGACCTTGCAGCCTTCCTCCGTCGTTTCCATTTTCCAGTTCCCATTCCCAATCTCTTTCCTTGCCCACAATTTCTTCTCTCTTCATCTGCTCCAAAGATAGCTACTTTCGGTTCTGGGTTTTCCTTATCACGGTACGTTTGGTAGCCAAATGGATTTGCCAACTTTCTTTGCTAGGTGTTGGATTCGCTTCAATTTGTGTGGTCGAATGGAGTAATGGGTTTCTGTTGTTAGTTAAGCGATCGCTGTTAGCATCGTTTTGTATATGCAAAGTATTCGATGTTTCTGATGCATTAGCCTAGGAGGAATCGAGGATTTATTTGAGATTGAGAATTGAAAGTCGAAAGACACGAACTTGGAAGCTGGCTGGATTAGGGTTGTTGTTTCTATCACTAGACATGGATGAGATCGGAGGAGGGTCGTCTGAATCTGTGTCTGCAATGGCTAGTCCTAGATCTGTAATAACCTATGAGTATCGTGATGAAGGTTGTTGCCCCAGGCAAGCTTCACCGATTAGGATATGTGAGTCGAGGAATACTAGCCCCATGGGTCGTGTAGGGCTGAGGAATACAAGCCCTTCAAGGCAAAAAGTAGTGAAGACCAAACCTCGCGGTTTGGATGAAGAGACTGCTTCTACGTTTGGGAAATCTATTCATTGTGATGTTCAGATGGAGGACAACATATGGGCAATGTTGCCTGAGGATCTTTTGAATGAGATTCTAGCTAGAGTTCCCCCATTCATGATCTTTCGCCTCCGTTCGGTTTGCAAACGTTGGAATGCAATTCTTCAAGACAATAGCTTTCTTAAATTTCACTCCCAGGTGCCTTCTCATGGTCCTTGTCTTCTGACATTTTGGAAGAACTCTCAGACTCCACAGTGTTCTGTTTTCAGTCTGCCCTTGAAAACCTGGTATCGAGTTCCGTTCACATTTCTGCCACAGTGGGCATTTTGGTTGGTTGGTTCTTCTGGTGGGCTCGTTTGCTTCTCCGGACTGGATGGGTTAGCTTTCAAAACTCTGGTATGTAATCCACTGACTCAAACTTGGAGGACACTGCCTAGCATGCATTATAATCACCAAAGGCAGTTGATATTGGTTGTGGATCGTTCAGATAGGTCCTTCAAAGTTATAGCTACCAGTGATATCTTTGGTGATAAATCTTTGCCAACTGAAGTTTATGATTCAAAGCTGGACAGATGGTTGGTTCACCAGATAATGCCTGCAGTTAATCTATGCTCTTCAAAGATGGCCTATTGTGACTCTAGGTTGTATCTCGAGACTCTCTCTCCTCTCGGTTTGATGATGTATAGTCTTGACAAAGGTTATTGGGAGCATATTCCTGCTAAGTTTCCACGCTCTCTGTTGGACGGATACTTAGTGGCTGGCACTCAACAACGGTTGTTTTTGGTTGGAAGAATCGGCCTTTACAGCACTCTTCAGAGTATGAGAATTTGGGAGTTGGATCACACCAAAAACATGTGGGTAGAAATTAGTAGAATGCCACCAAAGTATTTCAGGGCACTGCTAAGGTTATCAGCTGAGAGATTTGAGTGCTTTGGTCAGGATAATTTGATTTGTTTCACATCATGGAACCAAGGGAAGGGTCTGTTGTATGATGTGGATAAGAAGGTTTGGTCGTGGATTGCTGGATGTGCTCTCCAGTCATATAACAGCCAGGTGTGCTTTTATGAGCCTAGATTTGATGCTTCAATATATTGAGGTGGGAATTTTTTATCTGCAGTTGTATACTCCTCACTGAATCGGTCATTATGATTTTCAAATTTTCGTCTTTGTTTGTGATCGACTTCACTTGAGCAAACTTCATATATTGCACTGCAGCACACCTAGTGATTGGATCAACATTGGTACAACCCTAGATGCTGATTAATTTATGCAAGAACATGATCCTGATGACATTTTTTTTAGCAGCATAGGTTCACTGTTTTTTTGTGTATGAATCAAGCACAGTTAAGTGCTCTGTACATTGATGAGTTCTGGGGTTGCGAGAAACTGTTTTGCTTTACATGGACGAACGATCATGTGCAGAGCCAAAATGTAAGCAGAATTATAGTAAAGTAACTATGACCATTGCTGTATGTGTAGTGTCTTCTCAATATTCTGACTTCCTACAGTCTGAATGATGCCTTCACTGGTTTACTTTCATGCTTTTAGTTTCTTGCGAATTGCAATTAGTTGTTTTTAGTTTTGGACCCCTTTTGGCATCCTATGTCAGGCTGGATTGTTGGGGTTTCCCCTTTCTTGCAGAACAAGAGTTGTCTTTCAAAGGTGCCATCTAGGTTTCACGCATATTGCTCTTCTGGTTAGAAATTTTAATGCTCCCCTTCATCCTTACAACATCAGGTCACTCATGGCCGAGTCATGTTGTGCATGCATTTCTCAGGATACTGGGGTTACTATCCCCAGTTTGTTTCTAGCTTTTGCATTTGTGGTTCTCGACTCACTATTAGTGCTGATCATCATCATAGATGAACAAGGTTACATTTGCTATTCACTTACGACTGGTAAGGCAATCCGATTGCTGACCATCATCATAGAATAACAGTTTACCGCGCTTGCTCATCATGTTTATACTGCAAGAAGAAGAACAATGTTTGATGGTTTACTTGCTCCACAAGCAAGGTGAACACTTCATGATTGATAACGTTTAAACATGTACTGCTGAAACACATGTTGGGAAGCAGAGTATTGGGAATAGATCGATCTGACTTTCTTGATTTGCTTATGAAATGAACTAGGTGTCTTGTATGTACACTAACAAGCTTAACACTTCCATTCCATATAATAACTGATACTGCACTAAGTAGGTTTTATCAACCGCCAAACCGAATTTTATGGGCAGAGGAGAAATGTTTAGCTGCTGCCACCATTTCTGCCTCTGGCCTGAATGCTCGGCCGGTGGTTGCCTTGCTCGAGTACTTGTAAACTTCCTCTACTACTTCGGCATCCCCAGCTACTGCAGCAGGTTTCTTGGCCCATAGCAACAACTTCCGTAGAATGGCTGCTGCAGCCTTGGGCCACTTCCACCTCATCCCTCCCTTCCCCTTCCCCATGGTACTGCTTCCAAGTTTTAAGCTAGAAGAACCCAGGATTGTTGATGAATTTGGACTCATCACTTGTAGGACTACTGCTGCGAATTCAGACTTCTGACGTCGTAATTCGTATGAATATCGATCTCTCTTGATTGCTAGTTATTATATGTTGAAACTGGCTTGGCGAATGTATAGGCTATGGTGAGTTGGTTTTTATATATCGCTGAAGTTACTTGCTCCCCAAGCTCACAGTGCAGGACCTTGGACTTGTGTTGGTATCTGTTTGCTCCAAACGCGGCTGACCTCTTTGACAAGAAAAGACACAGAAAACAAAAGACTTGGAAAGTTGAAAGCTAGAGACTGGCTTCGTGGCGGCTCCTTCAGAGGAAACTTCCAACGTTGAGTAAGTTGGAACCGGCGGCATGTTTTGCCGGTGAGCAAATCAACGAGTTGAGCGGAGGAGACATGTTGAATCGAGATAAAATTCTCCTCAACTCGATCACGAACAAAGTGATAGTTCGTTGTTGTTGGCGCGTAGGGGTGTTTTATCAATATAACCTTGCTTTCATCACTTCAAAATTGGATAAAAATACTTATCAAACACGATCAACCGGCAGGCACTTCAAGGTCACAACTCACAACAACTATGCTAGGGCGCTTCAAAGCCACGACACCTAAACTTGCAATTTGAGATCACGATGCTCTCATCCAGTTGCCACAACTATGCTAGGGCGCTTCAAAGCCACGACACCTAAACCTGCAATTTGAGATCACGATGCTCTCATCCAGTTGCCACGCTGGTACGGGAAAAAAAATCTCTCCCTGATATTTTTAGTTACTAACTTGAGCGTTGGAGGGATCCACAGTGAAAATTCCGCCAAGGGGAGTTTTTGAAAGTACCAAGGAAGAACCCACGTGGAGGCGAAACAAATCGTTGGTTTGTGAGGGGACACTTTTAATGAATGACTGAGTCTCTGAGAGTTACGTTATTATATGACGTCTAACAGAGTCGCATTTCTATTTGATTTTTGTTAGTTTGCTAGATTAGAGAACACTCTCAGTCTCTCACACACTATAAGAACTGTGAAAAAAAATGAAAAACTCAAATTATATTTGAGACATGTGTCACCTAGATTACCATATATGCAACACATAATACAAGGAAGTGAATGAGGAAGGCATACATCAGTCGACAAGAACTTATGTTAGACGAGTTCAACTGTTCCAACACCAACAACTTTATGCTCAACCTTAGTAAATTTACAAGCAACAATTATCCAAGTAAGGTGGTGGTAATGAAGTCCATCATCCCTGTAGATAGAAATAAGTTGCAAGACGATTGTAAAAAATAAGAGGAAAGAGCCATAGACTCATAGGAGTATTTACTAACTATGATAGGAGCCATATTACAACTCAATTTGACCTTTTTGCGTTTTTTTACATCCAATTTCAGTGACAACGGTTCATGGGCAATGGACCGGGCCGTCCACATACTAGCACGACACAAGCACGGACACGTAATATATGGGCCGGGCCGATACGAAAAATTTATGTGCCGTGCCGGGTCTAAACTTCACGGGCACGAGCATGAGCACAGGCACGACACGGTATGTAAATGGGCCATATCGGGCCTAATATTTTCGAGACCCTATTGAGTATAAGAACGAACATGGCACGAAAAGAATATTTATTTGATATAAAATAAATATAAAAAGGATTATAGGTCCAAATCTTAAAAAATACAAGTACAATAAAAATTATTTACTGTTGTTAGAAGTGATCATAATTATATACGTAATTACTACCATATAGGGATGACAAAAATATCTGTAACCGTGGATATCCACCCGAATCCGACCTAATCGGGTAGGGTAAAACCCGAACCCGAAGGACTTTTTGTGGGTACAGGTAAAACCTGAATCCGAATATTGCGGGTAATGGATGAGCATGGATTTCTCACTATCCAACCTGAACCCACCCGATTATACACATGTATGTATTTTGTATATAAATAATCATTATTTTTCTCTAATATATTTTATATTTAGCATATAAATATAATATTTTTATGAAATTGTGTTGTTTTGATTAATTTTCTTCATTCTAGTGAATTATTGTTGTACTTTTGCTCTTATGTAATGTGAAAATACGTGTGAATGTTAACATATTGGTTGGAGTTATAAAAAGCAATTAGTACCCATGGATAACCGTGGATACCCAAAACCCAAACGGGTATGGACATGGTTTTGATTTTCTGCCCATTTCTTATGTGGGCATGGGTATGTGCAAAACCCGAACTACTTTGGGTAGGGTAATGGATATGCACTATCCGCGCCCGACTCGACCCATTGTCATCCCTACTACCATAAGTAAAAATAGACGAAATATTAAACAAAATCAAATCACACCCGCTATACTTTCAATTTTCTTTCCCCACTTATTTGTTACATTTCTTACATCATTCTCCGTCCAATTTGTTCCTTCTTTTTCATTCTCTCTTTTATTTTTTCCTTTTCATTAAACACAAATATAAACACGACACGAGCACGAATAAGCACGAAACGATTCAAACCGTGCCCGAATTTGGGTCGGGTCTAGTGAACTGACACGATATGACACGAGAACTGACGGGCCGTGCCGAGAACGACATGAAATAAACGGACCAGAAGCGTACCGTGCCGTGCCGGCCCAAGCACGACCCTCTATTTACAGGTCCAAAATGGAATAAACGGACTACTTCAGTGATCACCTGTATAATTTACCCCATCTGGGAGCGTGGTGGGAACGCAGGAAAAAGGTGAGAGTGGGTGGAACAGAAGGCTGCAGAATCTTTAATGACAACAATGGCATGTCTGATCTTTCTTTCTCTCACTAGAAACCCACCACGACCCAAACACTACAAACGGGCCGAGAGAGACTGCAGCAACAAAATTATTACCCCCACAGACTCTCTCGCTCTCTCTACTCTTGACTTCTATTTCTCCTTCCTCCTTCCCTTTTCCCTTTCCGGTTCCCGGGGGAAAGAAAAACCGAACAACTCGGGGGAAAGTTCTGGTCTTTGGCGGGGGATGAAGGGAGAAGCGAATAGCTACAGTAAGGTAGTGGTAATGAAGTCCAAGCTCAAATGGGTTGGATTAGTTGGACTCATACTCTCAGCTCTCTCTCTCTTTCTCCATTTCACTCTCGCCAGATTCTCAGACCCAGGCGTCTCCGATTACTACTACCAGTCCTCTTCTTCCATCACCATTTTCTCTTGGCGCCCTGTTTTTGAGCTTCCCCTGTTCCTCAAAACTGTAATTCACTTTTTAGATCTGCTTTATACTAACTTTTGGGTGGAATGATGGGTGCGATTTTTTGGATCATTGATTATTATTTATTAGTTAGCTTGGATAACGAAAAGGGCTTGCTTTATGGTTTTCCTCTGTAATGGTGCAGGGCCCATCTTACAGAAGGCTCTGGGGTCCAGTCAGGAAGCTTGAATCTTTGCATCCCTTTGTCAATCCAAGAGGACCATATTCAGGTTAGCTTTCGCTTTCGATCAAGTATTAAATCAGCATGGTTTTTTGATTTGTTGGAAAATTAGGATTTACTCAATGGTCCACTGCAATGGCATTGCCTGTGTTCAAGTTCTGATCACAAATGTTGTAGTTGAAGAGTGATCTGAATTTGAATTTTGGATTTTGAACGTCTTTCTTTTGGTAAAAAACTTGATGGGAAGTTTTTGTTTCCCTGTGAAGTTTGTGCATTTTTACTTAACTTGTCTGTTTCTGTACATTTAAAGTTGAGATTTTGATTCCTGCTGTAAATGTGTGTACAAAAGTTCCCAGATCAGAATCAAGTGGGTATATCTTCGTGAGGATACAAGGTGGTTTCCATGACATCAGGAGTTCGGTGAGGATAATACCACTTCATGTCTATCTTCTAAATCTCGTTTTCTACAGTCGTTTATGAGATATCTAACATAATGTCGTTTGTTTTTAGATATCGGATGTAGTTGTCGTTGCTCGGATTTTGAATGCAACGTTAGTTATTCCAGAGATTCAGTCAACCACAAGCAGCAAAGGGATCAGGTGAGTTGATTTCGAACTGGTAGTAAGAGTTGTGAAAGTTGACCTTGTTGATGGTTAGGACTTAATTAACTGACATGTAATCTTTGTTTCAGCTCAGAGTTTAAGAGTTTTGCGTATGTGTACAACGAGGACCAGTTCACGGCAGCGTTAGTAAAAGATGTGAAAGTTGTAAAAACCCTTCCGAAGAGTCTCAAAAGCGCCAGGAGGAAGAAGGAGATCCCGTCATTCAGAGTGCCTCGATCTGCTTCTCCATATTACTACTTGCACCATGTCCTCCCAGTGCTCAATAAGCATTCAGTGGCTGAACTTGTTGTATCTGATGGTGGATGCTTGCAGGTCAGTGACCTGCTGTTAGTTCTACTTCTACATTAATATTAATTTTGTTCTGTTTTTTATTCGAACAAAATGATAAGTTAGATGGTGGTGAGTTGAAATCTGTTTTCCTAGTTTGAAGTAGTGGTTTCGGCTGAATCTAGTTTTGTCTTCTTTTCATAGGCTATCCTTCCTCCCCATCTCGAAGAATATCAGAGGCTGAGATGCCGAGTAGCTTTCCACGCCTTGGTGTTCCGACAGGAGGTTCAGGAGCTTGCAACTAAAATTGTGCACAGGTCGGTACAGGATCCACGACATATTATTCTTCACAGTTTGGTGCTTGTTTTATGATATTGTTCTATAGGCACACATATAGAAAAATTAAAAGATTCTTTTGATACCCTTGATCATACAGATTGCGAGCTCCCGGGAGACCATTTATTGCTTATGATCCTGGGATGACTAGAGAAGCTTTGGCATACTATGGTTGTGCTGAACTCTTCCAGGTACCTTGAAAATAGAACATCACTCATCTGTTGAACTTAGACCTTATTATAGAAAGAAGTACCGACCTTGAATCTGCTTTTGTCTTGGAGCTCTATCCAAGGATGTGCACAGTGAACTCATTCAACACAAGCGAGCATGGATGAGAAGACGTGGAATTGTCAAGGGGAAACTTTCGGTTAACTCCGAGGAACAACGCCTTAATGGCTCATGTCCATTAATGCCAGAAGAGGTTCGGGGCTATGGGCATTCTCTAGTCAATGAATTACAAGGAAATGACAAGCAGGAATCTGACTAATTCATTTTTTCTGCAGGTTGGTATTCTTCTTCGTGCATATGGCTATCCATGGGACACCATTATCTACGTGTCAGGAGGGGAAGTATTTGGCGGCCAAAGGACACTGACTCCTCTCCATGCAATGTTTGAAAATGTGGTGGACAGGACTTCACTGACCGCATCATCGGAGCTAACTAGGATTTACGGGCGAGAGGTCAACCTCGATAGCCAATTTCCGAGGACACCGCCTTCTATTGTGCAAGTAAAGAAGGCTGAGGTTTGGAGAAGAGCAGGCCCACGTCCTCGTCCTCTTCCACCTCCTCCTGCCCGGCCTAAATACCCACATAACATCGAAGGTTGGTGGGGATGGGTGGCTGAGAGCGACAATGAACCAGAGAGCTCGGTTATGGAGTTGAGGACCAATGCACATAAACTACTATGGGAGGCAATAGACTACATGGTTTCTGTTGAAGCTGATGTCTTTATCTCTGGATTTGATCGTGATGGGAAAGGGCGTCCAAACTTTGCCAGCTTGGTCATGGGCCACAGGCTGTACCTTTCGGCTGCCTCCAAAACCTTCCGTCCAGTCAGGTAAATGAATGAACATGGTCAATCTTGCTAAAAAAGTAAATTCTTAGTTTAGAAGAAACAAAGAAAAATGTTAAGAAGTTTGTTTGTTTCAGCATTTTAAGTCACTTCTTTTTATAGTTTAAATAGAACCTATATCTTTCACACCCTATTCATTTCTCTTTTGTTCACACGCTTCCGTTTCATGAGAACTACAGGAAAGAAGTTGTGAGGCTTCTGGAAGGGAATCATGAGCACCTGTACGAAGCAAACAACACGTGGCTGAAATCAGTTCGCCAGCATTTCAGGAAGAGCTTGTTTGATGGTGCTATGAATGCGTCGGTAGCCTCGAAACCTTCGTCATTCCTCTCGCATCCTGTCCCTGAGTGTTCTTGCGTTGGAAGTGGCAATACTGAAGAAGCATCGGCTGCATCCCATGATGCATCAAGCCCTTCAACACTAGCTTCACACGCTCAGTCTGCTGCTGCTGCCGCCTTGGGTGTCAAGGAACGTTGCCCAAAGTGGATGGATGATGATACTGAGACGAGCTCGAGATTGAAGGACAAGGAAAATGGCGAGGATGATGAGGTTGACAATGACGATGGTGATGTTCCATCATCTTTTGGCATGTTTTTCGAACGGAGTAATGAGAGCGGAGGCGGAGAAGTGAACAAAGAAGAAGCTGCGCAGTTGGAGGATCAAGAAGAGTCCGAGTCCGCAGAGTAACCAGCTGGGGAAGTAGATGTTTTAACTTTTAACTGAACTAACAGTAGCTGACCATGAGAGTATGTACAAAATATTTTTGGCTTTCTGTACATTCTTTTGTCAGAGGGTGAGCAGTTTTTTTCCCCAGTGTGTGCACAATCAATCACTGTTATGTAATCAGTCTAGCCTCAAACATTTGGCTGATTGAGGTCTAGTTTTGTGTCTCGAGCGAGTCTAGCCTGTTTTCTTTGTTACCCTCTTATGTTCACTAGCAGCTTGATTATCCTGAACAACTTGCCCTGCGGGACTATAAACTTTGCCAGTGTCTCCAAAGAGGTCATATAGAATTTGATGGAGTTGTAAAATAAGAACGTTTCTCAGTTTGGATGCATATTCTCTTCGATGAAATGTGATCTGTGAAACTTTACTGCAACTTAAATGATTTTAAATATAGTTATGGAAACCATGGAGTAAATGGCATCCCATTGATCTTGATATTTAGATCACACTACATGGCGAATTTCATCAGACTAAAAAATTTCTAACAGATGTATTAAAACACATGACACTCACCCAAGCGAAACCTAAACAAAGTAACAATCACAAACATTATAACGGCCAATTCATAGATTCCAATAAGCTACTATTCGATCAAAAGGGCTTCTGAAGCCCTCAAGTAGTGAAGAAGAAGATGTAAAGATAGCCGCTTGTTTTCAGCTTTATACAAGCAGAAAATGCAGATTTGGGTACTGCAACAATTTATCAGCAAAATCTCTTGTGAGATGTGACTAGCAATTCTCATCACAGCCAAACCATCTGAAACCTAACACAATTTTATTGCTGTAGAATTGGTTTACAAATGGCAGAAGGAGAAAGAAAGCCTGGAAAATAACGAATTAAACGAGGCACGCTCCAAGGACGTCCCAGGAGCTAATACTGCTTGTTTGAGAAAAATTGTTTTCTGCCTTTGCAGCCTCGCAGTGGTTGAGAAACAAACTGCTGCCACAATAAATTTAGTAGCGGAGGAAGTAGGTTCTACGTCTGAACCAGTTGTAGTCGCGCAAGCCTTGAATGGGACCCATCGCAGCAATTGCAACGTCCTGTGTCCATACAAGATCCAATAGTTGAAAATCCGTTGGAATGGAATGGGTTTTACCAGTTAAACTAAGAATAAAACACAAAGGACGGTTACCCGCAGTACATACCTTGTCATAAATAAATCTGTTTGCCACACGTTTAATGGTGCTTGCATCCACAGCATCGATTCTGGCGAATAACTCGGCAAATGGAATCCTGCGACCGTAAGTAAGCAGCTGCAACGATAGAAATCATGAGACTTTATCAGGGATCACCAACAAAAGCTGAGGCCTTATTTGCATACGAAAAACTTAAGCTAGAAAATAACAAAATTGTAGAAGTACGAAGGCCAATCGTGGAAACCCATATACAAAATGCATACACACTAGAAATGAAGAACCAAGGCAGCCTAGGGCATCATGAAAACTACACATCACGGTTGATTTGACTGCCAAGAATATGATACTTGGAAAATTCTAAACCAGATTGGATCATTTAATCCACCGGGAACCTTGTTAAGCTGGTGACTTGCAGTATGATTCTACTTCTGAGTTCTGAGCCACTAACTATTTTACAAATATGGTTTATAGATGTATCCTTGTAAAATGTGGTTTAGACTATCTAAGTGCTAATATATATGCTGACACAGCATAATTCATATTCAACATATAGGACAGGTATACCTGGCGCCCAATATCTTCTGCCACAGGACTAGTCCCATCAATATGGAGTAGCAAGGATGATTTCAACTGCAAGCAAATATAGTAGTCAGAAACAAGCACAATGGATATAGTCCAAAGCAGGAAGAATAGAGTACTTAGCTATTAAAATAGTGTCAAACAGATAGAAATGAATTGGTGCCCGGAACCTCAAAAAACAAGTACCCATGCAAATCCAGAAAGCAATGTTTATCGAGTCAATATTTGCACATTATAAACATGAAAATGAACAAGCTAATATACTAGTTAAGCAACTCATGGACTAATTAAAAGGCACAAATCAAGTCATAGACCTTGTTCCTGAAGCGGAAAACATTTACTAATAGTTAACTAAATCACATATTATACACCGTAACATCCAAATATAGAATACCAATTGTAAAATGACAATAGTGTAAGCTAAAGTCCATCTGAACACCAGCAATGGTAAATACCTGATTCCGAGCACGTGTGACATCATCTTCTGAAACTCGGAAGGACAGCTTCGCAATCTCGTACATTATTGCGTACGTTAAATCATCCAAATCCTCAGGCTGGAAAATAACAAAACTAAAATAAGTCGAATGAATCTAAACAACTATACATCAAAAGAGAAGCAACCCCTAGAACAGCTCCAGAACTATTCTACATCGATACTGCTACATTATAGAACCCTGCATTTTTACATATTTGGGTGATTAAAATCTTAGCAGTCATCTCAACGTCAAGAAAGCAAACAGTGACCCAAGGATGACACATGGAACAGGAGGGACTTTCATCTTCCCTCTTAAAAGCTAAATCTAATCTCACTACTTAAAGATAACATATAGATTCTCCATCAGAAGATTTTTATCTTCCCTCATCTAATTACAGTTTAAACAAGAAACTATGAGAAAAAGAACAGGAGTGATCTCACCTTAGCCACAGCATAAACACCAAACAGACCAGTGTCTTTGTAGTTGGTGTTGAAAGCCATCACACTTTCAGCAAGCTCATTTATGCCAACCCTCTGTGCCAGCTCCGATCTGTTTGCAAGTAACAATTTATATGATGGGCACTTGATCAAATACAACCATGCAAGTATATTAACATGAACACTATCCTTAAACAGCTAGTTAACAAAATATAAAGATTGCTATGAGGACAAACACTATCGCGAAAGTAGTAAAGAATTTTATCGGTATGATAACTCCAATTATAGCACTTACAGAAGTTATGGTAACCAGTACCTCAAAAGATTGCAGGCAATAGTTTTGTTAAACAACAGGTTTCTGAACATAAGACTCTATTCCCACACTATACAGCAGTTATAACCCATGGATGCTTACCCCATGTGCTTGCCGCCACCTGCACTTTTGTTCCATGAACCTAGCATAGATTGCATTACCATCAAGGCAATAGAATCTGGATCTGTCCATGATGCACCCTCAAAAGCAACCGCAAATTGTGCCAAAGGTTGGTCGTCATCGATGATCCTAACCTGGTTTTCAAAATAATAATTAGACGAAGTGACAAGCCATTGGCTGAAGAGACCACTTGAAGATGGATTACACACTTGCAACTAGTATCTTTCTACCTCAGAGCCAGTGAAAAATGCAGGTTCCTTTGACACCAACTGTGAAGCTGTAGTTGGATCAGACGATAAGTTGGTAAACAACTTCTTCACTTGATCAACTATTTCTTCATGTTTAACAGCACCAGAAGCAGCAATTACCTGGACAAGAAAATATTAAAAGTGAGTTCAGTTCTTCCAACAAAGCACAAAGCTTCCACCTTTCTGGTACTGCTGACTCTAGTATAGCAATAAATAATCAGAACAGCCATTTTTTTTTATATGTTTAATACCATTCGAGGAGCTGTGTAGTGTGTCTGGATGTAGCTCTGTAGATGATCCCTGGTAATTGTCTTGATATTTTGAGCAGGGCCAAGAATGGTGCGGCCCAAAGGGGTATACTGGAAAGCAGTTGCATGCAAGTGGTCAAAGATGACTTCTTCAGTCTGTCCTTCAACCTATAAGAGATTCAACAAAGCAGAATCTTTAAAGCTCAGGCACGGTAGACATCAAAAGCATAATAAGTATGACCCCAGGAAAGGAATGGGAGCCTAAATAACCCCAACCACGCCAATGGTGGAGCAAATTAAATGTCACAGCTTCATATGATAGGCTTCTTGCTTTGTAAAATAACATCCACTTTAATGAATTCATCAACTTAAAACAAACTTGTCAAATTCAGACAATTGAAAACCAAAACCGCACACAATACCCCTTAACCACAAAGGACATATCCCCTAAATCAGAGCTAGCAATCAAACACTAAAAACCAGGATATGCAAGCCAATTCCCATCTCGTAACGTATATTAATCTACTGTTGCATCAACCATCAACCATCTACATACAAAACAAGCCCAGAGAGCTTAATCTATTAAAAAAATCGAACCTTTAAGTTCCATCAGCCTAATTAACATGAAAAGCAAACAGCATTACCATCCCACAATAATACACGGAGCAAAAGCAACTAGCATACCTCTTCCATTTCTCTCAAAATCACATCTCGCTCCCTGGCGATCCGGTGCTCGTCAAACTTGGAATTCTGCAATATATCAGACAAGATATCCAACGCCTGATTCACATCTTTATCCATAACCTTGGCGTAATACGTAGTCTGCTCCCTGCTAGTGTAGGCATTCAAATGTCCCCCCATGTTCTCGATCTCCTCTTCCAGCTCCCTGGCGGACCTCCTCTCAGTCCCCTTGAATATCATATGCTCCAAAAAATGCGCGGTCCCGTTGGTATCGTCGGTCTCGAATCTGGACCCGGCATCAATCCACACCCCGACCGTCGCGGTCTTGGCGGAGAGAGACGACTCGGTGGCGACGCGGAGGCCATTGGAGAGCGTGGTGACCCGGGTTTCCGGTGCAGAGAGGATGTGGGTGTGGGTCCGCAGAACCGGGTGGGGCGACCCGTACTTGAGGAACCTGGGATCCGGATTCTCCAGCTGCTTGATCTTCGACTTCACTGACTCGGCGAGTCGATCGTAGATCATGGCGTTCGGCGGCGGCGGGGACGGGAGTGAGGAGGAGGAGTCGCGGGACTCGGCGAGCGCGGAGGAGGAAGAGGATCGGACGGCGGATAGAGCGGCGGGGGAAGGCCGCGGTCGGTGATGCGACCGCCGGGCGAGGGTTAGTATCTGCTTCGACGCCATGGCGAGGGTGATCGGACGTCTAGGGTTTGCGGTGGCGGAGTGATTGGGGATTGAATGCAAGGAAGAAAAAAGAATGGGAATTTGTTTGCGAGTAGAAAAGGTGGAAAAAAAGAGCAGAGGGAACACAGTAGCTGTAGGGAGAGAGAAGCAATTTTCTATCTCCGCGTACGACGTCGTTTTATGTGAGAGGCGATCCGCAACTGAGTTTCTAGATGAGCTAATTATAGGTGATTTCAGTTTCCCAGCTAGACAAGTCGCTACTGCTTCTTCTACTTATAGGTTCATAAACAAGAATTGCTGCATCGTATCGTATTATCGGTTCGAATTGTAATACATTGACGGATTACGGATTAAGCATTGGGATAATCGAACAATAAACAAACTAAAACAACTAAATTAGTAGTTTTTCTTCTTCAAAATGGACATGTTTCCCCGGGAAAACCAAATGCCACCGCCGGTGCTGAATTCGTTTCCGGCGATGTTGATTTGATGTTTCGTGGTGGAAACTCTTGCGGTGCCGTTTGATCGGAAGCACCGCTGATTGCTGAAATCGAGACGACCGTCAAATATCCGCCGCCGAATGTCGGCGCCGTTGATTTGATCGATACACCTCTAAATGGTGAAATCAACGTGACCGTCAAATATCCACCGCCGGGCGGTGTTGATTTGATCGATGCACCTCTGACTTCTAACCAACGCGACCGTTACTACGGTTCGCACCTCTCCAAACTACGTTCGAACGAGGGTGTTTGAGTTTTGAGGAATCTACGCTACCGCTACTCCTATGGAGATTCCTGTGGAGAGCTCCGCGACTACGACTACGACTACAACTATGGAGATCCTTCCTGGAAGGAGAGCTCCGCGAATGAGTTACAGAGAAAAGGTAAAGTTTTGACAGAGGTGTTTCTGTGTTGATTTGGTTGTCCCTTCTCTCTACTTGCTCCGCTGCTTTTATTTGAAATCACTTGCGTAGTCTTCACGCCCTGTGGAACTGCTTCCTCAACCGCTCTGTTGTGAACTCCCACGTGTCTCAACCGTCTTGATCTCCTCCTCGCTCGGGTTGGTGTGAATCTCACGCGATGTCGTTTTCTTTCCCAAACATCTCTGTTTGCTTTTTACTCCACGACATTGTTTTATATTAAACACTGTCGTTTGCTAATACAGCGGTACCGTTGGGCTTCCTCGCGGTACTGTTTTTAATTCCGCGGCATCGTTTTAGCTCTCCGCGGCACCGTTTTAACTCCACTCGGTGCCGCTTCTTCCAATCCAACAAGGAATAAAAATAATAATTAATTAGAGAAAACTCCTTCTCCAATACCCACCCGCGGCCCTCTTGTTTTTCGGTAAGCGGTGTCGTTTGCAGTACCGCGGCACCACTGAGCTTCCTTGCGGTACCGCGGCACCACTGAGCTTCCTTGCGGTACCGTTTTAGTTCTCCGCGACGCCGCTCGACTCCCAACGATACCGTTTTTTATGCGCGGTATCAACTTAAATGCCGAGACTAATTAATGCGACATTTAATTCTGGTCGAATTAATTTTAGGTGTCAACAGGACATCAGCTAAAATCTTCTGATAAGTGGAGAAAGGAAATGGCCGGAGGAAGTTTTTTGTTGGATTACTGCTGAAATTGATTTCAGACATTTCAAATTGTTGAAGGTTAAGCCGGAAATTCTTCAATTTGACCCAGGAAATCATGAAACAAGCCACTAAAAACCTCCATCTTACTCCTCGTCATCGCCAATCCAACCTCAACTCCGCCGCCGCCGTCGCGGCTCTCACACAGAGCCACCGACGGCGAACAGTCGACCTGAACAACCTCGCTCTTCCTCGGCTTCCCCCACCCGAAATCCGTCTCGTACACCTTCAATCTCGGCGACCCAGCAATCGCAATCAGCCGGCCTTCCTCCGACAGCTCCTTCCACTCCGGCGCCCACCTCTCCGCCCCTCTCAACAGCCCGCCGCCGCCGCTCTCCAGCTCCTCCACTTTCCTCCCAATCGCTTCCGCCGCCACGGCGAATCCGTGCTCCCCCACCGCATCGCTTTTCTTCATCGAAACGTAATAAATCCCCAGGCAATTCCCCAAGTACGAAGGGGGCAACCCGATCTGGAGCCGCTGCCGGCAATCGGCGACGAAGCTGAGGCGGTAGAGACCGTCGGGGCCGACCGACGAGTCTCCGACGGCCTGGGATTTTACGAGATTGGCCCAGATAAAAGCCGTGGTCACCACGAAAGCAGAGAGGCGAAACGGTGTCGGATTTTTCCTCCGAACCCAGAGCTTCATCCTCTCGATGTTCGTCCGGGTAATCACGAAGGTGGATCGGACTTTATCGGAGAGGTCTCGGTAATGGGTCGGACCCGAATCAAAATCCCACGACGATCCGAACTCGAACCACTGGTTCAATAGAACCGATTCCAGACCCGGGTAAGCTCCCCGGATCAATTCCCTGTCTCTCGCCGGCGATGGAACAGTAGGAGAAGTATTCTTCTTGTCTTCTTTCTCCCCTGAATTTAACGACCTAAACAGAGAAGCCCAGAATTTGACGAAGTGGTGGAAACCCATCCCGTCGGTGGCCACGTGGGCGAACTGGCAGCCGATGCAGACGCCTTTCCCCGGAAACAGAGTGATCTGAACGGCCAACAGCGGCACCAGTTTCGTGCCGTCCGGCTCCGTAGTTGAATCCGGCATCTCAGGGACGAAAGGGCGCAGCTCCCTGGCGTCTCTTGGATGGTCGTTGGTGATCATCTGGTCGAAGTCGCTGCCTGACTCTGCCACCGTGAGGGGAACAGAGTCTCCGTCTGAGTAGCGGAGGCAAGGGCGGTGAGGCGGCGCGGGGGAGATTAGGTGGCCGGCGAGAGGGAAGAAGTGGTGGAGGGCGGCGGAGAGGGAGGTCGTGAGGCGAGGGAGGATGGTTTGGGTGAATTGAAGAGTTGAGAGCGGGGGATCGTAGAAGAAGAGGCGCTGCATCGGGCGACAGAGCAGCCATGGGTAGTCGAGGAAAGTGAGCGGAAGGTTGGCGACGGCGGACGGTGGCGGGGAAGGAGAGACTTGGAAATGGTGGAGGAGTTTCAGGGATTGAGATTGATGACTGTTTTCCATTGTTCTGGCAAAATCGTACTCGTTTTTTCCTCCACTGGTTAATTCGTCCAAAACAGAGACTAGACTTTTAAAGCGCAACTTCATCCATTTGGCGGCTGTTCAGTCCTAAATAATATTATCCTGAAGCCTTGAACAGAAAGGCTTGCAGCCATCAAACTGAACAAGATCAGCCAAACAGATCTTAATCCAATATGAACTTTGCAGCCACTTACAACGACAACATCCTCTAGCACTCCAAAACATTCTTTACACAATATGTACAAATCACATACCACCCAATGAGCAGGAGAAAAAACGAGAGCAGACCCAGTAGAAAAGGCCACCCCACCAGCAACACACCCAGGAAGAGCACGAGCACGAACGGAAGGAATGATCTGACGACCGATTTCCAGTCGATCCAGTGGCCCTTGAACAGAATGAGGGCAGCCACGCGTAGCATGTTCCAGTCCATCGATCCAGCATAGCATGCCCTGTTCAAGCAGTTTGCAACGAAGGAAAGGCAATTGCATGTGAAGATGTTGTACGTCTTGGTCTCGTAGGTGGACATGCTTGCACGTAAGGCGTCGTCCCATGTAATTGCAGTCCCGTGCTCTGTGTGCATAAAGCCATGCCTGCATGTGTGGCCAGCACGGTTCCGTGGGAAGCAACACTGAAATTAAGAACAGATGGCCAGTAAGTAACATGGCCAGTAAGCTGAAACAAACAGCGTTGAGTGTGTAAAAGGAAAATGAGGGAGAGGAAAGAAGAACATGCCTGGTCTCTATCTAGTTGCAGGTATCTGGCAGCAGCACCATATGCAAAATTGTCAACACTCACAAAATTAGAACCTGAGAAGTCTAGAATAGCTCCATCCTCCCTGCAAATGCCGACATGTCCCATAAAAGGTGCCAACCATGAGACGACAGGGAATGGAGTCCAAACTAGACAACATGGAAATTTTGCTTTCTTTGGATCAATCTCATCAAGAGGCCATGACTCGTGCTCCATTCCAGATTTCAAACTCATATGCTCAACATCATAAGTTCCTTTTATATCCATTGGAGAAATATCTTTCTCAACGGGTGTTCCTCTTTTTCTTTCTATCGCTTACGAGCTATACACGAGACACGCAAGATCCACCATTGTGGTGATAAACATCCAATGGTCTCTCAAGCAGACACCCTCGGACCACAATGGACTTCCTGCAGTAAAAATCACATAAACAAGTTACTCAGGGAAACAAAAGCTGTTTGTTGCATCTCTTTTCCCATCAAGAATAGAGGGCATAATAGTAGTTTACAGGAAGAAAATAAGGGAAAACAAAAGTAAGGTCTACTAGCTACTCCATTTCTTCAAAAAAAAAAAAAAAAGCTACTCCATTTCTTACCAAACACAATGTCAGAAAATAGGAAGACAGAACAAGGAGAGATTTCCATGTAAAATAAGAGTTGATTATGAAGGGAGGAGAATGGATGCAATTTTGTCAAGTTGAGATGTTTTCATTCACCCAGCTGAGAACTTTACTCGAGTTACAAGCCCTCTTAACTCAAAGACAGATGGCCTGGAATGTTGTCCGAGTTCAGGCCAGTATTCGAGATCTAGGTTCAAGAGCTGAAACCTAATTCCAAGTGCCCAGAACTTCAAATGAGCTTTAATTGTTCCACTAATGCATTCAGTTCCAAAGAGAAAGGTTCTTTAAACAGCACCATCGCTAGCTACTCAACAAAATAGGAAGCCCAATAAACTACAGAATGAAATTAACTTGATCAAGAGGAGCAAATATATGCGTCTAAAAGAGACGATGCATCATGTTTGTCAGTTTGTGCTATAACTCGAGGCAAGAAAAGAATAGCCACAGGCTTTACCAATAAAACTGAACCGTTTGACTGCAAAAAGCATCGGACTTGGATAAAAACAACTAACTCAATATCCATGAGTCGTCAAGCACAAAAGAACAAGCTGATAACGTTCAGCTTCCTACAGACAACGACTGGAGAAAAACTGCAAACCACGGAAGCGGTTATCTGTTCTAGCGAAGGAAAGAGAAATGTCTAAAACCCAGAAAGCAATCGACAATATTCCGAGTGAGAAGCTGAAATTGATCAATAAACGACATCAAAAGCAGAGAACTAAAGAGAGCCAGAGGAAAGGACTAGAGTGATTTCGCAGAGAATTTAAGAGATCATCACCGACAAGTTACCTTTTCTCCTAACAACTGCGGTGGCAGTCGGACGCCGCCAAGGATGAGTGGGACGGAGCGAGTGGTTGAGCGGACGGTGGAGGTCGGAGAAGCTCGCGCCGGCAAGATGAAGGTGGATGGTCGCGAGTAGCTGCTGTGGAGTGACGGAGACAGCTATGGCCTGCGGGTTGGTGTAGGAGAGAGAGAGAAAGAGAGGTTGGTCGAAGCCTCGAAGTAGAAGAAGATCACACCGAAAGATGGCTTTGTTATCACTTTCCCAATCCATTTCTAGGATAACAACGTTCTATTTTTCCTTTTCTCAAAATACATTTGCTTTCCGGATACGATACGGCCAGCAGCCACTTTCTCCGAAAATACGTAATTGCCATTGTTGCATTTTGTGAACTTGAGATGGCTGATGCCCCTATACAGTATACACATACAATTCACGGGTTGGACGTTGGAGTTACGTCGACAAAAATGCACCATGCGAAAGAGGCAGTGGCCGAGTGGTCGTGCCGCTGATTTTCAACCTGGAGCCTCCAAGTTCGAATTCCAGGGACGATCCTTCCCCACTCCTCTAGTAGGCACTCAAACGAATACAGTTGATGCTCGTCCTCGGCACAACCCAGTTCTTTCCCGCCTCAATCGCAGCATGCACAAAATCTTCACATCTCACAATCCCACCAGACAACACGTCGGGCAGGACCCCGATTATGTCGAAGGCCTCCTGCAAATCGGTGGCGGAGTTCATCTCCTCCAACCAAGACACCAGCTCTTTCGAGAACCCTAGCATCTCTCTCACTTTCAGCAGCCGTTCTCTCATCACCAACTCCCAAGCTTCCATGTTTTCGCCACTGTCCTCTCCGCTCCTGTCTGATGGCCCGCTCGACGACCCTTTCTTCACCACCTTGAAGAACCGTTGCATCTGCTCTATCAACCCCGAGTAGACCAGCATAGGCCAAACGATGGACAGCAGCTCATCGGGCCCGTCTTGGCTCGATGAGCCACTGGTACTTGCTTCTTTCGATGTACGGGATGTGGATGATCGCCCATGGGTGTGCTGCATGTACGCGTGGTATATTCCACGCTGCAAGAAGGCACGGCGATGTTGCAGCCAGGACTCATAGGATTCCGAGAGGAGGGAGTTGACCATCATGAACTGCACAGTCTCTTCTGTTCCCATGACAGGATGTGCTGCTGCAAGAACAGAGGATTTGGAGTCCGAAGGAGAGGAAGTTATATATGACGAGATGGTTTTCGCCATGTTCCGACGCTGGGATGAGCTTCCTTGTTCGAAGAGGTAATGCGCCATTTGGACCATGAAGGGTAGGAAACGAGAGTTGCTTTCCCTCCCTCCACCCCTGCTTTCTGTACTGAAAGATGCTCCAGTTGCGAATCGGGCAAGCATCTGTACAAACAGAGAGAGGAAGGACTCCATTAAGGAAAAGCACAAAAAAAGGGGGAAAACAATGACCCTGTTGATAGACTAAAGAAAGAAAAATGTGGGTAACTGGGAAACACAAGAACAAAAAGTTCAGGGGGGAAGCCTTACCAGCACAACATCGTAAGTTAGTAGTAGAAGCCGGCTCCCATCAGCTCGTCCAAGGGCATTAAGGTTGTCCCAGAACTGGTCCACGTAACGGGTATACTGCGATAATGGAACAAGTGGACCTCTAATCGGGAACAAGGAGTTGCAGAGGGACTCATTGTTTCTGAGTGTAGCTCCCTCCCACTCTTTCTTGGGATTTTTCAATGCAGCATCTGCTCTTTTCGCTTCCTGATGGCACTGGAAATGAATAATGTTGAAATAACTGACAGTAGTGTAAACACATTCACCACGAGCACTTCCTGAATTCCCAGCACCAAGATTCACCCTCTTGCTGAATGTGTAAACGCCCAGCAAGTCGTTCGGCCTCAAGCTGTAGCCTTCTCGACATACCATGCATGCCAAGCCATCTGCTTCTTCCTCCACGTCTTCCAGACCTTCTAGGTTAGGCCTTGCGACAACTATTCTCTCGCCACCGTCTGAAGACAGTTCTTGCCTCATTCCAAGCCCCTTTAGTTTTGAGAGCATATCATAATAGAAGAGCGTGTTAGTAGAACCTCAACAGTAAACCAGAAAGAAAAAACAGGCGAACACAATGTATGGCATGTGAATTATTTTGAAGGAATATTTTGTAAAACTTAATAAAAGTTAGGGAAGAACAGAGTGAACTTGAGCTGTACCTGAAGCATTTCCTCTCTCTTTCTCAGAGCTCGGCGCCTCATGTCATCCTTGGTGGCACGACGCAACTCGTGCACCTTTTCTTCTAAGAAGCCATCGCCTTTCCCCTCCTTATTAGACAGTGTATCCAACAAGTTCTCAGCCCTGGCCCCAATCTCGTTTTCCCCAGACACTCCTTCTAGAGTGTGGAGCAGTGGTAAGATACGTCCCTCATCGATGCACCTTTGGGTTGCGAAATGCCCCATTGACAATCCCCTCAGCATAGATAGTATAAGAGGAACAGATGGCAGTTTTAGACCCAATGCCCACTCCGCAGTAGATTTGAAACCAGCCTGACCTGCTACAGCGAAGCTTTCCCTCAAATGCCTAACAGCAGTATCTGTAATTCCCTTCTCCACAATTATGTCCTTCAACCGTTCCCCACAAGAACTTGTCTTCAGCGATTCCGAAACCCGAACAAAGTTTTCTATGGTGAACCTCTGCTTGGCTGCCTTCTCAGTGATGATGTCGTCCTTTGGATTATCTTCATGCTCTTTTTGCAAGTTGTCGAATTCCATCCAGTCTTGCAAGTACGGGTTGAAGTGCTCAACAAGTGCTTCCATCGCAGCAGGTTCTCCATAAGTTAGATAGGGCAAAATTCTAGCAACCATCTCAGTGTTCCTCTGTTGTTTGTTTGATTTCTTGAGGCCCGAAGAAGGGTGGCACAATCTTTCCAGAAACATGAGAACTATTTTCTTTGCCTCTTCTCCCGTGCCCGTTTTCTCGTTGCTAACAGTAAGGGCACTCTGCGTAATGCTTTTGTTATCACTCTCATTAGCCTCCAGAGTCAGACTTTCTACAATCAGAAGGATACCTTCTGCTGGCTCCATAGCATCCACAGAGAAAGCACGCCTTGCTGTTTCAAGAAGAAGGCCTAAAGCTCCAAGCTTTAATAAGGCACGTCTGTTCTCCCTTATCCTACAGCAGTGCATGAGGAGATCCAGAACTGCAACCAACTGCTCATGGTTTGACTTGAAATCATCTTGCAGTGGCTGGTGAAAGCACACACACCATGAGATTATAACCTAGGATTCTAGAAGGCAAAAATGCATACAAGAGCAAAAACTGGAAATTATAGGGGTGCTGTGTACCTGGATCATTCCCAACAAGATCTCCAAGCCACCACATTCTCGTACTGCACCAGCTATGGCAAATTCCAGTTCTGGATCTTGTGATTCCTCCCTATCCTCCTCTAACTCTTTTATCATGGGCTCAGTGGCTTCACCATCCAAACCCTAAATCATATATAAGCACAGAGTCGGAAGTTTGTCTGAGGAGGTATATTGATAGGACAGAAACTAAAATCACAAGCCAAAACCGGATAAAATAGTACAGAGAGACTGGCAAAACTCAAATCTACCAGAACTCAAACAATTTTAGATGGGAATTCTTTGAGTTGCTAAATTTCTCCCACAAGCAAACACGCCAACACCAGAAATAATTAAACACAGAGAAACGATAGCAATTGGTCAATTCAGCTAACCTGAAGACGGTAGGTCACTGTCATAGGTGGGCAGTCTCTAGCCGAAGCAGCACTTGAGGATAGCAGGGTGTTATTGATCATGGAATTTGATGATGGACTGTTTGATTTCTTCCACACCTGCTCATATACTTGAGCAATGCTTAAATCAAGAGATAATATTTCCAGCAACCAACAGTTCCATTCCATAGTCATCTTCGATGAGTCCCAACAGATCCAGTTGCTGGCAGATCTTATTTTTAACATCACGCATGAGAGGGCCAATCTCAGCACTAGAGTAGGGATTCTTGGTCATGGATCCTCTCATAAACTCTTCTTGCGTGTGAGCTTTGTTTAGAACCAATAAATAGACAGACTCTGGCTTGGAGGGACAGATCAAGTTGCAAAGCTGCTCAAGTATAAACTGCAGGTATAGGAGAGAATTATAAGAGGCAAATAGCCAAATTAACAGTAGGATATCTAAGGGAGATGAGCATAATCTGTCTGCAAGACTTCCTTCAGGCAGATGGCCGAGCTAAAATCTTGGTTATTTTTAAAAATTAATTCATCTTGGTCTTGCCAGTAACTTATCTCTTTCTTTGATCCATTTCCATGATCAAGGTAACATTGATCCAAGCAGGCTCTTGTAACTTATTTTCAAATGCAACATTATGGAACAACAGAAGCACGCTAGTCCCCCTACCTGACATGTGCGGGCTTTCCTTTCCTTAGCATGTATTCGCAGGCCACTGACACAGGCTCGAATGAACTGTCTCTTATTTTCACTGCTTTCAAGTAGAAGGCCATCGAGAAGGTCTTTCAGTAGACGATTGCAATCACTTATCAACTTCGTCTTTTGTACTACCAAACCTCTAATTACAATAAGAGCCTCAAGGATATCCGGCAACAAATTGTTACGCATAAATCTGATACAAAAGCAACTGTTAGAAGCAAGTTAAGGGAAACAACATGTTTGTCAAACAGACTTGCAAACAACAATGATTTCCAATGATACCTGGATCTTATATTTGGAACCTCTAAGAATTTTCCAAGGAGCTCTATAAGCTTGTGGAGGATGAATCCCTGTGAAATATCAACATGCAAACTCCTTTCCAAGGAATGAACATTACCCACTTCCTGAGTAATCAATTTGCAGATTGTACTGAGGCATCCCTGTACCGTCAAAAACAGACGAGCATCTTCGGAATTGGTCATCTTGAAAAGCAATTCAAAGTACTCAGTAGCACTTTCACCAGATGCAAGAGTTGCTGGTAACAATGCCATGAGCAGATTCAACAACCGGAACCGTCTTGATGAGCTTTGGGCACAAAGTAAATTAATCAGCAGGCACATCTCTGACCGGATGGATTGAGAACAGGCACTAAGAACAAGTTCCGTCACCCATGACCCTAGCTCAAAAGTAGACAAGCCACCCTTTGCTGTCTTACTAGCACGTCGCTTCCATCGAAGCAAATATTTGAGGGCCAAGTATTCATGTCTCTGTGGCCGAGATCTATGACCTTTAACTGGCTGAGACACCTTGTACTGCCTTCTCACAAAATCAAGGTATGAAGCTCCCTTTTCCCATTCTGAATAACTCATCAGCTGCATATCTTGTGTCCTATTAGAACCTGACCGATCTTTCTTCGGCAGTTCTGGGGACTTACCACTGGAAGATGTACTAAAGCTACTATCTTCCTTCAACCGTGATGCAGAGACAGGCTTTATACTGGCTTGCTCTTTATCTGTTTTATCAGCTTTTGGAGGGGTGCAAGCCTGGGAGATAATCCTTAGGCAAGGAAGAATGATATGCTCAGCTATTGCAGGATGTTTAGCACCCAACTTGATGGATGAAAATAACAGCTGGAAGACGATACGCAGACGGGACTCCCAGAATTCATCTGCTAGGGAACACACTTCTGAAAGTAACATCATCTCCTCCCGAGTGGCCACAGATATGTCCATGGACCTGTGATGTTCGAGGCAGTACATAACTTTTTTCTGTATTAAACTGTTCAACTCAATCACTGCACCAACATCACCTTCTGAGAAAGCACATAGAACAGACCTTGCCAGGACCCGTGCAGTTTTTGGACCCTGGTGAATATTGTTTTCAAACAACTCTGATAAAATGCCAGCTGATACAAGTTGTTTTTTCGAACTAGAATGTTTTGATAGAACTTGCAGCATCTCCAAACATTGCGTGATGAAAGTGGTTGCACAGCCATAACAGTTATTAGGACACCTGGAAGCAACAAATCTAGAGGCAGCAACAGAATCATCTGAACGCTTCTGGTGCAGATTACTCATCAGAACACGGCGGAGTCCCTGCAGCGTCTGGACACTTTTGCTGACAGAATCAAAAGCAGCTTTGCATTTTTCCCCATACAAGACACCAAGAAGAGCAATCTTCCTGTTCACTTTGCATGAAGGTCCAGGTAGAGAAACCATCATTTGCTGAACGGAATCTTTCTGTTGCGAATCCATTTCATTCTCCCCTATACTTGATACAATCTTAAGAAGGGGCTTCTTGAAACCCAAAAGTTGCTGGTATCTCCTATGAGCATTTTCTGACTCCGACTCAATAGCTACCAAACCCCTCTTCATATCTTCATCATTCTCCATATCATCAAATGTGAAACTCGGCTTTGCCATGAAGTTGAACTCAAACCGGCCATATTTGCTATACCCACATTCATTACACAAGAAAGAATCCAGATTTTCATAATTTATGTTGCGGCATTGCCTACACTGATATGCATTCTCATGGCAGTTGCTACAGATCCCATGCTTATCAGTCACAGGCCGACTACACCGTGGGCACTGCAATGGCTCCAGGGATAGAGCCTGAAGATTTTCATAGAATGAATCCAGTTCAATCGTGAAGTTGCAGGCAGTGATTGGAATAGGGAACTCCACTTTCAGCTCTGTTTGGTTAAAAGCAAGATGACAACTTTTTGCTCGTTTCCACAACGACCAATTGTTCTTCAACTCAGATAAATCAGCTACAGGCCTGTTGTTGTAATACAAGTTCAAGATTTTCACAGACTTAGATTTGCGTGCATCATGGACATTCATCATAACAGACTGTATGGTGTAACTCCCAGTGCATTTTACAATGATGCGGTTATCTGTAAACTTTGTTTCAGACTTCAAGCTTTCTAGTTTCATCCGACTGTAGGGCACTTCAGGAGAGCTGCAAGCAACACAAGGCTCGCTTTCAAGGTAGTAACCATCAAATTCAACAAGACCACTCAAAGTATTGTATATACGAGAATTTGGATGATTAGCTATAAGCTCATTCTGTGAGTGTAGAGTATCAAAGATACCCCTAATAACCTCATTAGTCAAGCAACGATCAAGAAGTTCAGTGCTCTGCTGCTTCGAACTATTATCTGGAGTCTTCCCCAATAACCAGATGACTAGTTCAGTGAACTCGACAATATTCTGACCATATACAGGCAAGTTCTTCACTTTCTGCAAGAGGGCCACTAGCATCATTTCCTTGAATGAATGCTTCCCGTGATGCCAGGTACCATAAAGAACACACTTGGCTTCTGCACGCACAGAGCTTGAATTCCACTCCAGTAGAAAACAATAAACAAATTGCCTCAGAGTGTCACCATCCTTGTCAATAAAGATATCTACTGCTGCCTCCATATCCAAATATGACTTCTCCGAACTAGATTCAGTTCCATCTTCACCCTTTTTCTTCTTCTTTGAATCTCCAGACTGTGACCCAGATTTACTCGAGCTTGAAACAGCGTCCCCACCTTCAACTTTCTGCAAGGAATGGCTTATTTCCTTTCCACAATAGAATGCCAGATTGAGAAGTCTCAGAGTCTGAACAACAGACTCCTCACTGAAATAGAATACTGCACCCATAAGAAAGGGTAATACATCTCCATGCCTCAAACAGTACTTCTGCCAATTTCGTGGTCGAGCAGCAGCCACCTCAGCCATTGTAGATAAGCACTTAACTATCTTTACACTCCTCTCGTAAGGAACTGGATTTTGAAGTGAACCAGATTTATTGATATGCTTGTAAAGTTGCTTCACTTCGCTTGAGAATTGCCATGAATCTCGGACACTGTAATAGTGAGTTTTGCTACCACAAACATGCAGAAATAGCCTCCTCGCATGTCTTCTAACAAATGTGGTGTGAGGATTGTTAATATAGCTGCAGAGGACATCCTGATATCCATCTAGCTTCAGATCCTTACCAGAAGATGCCTTGTAAACCTTCTCTCTATCACCTGTCTTATCTTGCTTCTCCGGTCTGACCAATGTATACACCAGCCTGAACGCATTCTCTAGTAATAACCTATGGTAATCCATAAAAATATCACCACGATGCGCTTTAGCATATGAATCTGAAAAGAATGGGGAAAAGTTGCCAGCTGGTAAATCTCTCCGGACAGTTAACAGAGCCCCACATCCCGAACCATTGTTTGAGACAGCGCTCTCCAAATTCCCACTAGAGGACTTGAAAACCTGCATTAACTGCTGCAGGATATCCATCAAATAGTTCACAAAAGTTTGATTTCTCAAAGAGCTGCATGCTCGAAGCAGCTGGGATGCAAAATCATTCTTTTCTTGACCGTCCAAGGTAGATTGTAAAGTAACAGAAATGACCGGACTAATGCTCTTATCATTCTTTTCAACAGCCCCACTTGATTTCATAGAACCATCAGTACCAGGCTGGTGCCAATTTCGAAGCATCAGAGTAAGAAACATGAAGACAAGAATCACAACCTCTCCAAAGGATGAACGTGTTCTTGCTGCAAACGGTTGGTCAAGATTTATCTCGTCTAAAAACCACTTGATCAACTTCTCTAGGGCAAGGGTGTCAGGCTGTGAACCATCTATAAATGGCCCACCCACAGCAGATGATAGCCTGTAGAACAGTTGCATAACTGGGATAGCCCGGACACCAGAAGTTGTGTGCATCCATCCACCCAACTGTTTAAGCAGTTCAGAAAGAAGCAAGGAGTTCACAGCGCGTTTCGAAGCAGAAATGGAGACAATATCTGTCATCGAAGCAGAAAATTCTCCAGACTCATTGGGTTCCAGAACATGAATTGAAGGAGCGGAACTCGGTAGCC